ATATATATTTAGATTTTAATATATTTTGAATTTGTTTTGCTCTATTCGTTTTATATAAACTGTAGCAAAAATGAATGTAAGACATTTTTCATGTGCAACTCACAGAACACACTTTGTGTGCTTGTACTCAAGAATTTGAAGAGGCATAACTTTTTTGTAATTGTGACAGATAAAAAAAAAAGTCTACAATTCCAAACACCAAAGTTAGAATGCACAATAATTCAATAGAATGCAACAGTTTTGCAACAATAGTTCTGAACCATTTGGAGCAAAACTCAGAATGTAAGAGGTTTTTGGTGTTCAACTTGTAGAACAGAATTTGTGTATTTGTACTCATAAAAAATTTGAAATTGTGATTTTTTTTTAAATATAATTATACAATTGTAAAGTTTAGACTGCAACTCTCTCTACAAATTCAAATTCACACTTACAATGCACAAATAGTTTTGACCCCCCCCAAAAAAAACATTCATATTCTACTGTTTCTATTGCTACTCTACTAACCCTTTTCACGCGAATCCTACATTTTCTTCTTACGTGTGAATTTGAAACAGCTCGACAGCATGCAAAGATTTTGAGTGGAGCCAACAATGCTAACAGACATTAGTTTTTAATTATTTCTATAGTGCCAATTCAAAGCACATGTCATCTCAAGGCACTTTACAGTTCAACCAGATCATACAGTCAGATTGATTCAAAGTTTTCTATCTAAGGAAAACCAGTTGATTGCATCGACTCATTGACCCGAATGCACTAAGCATGCTTGTAGCGGCAGTGGAGAGGAAAAACTCCCTTTTAACAGGAAGAAACCTCCAGCAGAACCAGGCTCAGTGTGAGCGGCCATCTGCTGAGGCCGACTGGGGTTCAAGGAGACAGAAGTAGAGACACAAAAAGCAGCTGTAAAAGGCGGGCCCGTCCAGGAAACACACAGCCAGGCAGACAAGCTCCAAACCAGCTGCCATGTCAGAGGATGAAGAAAGCACATCCGGCCAGTCACAGTCAGAGAAACAGGACTACACTGGAAAAACAGGCAGATCTCCAACATCTACAAACAAAGGTGTGATGGCAGCAGCACAGCTGATATTTCTCTCCAGGGTGGTGTCACAGCCAAATATGAACAGAAGAGGTGAAGCTACTATAAAAAAAAAGCAGAGAGAGCATAACCTTAGAAATTAAACTAACAGATTCTGCAGAGTGGGAGAATAGAGACAGAATGAAGCAAAATGATGAAATAGGGGTCCCTATGTCCTGAATAAGTCTAAGCATATACGGTATATGTAGCAGCATAACTATAGAGATAGCTCAGGAAAACCTGAGTGACTGTAACTATAAGCTTTATCAAAAAGGAAGGTTTTAAGCCTAGTCTTAAAAGTAGACGGGGTGTCTGCCTTATGGACTAAAACTGGTAGTTGGTTCCACAGGAGAGGAGCCTGATAACTAAAAGATCTGCCTCTGGTTCTACTTTAAAAAAATTCTAGGAACCACTAGTAAACCTGCAGATTGAGAGCGAAGTGCTCTGTTAGGAACATAAGGAACAATCAGATCTCTGATATCAGATGGAGCTTGGCCATTTAAGGCTTTATATGTGAGAAGGAGGATTTTAAATCCTATTTTTGATTTAGCAGATCTCTCTTTTTAATTTTCATCAGAACGCTGGCTGCAGCATTTTGGATCAGCTGAAGGCTTTTAACTACAGTTTGTGGACTTCCTGATAGTAAAGAATTACAATAGCCCAGCCTTGAAGTAACAAATGCATGGACTAGTTTCTCAGCATCACCCCTGGACAGGAGATTTCTATTTTTTGCAATATTCTGCACATGAAAGAAGGAAATTCTAGAAACCTCTTTGATATGGGATTTAAATGACAGGTCCTGATCAAAAACAACACCAAGATTTTTTACTTTATTATCTGAAATCAGTTTAATCCCATCCAAATGAAATGACTGACTAGTCAGCTTCTTTTTCATAGACTATGACTTCTGTTTTGTCTGCATTCAGAAGCAGAAAGTTAAGACTCATCCAGGTTTTTATGTCTTCAAGACATGTCTATAATCTATGTAATGGGTTAGCGTCATCTGGATTTATAGACATAGCTTGGTATCATCTGCATAACAGTGGAAATGATCCCATGCTGTCTTATAATTCTACTGATTGGGAGCATATATAAAGTAAAGAGAATTGGTCCTAGCACTGATCCCTGTGGTACTCCACGGGTAACCTTTGAGCATGAGGAAGATCTGTCATTAACGTGAACAAACTAAAATTGATCTAATAGATCAGATTTAAACTAGTCTAGCTCTGTTCTATTAATTGCAACAAAATATTCAAGTCTTTCTAAAAGAATATTATGATCAACTGTATCAAATGCAGCACTGAGATCCAACAGGACAAGTACAGATACAAGTCCATTATCTGAGGCCATGAGAATATCATTAGAAACCTTCACCAGAGTTGTTTCAGGGCTATGATGAGCTTTAAAGCCAGATTGAAACTCTTCAAAAGGTTAATTATGGTGTAAGTGGAAAAAAAAGGGCACAGAAGAGCATGTACTTCTTGCTGGATGAGGAGAGCCCACCTGCCCCCAACCATGGAACGCCAGCATTCATAACATGTAGGCGAATCACTGTCCCCCAGACATCAACGGTTAGTTTTTATATCTGATGTCATCTGCGTGCCACACTGCATTTGTGACAGGCAGCCCAAGCCACAGGCGGCTACGCTCTACCCCTTCTATTCAATCGGCGAGCTAATCTGAACCGTTCCATTCCATTTGGAGAGCGAGATCATCTGTGGTAGGAGCACTAGACATCTTCCAGGCATGTGAGTAAAACTAGCAGCAGTTCAGTGGACAGGATGAATGAACCGTAGCCGGCGTGCGCAGATGACGTCATACACACGCCGCTTTGTTTAAAAAAAATATAAATATAAAAAATATAACCGCGGATGTCTGGGGGACAGTGATTCGCCTACATGTTATGAATGCTGGCGTACCATAAAAAACACATTATGAACAGTTTAGTTTATGCCTTCAACTCATTGCCCATAGGAAGAGTTACTTGGATATAAGCCAACGGAATATCTTCAGAACAGCTTCAAATGACACAAAACTCATATGGGTGAGTAGAGCATGATGAAATAACGTAAAATCAAGGGGCCAATAAAAAAAAAAAAACAATCTTCCCCTTTAAGTACAGTAATAAAGTAAATTGACTTTGTTACTTTACATCACTGTATCTAACTAAAAGGGAATCATTGTCCAGATGTATATACCCTGTATATTCTATGGCCATACCCAACAAACTAAAATCAATAAAATCTCAATAAAACTTTAAGTTTATCTGGCAAATTCAAGTCCACTACTTTAAAGAAAGCAAACATGGTAAAAGACTATAAAGATGATGGTTTGACTTTGATTGCTTAAATGTTGTCTTAAAAATAAACTGACTAAAATCTTTCTTGATGAATGGAAATAGTATATAGTATTGTCTTTCCAAAGGTTTGATTAAAGAAATTGCAGACATAGATTTTGTTCTGAGATGTGACTTTGGTATTGATAAACTCCTAGTGAAGCTGGCTTCCTTTCAAAAACAAGTATTGTTATGCTGGAAACGTATGTACATACACAACCCCCCACCAAACTCCTATCTGGAATAATAGATATGTGATAGATAGATAGAAATAAGTCTCTGTATTTGAATCACTGGATGGAAAAGGGCATTTGGTCTATAAGACGTTTTCTGAATGACAATGGAGGTTGACTGTCCTCTGAAGAGTCTTGTTTACTGTATATTTTAAACTGCTCCTATACTTAGTTTAATACTTTCATAAACCTCAATACCTACTGCAATCAAATATATGGTTCAAAATATAAGAACTGAAACTGGTTACCCACACTTCAAATGAATGGTGTTAACCTTTGGATAAATGTAACTCTACCAAAAGATTGCATCAGCATCAGCATCTAAATAACCATATTTCCTGTACGTCCAAATAAAAACTTAATTTTAATGTGTTTTCTGACTTGACTTCTGGCTATCAAGTAGAGGACTGCTTACCTTAAAAACCCCTTAAGTCTCAAAACAAAAGAAATTCATTTTAAAATTCTCAATAACCATACAGAGAACTGTTAAGACAAAGATTTAATTTTGAAACTAAAAGTTGTACCTTTTGTGACAATGATATTGACACAACTGGCCATCTCTTTTTCTATTGTGAGCCCACTGGAAAGTTTTGGGAACCCTTTAAGGCATGGATCTCTACAATTCCTTTCCTTTCCCATCCATAAGAGAGGATATATTATTTGGAACCACCCTCAGAGACAGAATTTTTGACCTCATATGCAACAGCCTGCTGATCTTTGCCAAATACTTTGTCCACTCCTGTAAATGGGGAAACAGACAACCCGACTTTTCAGCTTTTAAAAGCTTGCAGATGGACAAGCACCTCAGACTTGTTGTAGAACCCTTTTAACCCAGTCTAAATCCAATGGAGGTATTGTTTCAAGAAACATGGTTAAATATTAAAAGTATTTATTCCAGTCATGTTCAACAAAATCATTGATACTAGCACAAATTGCGGAGGAAGATCTCACTTTATATTAGGCCTTTAAGTTCTGGCCATTTCAGTTGAAGAACCCCACTGACAAAGGGACATGGAAGAGAGAGTTTCTGCCGTCTTTCCCTTTTTATTTAAAAGTCAGTCAGCAAGTGTCCCCCAAAGTCTCCAATCAATATTCTTGGCTTTCTCTTTACAAAACTGTGAGTAGGGAGTGCTGGCCTAGTGGTCAGAGCAGTGCACTTGTGCTCTGAGAAAGTTGCAAGAGCCCGGTTTGATCCCCACAGCTTCCACTCTGGTTCTCTGTGCATGACCCTTAACTCCACACTGCTCCCCAGGTGCTGTACAATGGCAGCCCACTGCTCCTCAAGGGGATATGTTAAATGCAGAGATACATTTCTCCAGTGTGAGATCAACAAAGTTAAATAATTAATTATTATTCTCACACAGCCTGCAGCATTACCATATAAGATGATGCTGGAGTGGCTCTGGCCACCATATGTCAGCATGAGAATGTCCATTTTGGCTGACCCACACAGAAGAGTGAACAGATTTAACAGATGTAACAGTTATTTAAAACAGAAAATAAAATAAAAAGAAATTAATTTCCACACAACCTGAAAGAGATGAAAAAAAAGAGTATACAGCTCCTTGAGCAGGGCCGTGCAGAGACCGCTAAAGGGGCAGGTGCTCAAAAAAAAAAAAAGGGCACATCTTATCGCATTTTAGGACAGAATATTAACAAAGTCACATAGCTTTCAGAGTTTAATGAAAAATGATAAATTACAAAATTGTGAGACATACAATCAAAGCTAAGGGAAATCTCTACATAGAACATAGAACTATGCATATGTAAAATATTTTATTAGTAATTTCTTTCTGCAGGTCTATTTTGTTATAGGAAAGTATTACAATATTCAAACCTGCAATTTAGCCAAAGATGTAAATCAGAGCTGGACCACCAGACATATTTTGTCTTTACAGAATTAAACTGTTAAAAATGCATACAAGGGCACAATGCAACCTTTTAGTGTACTGTAATCTATAAAAAGAATGTCTGCCTGGTTTGCTGTACTGACAGTGGAGATGGAGACGGTCCATTCAGAAAAGCAGAGCTGCTGCATCAAACTTTAACGTGGAACTGCAGAAAAAAAAGAACAAAACAAACATTTTATTAATGCATGTCACCATGAGAAAAGCCTACTCTGTTTGTGTCTTAGTGTATTTTGTAAGTACCTATATACATTTTCTTCAATCTTTCCCCTTCGTTTTTTCTTGTCAGTTTCTCTTTTCTTTTTTTCCTCATTGTCTCATCTTTTCTGTGTTGAGTGAAGGTCAATGTCTTATTTATTTCAGTCTCTTGCCTTTCTTTTTCCCCCAAACTAAATCCAAGATTATGATCCAAAAACTTATTTTCCGTCATGGTGATTTAACTGTTTAAAAACAAATTTCCAACTTTTAAGTATTTTTGCTATTTTTGTTCTCTTTTGTTCACAGCAGCAGTTTTCTGTTAGCCATGTCTTTAAAAATGTTAACCTCACTGTGAATGATTGGCACATCCTTCTCGATTGCCAACAAAAGACGGTCTGACAACCGATCCTCCTTGCATAAGCTGCGCAGTTTTGTTTTCACCAGCTTCATACATTATATCTATCATATATCTATCATGGTAGTTCTGGATGAGTTCTCCTTTAAGATACATTTACCTAACGCTAGAATAAATGAAATGTACATCATGCAGCAAAGGAAATTAGAAAATCAGACATATATCCATTATGGAGATAATAGGTTTTTGACGGGCGATGTGCCCCTATTGCATAAGTAATACTGAAGAATGTCCTACTATCATTACCGATACAGGGAAGCTTTTTAGTTATCTTGCTTTGCTAGCAAAGTCATTAGCTAGCAGCTAGCTCATAGCACAAGAACAACAGCCTAATGTCTGTATGATAAAAATACTGAATCGATAGATAAGAACAGCTTTTCCTCACCTGGCTGTCTCCTCCCGTTCAGTAGTTCTTCAGAGAAAGGCGCGCCGCGTCCTATACTTTCCTCCGTTTAAACCGCTACTCTTTGCTAAAGTAGAGAAATTATACAAAGTTCAAAGTTTTCCGTTGTCTGACAAGTAGGAAGCCTACTCCAGTATTTTCACCAAAAATTATGTTTTTTAATTCACAAAAAAACTGTTCTGTAATCATTACAGAACAGTTTTTTGTGAATTAAAAAACATAATTTTCAATGTAAAAGACTAAAAGCACAGAGTAAACAGTGTTTTAGATCAAACAATACTGCATCATCCATGGGGCTCATTTGGTTTCACTTACATGTATATTCAGGTTGACATTGGAGAGGCGGTGCAGACTGAAGAAATAGCCATCCGTCCGATCATGGTTGATCTTGCTTAGGGCCAAATGAGCAGCGGCCACAGTGTAATGTGGAATATTCGCTACCTTTAGCTCCGCAGTTAGCCGCCTTATCTGACTGTGCGAGAGGCAAGTGCGTCGTCACCGGCAAAAGGTCAAAGGTAACAATGTGACCGGAGGGCTTATTGTATTGTTTTTCTTGCCAAAAAAAAAAAAGATAATAATAATAATTTCAGTACATGTGTCAAATAAAAAAAAAAAAATAAATAAAAAAAATAAAATAAAAAAAAAGGGACCAAAAGGGCACATTGGGATCATGGAGCAAAAGGGGCAGGTGCTCAAGCCCCCTTAGCCCCCCCCTCTGCACGTGCCTGTCCTTGAGCCTATGAAGAACTGAAGCTATTTGATGAGAATTAGTGCCCCTTTGTCCCACCCATAGACAGCTGGAAATAGGCACCAGCACCCATCGTGACCCCGTTTGGGATAAGCATGACAGAAAATGGATGGATGGATGGATGGATGGATGGATAGTGCCCCTTTGTGTGTATTTAAAAAAAAAATCTATTTATGGTTTTATTTCTCTCTCTGGTGTTAATCATCTGTCGCTTTATTTTCTCCCATCTTATAATCTGTGTGCCTTAAACATACAGGTGCTGGTCATAAAATTAGAATATCATGAAAAAGTAGATTGATTTCAGTAATTCCATTTAAAAAGTGAAACTTGTATATTATATTCATACATTACATACAAACTCATATATTTCAGATGTTTATTTTGTTTAATTTTGATGATTACAAATGACAACAAATGAAAATCTCAAATTCATCATATCAGAAAATTAGAATATTACTGAAGACCAATAAAAACAAAGGATTTATAGAAATGTTGGCCAACTGAAAAGTATGAACATGAAAAGTATGAGCATGTACAGCACTCAGTATTTAGTTGGGCCTCCTTTGGCCTGTATTACTGCAGCAATGCGGCGTGGCATGGAGTCGATCAGTCTGTGGCACTGCTCAGGTGTTATGATAGCCCAGGTTGCTCTAATAGTGGCTTTTAGCTCTTCTGAATTGTTGGGTCTGGTGTATTGCATCTTCTTCTTCACAATACCCCATAGATTTTCTATGGGGTTAAGGTCAGGAGAGTTTGCTGGCCAATTAAGAACAGGGATACCATGGTCCTTCAACCAGGTACTGGTAGCTTTGGCACTGTGTGCAGGTGCCAAGTCCTGTTGGAAAATGAAATCTGCATCTCCAAAAAGTTGGTCAGCTGCAGGAAGCATGAAGTGCTCTAAAACTTCCTGGTATGTGGCTGCGTTGACCCTGGACCTCAGAAAACACAATGGACCAACACCAGCAGATGACATGGCACCCCAAACCATCACTGACTGTGGAAACTTTACACTGGACTTCAAGCAACGTGGATGAAGTGCCTCTCTTCTTTTCCTCCAGACTCTGGGACCTTGATTTCCAAAGGAAATGCAAAATTTACTTTCATCAGAGAACATGACTTTGGACCACTCACCAGCAGTCCAGTCCTGTTTCTCTTTAGCCCAGGCAAGACGCTTCTGACGCTGTCTGTGGTTCAAGAGTGGCTTGACACAAGGAATGCGACAGCAGAAACCCATGTCTTTCATACGTCTGTGTGTGGTGGTTCTTGAAGCACTCACTCCAGCTGCAGTCCACTCTTTGTGAATCTCCCCCACATTTTTGAATGGGTTTTGTTTCACAATCCTCTCCAGGGTGCGGTTATCTCTCTTGCTTGTACACTTTTTTCGACCACATCTTTTCCTTCCCTTCGCCTCTCTATTAATGTGCTTGGACACTGAGCTCTGTGAACAGCCAGCCTCTTTAGCGATGACCTTTTGTGTCTTGCCCTCCTTGTGCAAGGTGTCGATGGTCGTCTTTTGGACAACTGTCAAGTCAGCAGTCTTCCCCATGATTGTGTAGCCTATAGAACTAGACTGAAAGACCATTTAAAGGCTTTTGCAGGTGGTTTGAGTTAATTAGCTGATTAGAGTGTGGCACCAGGGGCCATCAATTTTGAACCTTTTCACAATATTCTAATTTTCTGATATGATGAATTTGAGATTTTCATTTGTTGTCATTTGTAATCATCAAAATTAAACAAAATAAACATCTGAAATATATGAGTTTGTATGTAATGTATGAATATAATATACAAGTTTCACTTTTTAAATGGAATTACTGAAATCAATCTACTTTTTCATGATATTCTAATTTTATGACCAGCACCTGTAAACTCGGGAACATTCTTCAACCCGGCCCTCCACCTCTTCTCCTCCAGCTCATACTGCGAAACAGAAAACATCGAAGAGTTTGTGTCTGTTTAAGGTTGCATACTCCCAGAGAAAATGAATCGGTGAAGAGTTGTATTTTATTTTTTTGAGTCTGTGAGCTTACCAGTTCTAATTTCTGCAGTCTCCTCTGCAGTTTCACCTCCAGGTCGGAGCGAGGTCGGAGAGCCTGCTCCCTCTTCCTCAGCTGCTCTCTGGCTTTGTTTTCGAGGACACGATGCAACTCGGATTTCTTTCTTGGCAGAAACCCCCTTAAGAGCAAGCAGAACGTTAACAGGCGGCCATGTCTCTGGAATGAGTCAGAAATGCTGCAAAGTTTTTCTACCTGAGTGCAATTCATGAATCAGTGTGGATGATACATACAGTGCCCTCCTCTATTAGTATACAATATGAGCTCTGCAAATTCCACAGTGTTAAATATGCAGTGTCAAAGTACTTTGAATCTTTTAGAGTTACAACAACTGAAGTAAAATATACACAACATAGAGTCCTAATTTAACACTAATTCCGAGTGGGACCAAATGCACTCTTAAAGTGTTACTTTAACTGCAAAATTTACTGGGTCGGTTCAAATGAGAATAAAAAAAAAAAAAAAAAGAAAAGGCAATTAGGGAGTTCTTCTAAGTGAGCTTGGAGATTTTATTTTACACCATATCATCTTCCTCACTCTCCTTGTGCAGCAGCAATATAAACATTCCTTATCTGGCTCTGTTTTGGTTCATATAATGTTGAAAGACTTTGAGACCAAGCTTTCTAACACTGTGCAGCATATTTCTTTCTAGAATCCCTTGATATACTTGAAATTTCATTGTAACCTACAAAGATTCAAGGCACTCTATGCCAGGGGAAACAGAGCAGCCCAACATTGCTTCCAACAAGGGTGTCCTACTTGGTCACTTTGGCTCAAACAACAAAGGATGCTGGGATTGGTGTTCGTTGAGCTTAAGGTTCACCTTTAATCTATTTAGAATTTTTTTTTTTCTGGGCCCTTTTGTTACCATTTGGATTTTCGATCTCTTTGATTTGTCATCAGGTTTACTCCCATGGCCATGTCCTGGGGGGTTGGCTATCTCATGGATCTTTAAGTTTTCAGTCAGAAACATCAAGCTACTTGGTTAATGGTCTTATGGCATTTACCTTTAACATTTTTGTCTATATATATTTTTGTTTTTTGACCAATATAGGAGCTGTTTTAAACTGATTGTTGCTCTAAACTGTGTTTATAAGCTCTGATCTTTTGGGGTTCATCGTCAAATTCACCAGGGAATATGAAGCAGGTACGGTAAAAGAAAGGCTTCAGCCGCATGAGAGCATTTTGATTTCATGTTTGCTTTAATATTTTTGTTTATGTCGTCCTGTTGCACTCAGTTATAACTCGAGTTATCTGAATTTAAATTAGATATATTTTGACTTTTAGTTTTCTATATTAGCTGTACTTACTATTTTCATTAAAAACTATCCTATCCACAAAAATCCTTATTCACATGTTCACCTACATTTTCAAGTTATGATGCATGTTCCCGTTGTTTATTGACTGCATCCAAAAATATCAAGGATATTTTCAATTTAAACATAGATATGAAATTCTACAATAAAATACAGAATGAATTAATTACATACAACTCCTCACTTGGGGGACAGAGGAGGTGATAGGAAGAGGGAGAAAGGTCAGCACCCCCATCCTTGGACATCCTATGCAAAACATTACCTATTGTCACTCATGTGCAATATTCTTCTCTCTCACTGTGCAATAGCTCATGCAGACTACTGCGTAGCCTGTGTCACTTTTGTAGTTATTTATAAGGTAAGTACATTTCTGCAATACAAGTGCAATAATCCAAGTCAACTATTGAGTAGTCTGTTTAATTTTCTCTTTCATTTTCATATGGTCAGTACATTTCTACAGTGCAAATGCAATAATCTAAATCAACTACTGTGTAGTCTTCCCTTAGCTCTCTACTGTGCAGATATTTTTATGTCTAAAGGAAACATATTCAAAGACATTACCACTTTTTATTTTTCTTATGCTTTTTGGGACTATATACATGCTTTTTATGGCATTTTGCTTTAACTCTTTGTACTCTATATAAACTACTGGAACCAGCATCCCCCTGAAGGAGTAATCCCAAGGGATAAATAAAGTTGAGTCTTAGTCTAATAGGCCATGGAATCAGTGTATTCTGTCAAATAGGCTGCATGTAGGGATTTTAAAGTTCAGCAGGTGTCAGTATTGAGTGGCACACGTCCATTTGGTCACATTATTTTTTGTCTTTCTAGGGGTCCCATCATTTTTCTCCAGGTCTGTTTAATGAGTTTAATTTTTTAATCATTATGTTGAAGAATGGTTAAACATTTATGGCTGCTTTTCATTTGATCAATTTCATACAATTTTTATTTATATTACTTTTGTCAGATTCAAATTATTTATATGGTCCTTTCTAAATGTACTCACTATGGGATGCTCTGTCTAAAAGCTTCAGTTTGAAATGATGTTAATATAATTAATATTTTCTGTCTTTCAATATGTCTTTACCAGGCATTCCAAAAAAAATGCAGAGGGAGCTGCTGGCCTAAATGCTTTAAATCATCATCACTAGATGTCAAACCTTAAAAAACACGAGCAGCGTTTCACCATCTTAAAAAATCAACAACAGGGGAGGAAACACTCCGGTTAAGAGATAAGCAGGGATGTTCAGATGGATCTTGGACTAGGTCAAATACCACCTCGACATATGTGCTTATCTATGACCACAGCTCAAAGCTCAAAGACAGCTGGACTGAGTATGGCTAAGAGGATTCAGTGACGCAAACACTGCCATTAGACTGCTGAATCTTATGTAAAATGGGTTATAAAAACAAAACAAAACTGAATGTTAGAACAGTAAATATACAGTCCTATGTTTACATTACTGTTTTTGATCATAATGGGGTTTTTTTATCACTGCAGCTTACCTTATCAAGGCTGCACATTAAAAAATAATTTTTTTTGTTTACACTTCTGTATGCAAAATGACAAGATAAAATCTAAATCTCTAAGTGTAACAAACAGAGGGGCAGATAAAATGCAGAACAGTCACTGCTACCTTATTTAAAACAGCCTGGTTTAAAAAAAGATAACTGCACACTATTAACATAAAAAAGAAAGTTTTTCGTTTAAGAAAAAAACAAAAAAAAAGTGTTAAAATCGTTGTAGATTCTCAGTCTATCATCATTTATAATTATGTTGTAGATTGTTTTTTTTCTATCACAGAGGGACAGACAATTGCCTCCTTACTGTTTATGGCAGAACAGCAGCTCCTGATGAAGAGCTCTCTGTTGGAGGGAGGCCAGGATAGGATTTATCAGCTTCTTTGGTTTGATGAGGTCATCTTCCTCCTGTTGTTGATTTTCTGTCACCTGGTGAGGCGGGCTCACCCAGCACTGCACTCTGTCTGATGCGGATAAATGCAGCGTCAGAGATTTACTCCCAGCGAGACACAGAATGTAACATAAATCAGGTAGCTTTTTTGACAGGGATAGGTTGTGAAATGTATAAACAAGTGAGGCTTTTTCTCTATTTAAAGGAAAAATATAAACTTACTTCTTTTGTTTCTTTTTTGTGCTCCCTGAAATATAAGGGGGGAAAGTACAGATCAGCGTCAATGTCGGTTTGGAAACAGGGTGAAATCCATTATGCTAAAATCTGCAAAGACCTTAAATCCTTCAAGCATGTAGACTGATTAAGTAGACAGTTGTTTTTTATTTTTCCTTTATATGAAAGATGGTTTTGAAATTTTCATATGATCAACAACAGAGAAAAAGAGAAGTAACCTTGCATTTTTTTACTCTAAGCCCTACAGAAATCTATTCATTATCATGTTTGTTCAGCAGTATGGAAATATTAAGTTTTTCTTTTCTTCTTCATCTTATCCATATCTGAGCCATGAAATGTGAATTAGGATCCTTGTGTCTAAGTTTTGCTAACTAAACGATGAGCACAACAAATTAAACTTAAAACATAAACAAATAGAAAACAATAAATAGAAACATAAATAAACAAAAAATCCAGCACATGGTTGAATGATGTTTGTTACAAACTTATCTTCTCATTTAATTTTTTTTTGTCATTATTTAAGAAAAAAAATGCATTGCAAATAAGAAATACAGGATTATTTTATACTAAGTCTGCACACTACTACAAATCTTGTTGCAATTCAACCCACAAAATGCTTTAAGAACAAACTTTTTTTTTTGCATTTGTTTGTTCTTATATTTTCCTCTCTTCTAAAATATATTTTTTATTCTTGTACTAATCCTGTTTTTATTTTTTATATTTATTTGTTTTATCATCAAATACCAGCCAGTACTCTCAGCAATAAAGCAATAAAGCAGTCTTACCTGCAGTGTTTGGTAGCGATGCATAGCTTTGGAATAGAGACTGTAGAAGCGGGTGATGCAGGAGAAGCTTTCTCTGCTGTTTGCCCACAGAAAGCTGCAGACCTTGTGAGGTGGATCAGAGCAGCTTTCTGTGTGCCACTCTGTCAAATCTTGTTAAATGACTTATGACCCTTTGTTCTACACCTATGATAATTACAGGGGAAACTTCTGTCGATTTTAGCTGCAGTAGAAGCAGTGTACTCAGAGTTAAGCATAATAAGACATGATAATGATGAGGATGAAGTGAAAAACTTTACACAAATTAGCATTTGATTTGTGGCTTCATTTCTAAAAGGTCACAATATTCCACTGTTGCATAGTTTGCTTTATTGGTAAATAGTATTTTTTTTTGTTAATGTTTCTGAGATAAAACTTTTAATTAGTCGTGGGCATTATACAGGAGATATCATATAGATTAAAAAAACAAAACAAACTCATTGAACCTTAAAGATATTTCTTAAATTATCAAAAAAAAAAAAAACTTTACTAAAGCATTTCTTACTGTTACAGTCAAATTACTTTTACCATGGACATATTAATACGTAAAATAAAACTCTGTTGCACATAACATAAAATGGCTACCAAATTAACAAACACAGTAGAATACAAGGATAAATGAAAAACCATAACCTGGATGTATATACCCTAATAAACAATGGGAAGAAAGTAAATAAAACAAAATGTATATGTGCAATATAATAATAATAATATGGACAAAAAATACATAAAAATAAACAGATTTAAAGATTTTAGCAAAATAGAACGAGGAAAATAAATAATGTATTCAACTGAATGATAGACTGATAGATATACAGGTGCTGGTCATAAAATTAGAATATCATGAAAAAGTAGATTGATTTCAGTAATTCCATTTAAAAAGTGAAACTTGTATATTATATTCATACATTACATACAAACTCATATATTTCAGATGTTTATTTTGTTTAATTTTGATGATTACAAATGACAACAAATGAAAATCTCACATTCATCATATCAGAAAATTAGAATATTGTGAAAAGGTTCAAAATTGATGGCCCCTGGTGCCACACTCTAATCAGCTAATTAACTCAAACCACCTGCAAAAGCCTTTAAATGGTCTTTCAGTCTAGTTCTATAGGCTACACAATCATGGGGAAGACTGCTGACTTGACAGTTGTCCAAAAGACGACCATCGACACCTTGCACAAGGAGGGCAAGACACAAAAGGTCATCGCTAAAGAGGCTGGCTGTTCACAGAGCTCAGTGTCCAAGCACATTAATAGAGAGGCGAAGGGAAGGAAAAGATGTGGTCGAAAAAAGTGTACAAGCAAGAGAGATAACCGCACCCTGGAGAGGATTGTGAAACAAAACCCATTCAAAAATGTGGGGGAGATTCACAAAGAGTGGACTGCAGCTGGAGTGAGTGCTTCAAGAACCACCACACACAGACGTATGAAAGACATGGGTTTCTGCTGTCGCATTCCTTGTGTCAAGCCACTCTTGAACCACAGACAGCGTCAGAAGCGTCTTGCCTGGGCTAAAGAGAAACAGGACTGGACTGCTGGTGAGTGGTCCAAAGTCATGTTCTCTGATGAAAGTAAATTTTGCATTTCCTTTGGAAATCAAGGTCCCAGAGTCTGGAGGAAAAGAAGAGAGGCACTTCATCCACGTTGCTTGAAGTCCAGTGTAAAGTTTCCACAGTCAGTGATGGTTTGGGGTGCCATGTCATCTGCTGGTGTTGGTCCATTGTGTTTTCTGAGGTCCAGGGTCAACGCAGCCACATACCAGGAAGTTTTAGAGCACTTCATGCTTCCTGCAGCTGACCAACTTTTTGGAGATGCAGATTTCATTTTCCAACAGGACTTGGCACCTGCACACAGTGCCAAAGCTACCAGTACCTGGTTGAAGGACCATGGTATCCCTGTTCTTAATTGGCCAGCAAACTCTCCTGACCTTAACCCCATAGAAAATCTATGGGGTATTGTGAAGAAGAAGATGCAATACACCAGACCCAACAATTCAGAAGAGCTAAAAGCCACTATTAGAGCAACCTGGGCTATCATAACACCTGAGCAGTGCCACAGACTGATCGACTCCATGCCACGCCGCATTGCTGCAGTAATACAGGCCAAAGGAGGCCCAACTAAATACTGAGTGCTGTACATGCTCATACTTTTCATGTTCATACTTTTCAGTTGGCCAACATTTCTATAAATCCTTTGTTTTTATTGGTCTTCAGTAATATTCTAATTTTCTGATATGATGAATTTGAGATTTTCATTTGTTGTCATTTGTAATCATCAAAATTAAACAAAATAAGCATCTGAAATATATGAGTTTGTATGTAATGTATGAATATAATATACAAGTTTCACTTTTTAAATGGAATTACTGAAATCAATCTACTTTTTCATGATATTCTAATTTTATGACCAGCACCTGTATAGATGCTGCATATATATAGTAAATACATAAAATGTATTGTGCACTTAATAAAAAAAACATATACACAAAAATCTTTCTGAAACACTTACAATTTTTGGGGTAGTTATATATTAGCACTTTCACCTTTAAGTGAATATTGAATACGTTTGATAAAACGGATGGCAATTTATTAAAAACAGATTTACGCGAGGTGGTGCAGTATCAAGACAGTCCTTTAGGTGGCGGTAATGCCAAACGGTCAACAACAAACGTGCAACGTAAAGAAGACTGTCAAGCCAGGAAAACGGAAATACCAGGAGCTTGGGCAGGATGCGATCTTTTCCTTAAACTAATGGTTTGTTAATTATTAAGAAGGAAAAACTAATATAACAACGCCGTAGACCAAACTGCAGCTATGACCAATGGTAAGTATGTTGCTCTAGCTGATGGGTGGACGGCAGGAGAACAGTTTCTAATTGGTTTAGATTTGAAGAAGAGCTAGTGAAGGCTAGCTTGGCTGTAGACGTGGCCCCCCCTGTGTTACTTTCTGTCTTTCATGAGGATTTAAATAAACCCACCAATTACTCTGATACGAATTTGTCAGATTATTCTTCAAGAGTTACAGATGGAATGAGCTTCCTGCTTACAATTTATGTTTGTGGTTTGCAACAGTTATTATGCTAACTAACTAGCATATCCAGCTGGACCTTGGCTGCATAACCCTAAAGTGATTGAATGTTGCCTTTGAAATCCCTCTGATTGGTCTAATCTAATTTACAGCAGTATCCCTTTAATTTAGTATATAAATATATTTAAATATATATTTTTAGTCATGTTTACAATGTTTGTCCTCCTCTGCAGTGTATTCCTTTGACGGCATCCTTGTGTTTGGGCTGCTGTTCATCTGCACATGTGCATACCTCAAAAAGGTGCCTCGGCTCAACAGCTGGTTGCTGTCAGAAAAGAAAGGAGTGTGGGGCGTCTTCTACAAAGGTAACATACCCTAACAGTGCAAAAACTCTTTAAACTGTTGCAGTTATAAAAAAAATACCCATATTGTTAGGATTATAACTTTAGAAACACTGGAAAATGTATTAGTAAGACAAAAAAACATGATTTGTGGCGTGCCTTGTCATGATCAGGAAACTTGTCAAGTAGCTCAAATGGGAAAACTTCTTTTAACCTTCATTGGTTAAAAGTTTTTTTATTTTCCAAAACATTACATTCTAATAAGAACAGTGAGAATATCTGGAACGCATGCGATGTCCCAATATGCATGCTTTTAATTCAGAATATTATTGTCTTTTAAAGTGGTTTAACCTGTGTAGTTGAAACCAGAGGTTTACATACCCACTATGTAAATATTATACCATCCATTGTTCAAACTTATAACTATGCTTGGTTTGGGCTGTGGTGTGGCCTTTCTCTATGGATTGGACAGTTTGTAGTTTATTAAGCTCTTTAACTATTTGTTTAACCTTGTCTTTTTATAAAAGTAAACTATATATTTCCTGTTTTAGGTAAAATGTGATTTCTTGAATGCTTTTGTTTATTTGTATTTTCCTGGCTAAGGGTCTTTATGCATGGAGTTTGTATGTTCTCCCTGTGCAGGTGTGTGTTCTCTCCGGGTACTCCGGCCTCCTCCCAAAGTCCAAAAACATGAGTTATGTTACTTGTCTTCTCGAAAATTTTCTTAGGTGTGTGTGTGAATGGTGGTTTGTCTCTGCGTTGCCCTGTGATGGACTGGCAACCTGTCCAGGGTGTACGCCGCCTCTCATGTAAACAGCTGGAAACAGGCAGCAGCACCCCTCGCGACTCCAGCTGGGAAAAAGCATGACAGAAAATGGATGAATTAAGACACTTGTCTGCTTCCTTATAATTTTGTAGAATTGCCTTTAACAAAAGGCTGTGATTGGTCATCACTGATCATACACTTTTTCATGAAAATTCCGCCAATATAATTGTGAGCCGATCGAACGTCACTCGAACACTACTCGGCATGACTTCCAGAAATGGGTTTTTTGTCTCAAAATGTTTTTGCAAAGAGTAATCTGCTTGCTTACGTTACTTTTTGGTTTATGCTCCTTCTCACTCAGCGGAATTTTATTGGGTTTTTGTTCATGGTTTGTTTCAAATGGTTAATGGTACTCCAACCAGATTCAGATCCATATTTTTACATGGTCTTCTGCTCTTTTTCTTGGAGTGATTCACACATTTCACATATAAAAGATTAAACATCTATTTCTCCCTCCTGGATATTATAAAAGCTAGAAGTTCCCATGGTGTTTTAATGTCTGGGAAGATCAATGTGGACTAGACCTTAATATGGCCAAAACATATCACGATTTATTTCATAATTTTGGTTGTATATAACTTTATTATCGATGTAAAAATAAACATTAAAAGCCTCAAAAATACTTCCCAAGAATTCCAACAACTTTTAAGAGATAATTTCGAGATGAATAAAAACATAAAACTACATAACTAGGGGTTTAAATCACATCCATCATGGCGATTCGATTCAGTTTCTATTTCCTGACCCAATGATTCGATTATTTTCGATACTCAAGAATACACCATGATTCGATTCGATTAATTGGTTCAGTTTTTTATTTTTATTTTTTTTTACACCTTGCAGGCTAAACAATGTTTCAAATTTGAAATAAATCAATGAAAGCTGTAATATCGTTAAACAACAACAGCAAATAACAGAAGTAGAAAAGTTGCACTCCACCTATTCCTATTAAAACCTCATTCACTGAAAAATAATAATACCCCTGCGTTATAGATTCTGAAAGGCTTTGCATCAAAAAATACTGCACACAATCAGTGCAATGAGTGCAATGAAATACCTCGGATCCAGACGTCCCCGACCCCTCCACAGACGGGACAGGAGGCCGGCTTGTTTTGTTTTTATGACCCAAAATTGCGGAAAACAACTCATGAAGTTTGACCCGCTAGAAGAGCGAGGTGCGCGAGAACGCTGGGACCCTTTTTCCACCTGGATCTGCTCTTTTTGGCCCTCATGTCCCTCCGTCGTCGGACTAAACTCGCCCCCACTTCCTCTCCCCCTCTGCAGTATCTAGACCCACAGTGTGTAGCACAGACCACACTTCAATATTGAGCATAAATCAAAAATGTCTGTGTCAAGCTCACTGCGACACACTGCTGTAAGAGTATAACCAGGAAGCACGGTAGGAGGGCAAAATAGGTTTAGCGCCACCGCAGCACGGGAGGGAGAATTATGTCCAGGAGCAAATGGATAAAAATAGACCGGAGGAAAAAAAAACATGAATCAAAACTCTTGCAGACGTATCGATGCATCGGATTGTTGGCTGTTGGATCGATACAAAACGATTATTATTTCCACCCCTAATAACAACACTGGAATGTCAGTCAGTGACAAATGTTAAATGTATGTTGAAATATCAAAAATGTCATCTCAACTCTATGAATATATATATTTATCTTAATATTGGATTATAGCCCAGGTCTGTGTGGGACAATAAGGAGTCTTAGACTTAGACAACTTTTGTCATTTTGTATACACAGAGTGTACACAAAACAACATTTTGTTTAGTACAGCTTTTCAGACAGTAAATTAACATTTCCATTCAATAAAGTGCAGTAGTGATCAAATGTAAACAGTGTGAGGGGGAAAAAACATGTTGATATGGAAGTTAGGAGCATTAATATATATAGTTCAAAAATGCTGTACATTTTGGTTTGGTCTTATCGTTGACATGATTTAGAGTTTTTTTTTCAACAGTTTAGGATGGCAGTGGGGAATAAGCTGTTGCAGAATCTGCCTAACCTGCATTGAATGCTGCAAAGTCTCTTCCCAGAGGGAAGCAGGGAGAACAGTCCATGGTGGGGGAGTGAGGGCTCAGGACACGCAGGACTGAAATATCTGCGTGTCCTGAAATATGAAATATCTTTCTCTCCTCGCCTTCTTCCAGTTGAGGCACTGCATCCTCCACACCACATAGTGAGACAGCTGATCAGAACGCTCTCAATGAAGCGTCTGTAGAAGGTCGGGAGGATGGCTGGGGGCAGGTGGGCTTTCCTCATCCTCTTCAGGAAGTACAAGCGACTCTGTGCCCTTTTGACCAGTGAGGTGGTGTTTACAGTACAGGTGAGGTTTTCTGTGATGTGCACTTCTGGGAGTGCACATCACAGAAAACCTCACCTAGAGTGTAATTTAGCAACTACATTTAAGGTTTACAATTTTCTTATTATTCTTTACTTTGCTACAATATCTAACAAGGAATCATGGTGTTGAGGCATTGCCTTCAAATAACATCCATAGGCGTCTCATCCTTTTGCCAGAAAACGTTGAGATGCTAACAAAGCCCTATGCCATCATCTGGGCTTTTAAGCTTTTAAGAAAATAATAAAGTAAGGCTGAAACATGTTACCATTATAAAAATAATCGTCAACTAGTGTGGCAATCAAATAAGTGCCTAGAGTAATGGGACAGAGATTCTAAAAAATGCTATTTGCTTAAATAATAGCTTGCTTGTAACAGCAATTAGGACACAGCTCTAGAAATATAAACTATAAAAATTTAGAAACAGGAAAATACAATTGTTCTATTAAAGGTTAAATTGCTTTATGTGTATATATATTTGTATCTATAAATTTTTTTGGTTCGGTTTGTTTTTATATAATCCAAATGTTTATTTTGAAACTTTAACTTATTGATGGTATCCCCTTTTGTAGATTAAGTGATTAATGGAAAAAGAAACTGATTTGTCCATAAATAGAATAATTGTTGGCTTCAAAAAAAGAAATCTGTACTGAAAAACAGAAAATGCATCATCAATCTGGTATTTATTGAATGGAAATAATTTTCATAAATCTGAGGTGGATTAAAAACTTATGCATTTATTTTTTTCTTTATCTGGTTTCTGCTGTGCGGTTGGGATTGTAATTATAAACTGGTAGCGATCCAAATAAAAACACATTCTAATCTACCATTACCCTCCTTATTAAGTAGAATGCTAAACAATCAGTTTGGGCTAACGGTATGTATTCCTCTAAGTTGTTGTGCCTTTATGTCCTGTGTTGTATCTGTTGCTGACCTGCAATCTTCTCCCTCTCTTATCTCCTTCTCAGCTGCAATAATTGGGACAAGGCTTCACATCCCTGTGGCAATTTCCTGCTTGATCATGGCCTTTTACGTCATCTTCCTGAAATGATAATCAGCCTGGACTGGAGGGACTGGATGGCTGCAGGCTGGGAATGGACTCATTTCTGTGGTCCTGTGTTAATCCTCACTCTGGGGGTCTCCTAAGTGACAGATGATACCCCACTGGGCATGTGGACCTCTTGTAAATATTAAGCCAGTGCTGCCCCCTTCTGGTGACTAGGAATTCAAACCCTCCCTGTATATTTGTGCACTACAGACATGGGGGACTGTGAATCTACAGAGAAGGCCCACAGGTTCACTTGATTCCATTCTATTGTTGGGTTATATTGATGGCTCTCTCTAACTTACACACTCACTGGGTTATTATTATTATTGTACTGAAGGACACGGGAGGTTGAATGGATAAATGTACATGCTACATTTTACCTGTGTCCTATTCAAGTTTTGCCACGCTATACCTAGCAAAGAAAAAAAATAAATAGAAATCAAATGATTCATTCAACCTGCTCCTAGTTATGCTGTTTCTGTGTTGCCTTTCCTGGTACTGGTGGAGGGAAAGATATACAAAGCTAATATATAAATATGGTTACACTATTTTCTTTTATTAATTTTACAAAATTCTTTTAATCTTGCCAATTTTCTGAGTAGAGCTATTTGACATCTCATCTCAACCTGTTCAGATCTCAACAGTTTTTTTGCATTATCTAATCTAATAATTAGGATGATTTCATTTTTAGTCTAGTTACAACCACAACTTTATTGTACTTTGGAATTGAATGGGATATAATTTAACTGACTGGTGAAGATTTGTAAAGCAGATGGGGGAGGGGAAGACAAAACCTAAAATTCTCTGAATTTGATATCAGATCTGATGTATCTAAGTTTCTTTGTAAACTTTTGGCCACGCATGGCTTTAAGTCTCACTTTCCAGGGGATTGGTCGGCTAGTTCAAGAATATGCTTCAGTGGCGACATTAAGGTCCTGTCGGAAGGTGAACTTTTCCCTCTTTGTGGAGCAGGCCTCTTGAGGTTCAGTGTCCTTTATCTTCTAGAACTGAAACGCTTAAAGTTGGAGCTCCTAGCAAAATCCCCACAGCACAATGCTGCCACCACTATACCTCTGAGGAGTAGGTGTGGTGCAATGTTAGTTTTCTTATTCATGTTGGTCTCTCTTAGGCTTTCACCAAACTTCTGCAGTTTTACTAACTTACTGCAATTTCCCAGCTTGGGATAAATAAAGTACATCTATCTATCTATCTAAAATTAAATCATAGGGAGCAAGATTCATTTTACTAATTACGTCTGATGACTCTGGTTTTACTGGATTTTATTTAGAGGGTTTAAAGTAAAGGGGAATGACTTTATGCCTGCCACACTTTTAGATTTCTATTTACAGATTATTTTTAGACTCTGGTGTCCTTTATTTTTGTCAGTTTTTGAAAGTAGGCAGACAGGAAATGGGATTTAAGAGAAGAGGAAGACGTGTGGCAAAGGTCATGTGGTCTCGATTCAGACTTATGACAGCTGCATCGAGGAATAAAAGCCTCTGCACGAGTCGCGCACGTAATCCCTGCACCATTATGCCCACACTTTTAAATTTCTATATGTCCATAAAAATTTATCCGAAAGTTACTTTTAGCATCACTTAACATCTTCAAATGAAGGTAATGTCTAAGTAAATGTATTCGACTTGCCTGAAAACATAAAAGCAAAGCCAAAGTTTTGTGATGCTCCTGCCCTTTTATCCGTCTGCTGTTATTTGGACTTGTGGGACATGATTTGTATGATTAAATTGCATTGTTTTGTTGAGATTCAATGCTGTTTTGATTAAAAAATGTTAACAGCTTTGGTGTTGTGGTTTTTGACAAACACACTGTAATGCAATAAGTTCCAGTACCAGTGAGACCTAATGCAACATAAGTGTGTCTTCATGCTTCTTATTGTTTACTTGTTTCGAAATAGCTCACAGCGATTGTGGTCAGCCTTTTTCTCAAAACAACACGCAGTTTTGCTGTTTTCATCCTAACCCCTAAAACCTCCAAGGTAAGTGGGGGGGAAACCCCACAGAAATTCCCATCTAGGTGTTCTTACCCCTTTATGCACGGCGGTGGGCTCTGTGCAGTGCTGCTTCTTGGAGAATATGTCTTTATTTGACCTTTTGTCTTTCACCCCATGTATTTTTCTTAGTGTTCCTCATGCTTTCTGGTAAACAACAAAGATGTCGTCCAAAGTTTTTCAGCAAAACAGTAGGGAATGGTACACACGCGTAAGATTTATGGAGGTCTCGGATCTTTCCCATTTGACCCTTTACCTTATTTCAAGAGAATAAATAAAATGGCCTGTTCATACTGGAAGAAACGTTTGAAAAAAAGTCATTCGACTTGTTTTACCGCTGAGATTCTGACCATTATCGGAGTGATGAGTATTTTGTTTATTAATAAAAAAACTCCTGATCCTTTTCAATTTACAGGTGCTGGTCATAAAATTAGAATATCATGAAAAAGTAGATTGATTTCAGTAATTCCATTTAAAAAGTGAAACTTGTATATTATATTCATACATTACATACAAACTCATATATTTCAGATGTTTATTTTGTTTAATTTTGATGATTACAAATGACAACAAATGAAAATCTCAAATTCATCATATCAGAAAATTAGAATATTGTGAAAAGGTTCAAAATTGATGGCCCCTGGTGCCACACTCTAATCAGCTAATTAACTCAAACCACCTGCAAAAGCCTTTAAATGGTCTTTCAGTCTAGTTCTATAGGCTACACAATCATGGGGAAGACTGCTGACTTGACAGTTGTCCAAAAGACGACCATCGACACCTTGCACAAGGAGGGCAAGACACAAAAGGTCATCGCTAAAGAGGCTGGCTGTTCACAGAGCTCAGTGTCCAAGCACATTAATAGAGAGGCGAAGGGAAGGAAAAGATGTGGTCGAAAAAAGTGTACAAGCAAGAGAGATAACCGCACCCTGGAGAGGATTGTGAAACAAAACCCATTCAAAAATGTGGGGGAGATTCACAAAGAGTGGACTGCAGCTGGAGTGAGTGCTTCAAGAACCACCACACACAGACGTATGAAAGACATGGGTTTCTGCTGTCGCATTCCTTGTGTCAAGCCACTCTTGAACCACAGACAGCGTCAGAAGCGTCTAAAGAGAAACAGGACTGGACTGCTGGTGAGTGGTCCAAAGTCATGTTCTCTGATGAAAGTAAATTTTGCATTTCCTTTGGAAATCAAGGTCCCAGAGTCTGGAGGAAAAGAAGAGAGGCACTTCATCCACGTTGCTTGAAGTCCAGTGTAAAGTTTCCACAGTCAGTGATGGTTTGGGGTGCCATGTCATCTGCTGGTGTTGGTCCATTGTGTTTTCTGAGGTCCAGGGTCAACGCAGCCATATACCAGGAAGTTTTAGAGCACTTCATGCTTCCTGCAGCTGACCAACTTTTTGGAGATGCAGATTTCATTTTCCAACAGGACTTGGCACCTGCACACAGTGCCAAAGCTACCAGTACCTGGTTGAAGGACCATGGTATCCCTGTTCTTAATTGGCCAGCAAACTCTCCTGACCTTAACCCCATAGAAAATCTATGGGGTATTGTGAAGAAGAAGATGCAATACACCAGACCCAACAATTCAGAAGAGCTAAAAGCCACTATTAGAGCAACCTGGGCTATCATAACACCTGAGCAGTGCCACAGACTGATCGACTCCATGCCACGCCGCATTGCTGCAGTAATACAGGCCAAAGGAGGCCCAACTAAATACTGAGTGCTGTACATGCTCATACTTTTCATGTTCATACTTTTCAGTTGGCCAACATTTCTATAAATCCTTTGTTTTTATTGGTCTTCAGTAATATTCTAATTTTCTGATATGATGAATTTGAGATTTTCATTTGTTGTCATTTGTAATCATCAAAATTAAACAAAATAAACATCTGAAATATATGAGTTTGTATGTAATGTATGAATATAATATACAAGTTTCACTTTTTAAATGGAATTACTGAAATCAATCTACTTTTTCATGATATTCTAATTTTATGACCAGCACCTGTAAGTTGTGTTCATCAGAGACTTTTACATTGTATTGTTACAGATATGTTTCTACTGCTGTAAACGAAATCAGTTCACCTCAAAAGACAAAATAAACACCTTAGTCATTATATAAATTTTATTTTTATCATTGGTCTGACAGATGTTCTTTTTTGTGTTTGGGTGAACTGTCTTACAATTTATAATGGACAGATTATTGATCCATACATACCTCTGTAAGGGAAACATTGACTTTGATCTTTTAGGCTACTAAAGACAGGAAAAAGATGGGTCTGTTAGATTTTTCTGCTGCAGTAGTAAAAATTATGGTAAATCATTGACACAAAAATAGGTTTAAGTAACATTAAATGTATAAGACCATGTAAATCTAATGCAACTGCAGTCTAAATACAGATGCTCTGAGAAGACTGTGAGACTTGTTATTGAACATGACTACCAGGGCAAAGCTAATGGTAAAAAGGGCAACGGTAATTCTGAGGGAGGTATAGGTATAGGCCTTTTACTGAATACACTGTGACAGTTTGTAAAAATACAAATGGCTAAGTAATGTAATGTCTACAATTAGGGTCTACAACTTCTTAAATCCAAAGAGCCATTTTCTTTGTTGGTAAGAGGCACACATATTGCATGAACTTTTAAAAAGAAAAAACAATTTATTTTTGTTAAAAATTGAAATCTCTTGCAATTTTAAATAACCGATATTTTATTTTTAGGTTTTAAAACCAGGAAAAACAAATGTTTTATAAAAAGTAAGCTTAGATTTTCCTCTATGAGATATTAATTGATGGGTAAGAAGGAAAAAAAAAAGACAAAATACACAAAAATAGACCTTAAGACATATTTCTTGTACACTTTTTTGTAAAATAGATTTCAAATTTTAATTTAAAAGTCTGCTTAAGCTTCTGAGGCTGATATTTGTTATGCTATATTTAAAACCAATACTTGGCCTATTTTTAGTGTTAGGCATTATCAAGAGCTATGGTATTCTGTCCAATAGCAGCCACTTTGGTGGCTTCAGACCCCTGTTTGTGCAGCATGTAATTTTATGATATGCACTGATTTGTGACCAACTCATAATCTGAGGAATGTTTTTTACATTCTGTAATGTTTAAAACTTTTACAATGGGTGTTTTTTGTATCTTTGATTAGAACCGTTTAGTGGCCTAGATTTGTTGTAGTTTTGATCCATACTTAAGGTCTGATTTTTCCATACTTGACATGTTTATTTTCTTTTCAGATGTCATAAGTTACAAATCTTTAACTCCTTACAGAGGGGGGATTCCCGCCCCTGAGGATATCCCCTAATTTCTCAATATCGCGTCATTTCTCGCGAGAAAATCGTCCCCGTTCCCGTGAGCGCGACTGACGGTTGGACGTGCGCGTTCTGGGCTCCTCGCGCTCAGCTCAGAATAGAGGCGAAAAATCCAGCGAAAGCCAGACAGAGTGCTTCCTGACCTGAAACGTTCTGTACGCCAAGTTGTTTCCGAGCGTTCTGAGACAGAGGAAGGGAATTTTCCTTTTGCGCAACTTTTCTTTTTTTTTTTAGATTGTTAATTTTTATTTTGCACACACTGGGTCAGTGAAGTTGTGATTAATTTTTAGAGTTTAGACAGGGAGAGCAGCAGCAGTGCACGTCAGCCTCGCGCAGGGAGGAGCGGAGAAGAGGGCAGAAGTTTCCGCTGGGCTTGTTTTGTCACCGCGGGGCTGCTGGTGGTCAATCCGCAGGAATGTCGCACAAGGAGAGACCCGTTTTCTATCGACAGGAGCTCAACAAAACCGTGTGGGAAGTCCCGCAGCGCTATAAGAACCTGTCTCCGGTCGGCTCCGGTGCTTACGGATCCGTGTGGTGAGTAGTTGCTCCTGCAGAGAGCCCTCTCGAAAGCAAACCGCGCGATTGCACAACGACCCAGTGGCTTTCTGAGGCCCAGATATCTGTCTATTTTCTGGGTGTAGTTACCAGCTTGCAGAGGGCTTCTGTGCTAAAAGCGGCTTTTGTTTACAGCTTCACGTCGTGCACTTTTTCGTAGTGGTTTGCTTCCACATCGATGTATGTTTATGTTTCTGTGTACCTTCGCTGTTGTTTTCCTATGCCCACTTTTGCTTGTTTTTCAAGTTAATCGAGCTGCTGGTGGCTGCAGACGGCTTTCGTTTTGCACTTGCACTGGTCCCTACTCTGGTTGGCTGACATGCCCATACTTGTATCATGGAGAAAGGGGTGCCTCCTCATTGCATCTGTTCTCCTTGTGTCTGTAAATAGCACCACTGCTCTTAGTCCTCCACCTAAAGTACCTGCACCTTTCCTTTTCATCATGGATTGCAAATCCTGGACATCGTGCGTTTTCCAGTTGGGTGCAGCCTGCAGAGTACCAGGAGGTCACGTGGTTTTTCGGAAACTAGGCCCCCTCACTGCACCGTGCTCTACAGGAACCCATCCGAGGAGGAGGAGGATGATGATGACTCTGGAATGATGTCACCCTTTCTCCCGTTGTGTTACACACGGATGAGTCACAGTCCCGAGGTTAGGTGTTGGCTTCAGCTCTGACTCCCTCCACTCAGCTATGTTATAGATGAGGAGGAACCCTAATGTTTCTCCTGCCTTTGACCAAACTTTAACACCCCCAGCTGCATGTGATGCAGCCCCTGTGAGGACTTCCAGGGAAGTGCAGGCCCATATTTAGACCTGAAGATAACTAATGTTTACATAAAAGGAATATACTTGCAATCTTTTGCAAAAGTTTTCAAATCTAATGAGCTTCATGTTAAAACCACAACTTCAGTTTATATATATATATATATATATATATATATATATATATATATATATATATATATATATATATATATATATATATATATATAAAACACAGGCGTGTGCATTTTTGTGCATCATTTCTCATACACAGCTTTGATTGAAAGGGCTTTGTATATAAAGTTATTATTAACAAACAGCATTATAAGGGCCAAGGGGCAGTCCACACAGATCAGTTCCCAAATATTTCAGCCTGTGACCCCAGTAAATAGCAATGCAACAGACTGCCCCCCCCCCCCCAAGAAAAATACACAGAATTACCTCACTGTGTATTTATGAAAATAAGGTAATATCATCACATTCGTTTTTAAGTACATTTATTTTTTTAGATGACATTTAATAATCTAATGAATCATTATTTAATTGTGACATGTTACAAGTTAATAGTTTATTTAATATTTGAGTATATTACATACATTTATTTATAAATGTTACATTTACGTATTTCATGATACTTTTTTTTTATTTCACGAGACTTTCACATTTAGGTGTTTTTTGATCAATGGTGTCAAAAGTACACACATTTGTTACTTAAGTAGAAGTATAGATACTTCAGTTTAAAATCACTCTGGTAAAAGTTGAAGTATCAACTTGGCCTCTTTACTCAAATAAAAGTGATAAAGTATGTGCTCCAAAAACTACTTAAAAAGTGTAAAAGTATAAAGTAACCTTTAAAAAAAAAACAGCCAGATGCCACTATATGAATTGAAAGCTCAATTTTTTGACTTTTTTGAAAAGGATGAGGGAGGTCTTGTTGGTCTCAATCTCCATTTCCGATACGGTCTGGCCTGTGTCCGACCTTTCAGACATTTCAACATCTTTTTCTGAATCTGACATTGTAGCATGAAATAGATAATTCATGTTTGCAGTTTAAAGAACACCTGCTTGTTTCTGATTATTTCCTTTAGCTAACCAATGAGTGTTTGCGTTATATATGACTCATCCATTTACACTAGTTTTCACTAGATGTGGATGGCAGCAATGATCTGCATTTGATGGCGCAAATAAAATAAATATTTATAAACATAAAGGCAAGAGCAATGAGTAACGTTTGTTTTCAAAATGTAAGGAATAGAAAGTACAGATACTTGTGTGAAAATGTCAGAGGTAGTACAGTAAGTACAGTAACAAAGTATTTGTACTTCGTTACTTGTCACCTCTGTTTATGATATATTTTAGCCCTCCTTTTACTTGTTCTAAAACGGATTGATCCTGGTGATTGACTAACAATTTATAAGTGTCCATTTTATTAAAAAGTTTTGTCATTAACAAGAGGATCATTCTGTAACAAAAAGGTCTTTTTTTTTTCTTTTTCAATATCCAGAGTTAGATAAGTTTGTATTCTAACGATTTACTGTGCCAACTGTTATTTTGTCAGTGTTAGTTGTTGCACATCGTAACCTTATAAACGTTTGTCCAAACTTGCTTTAGATTAATTTTAATTCAGTTTATTCATATAGCGCTAATTCCAGACACATGCAATCTCAAGGAACTCTAAAGAATACATTCAAACAGATTATATTTCTCTCCAGGATGGTGTCACAGATAAAGCTACTATGACAAGAAAAATCAGTGTCAACATAAAATCAATGGTTGAACTGACAAACACAGCAGAATAGGACAGAAGAGATGGAATAAGCAGAATGATGAAAAGTTGGCCCCTATTTCCTCCAGCAGCCTAATTCTATTGCAGCACTATACATGCATATTACAGAATGGTATTGTCAAAGTACAGATTCAAGTACAATTTGTAGTCTGTGGTATTGCTTAAATTGATGTTCAGCTCTTTATTGTCATCTGAGTTTAAGCTGTTTCTCATCTAAGGCAGTGGAAAAATCTACCCTCCAAAGCACTGCCAGAAAACAAGTGCACTTAGAAAAAGAAACGATAAAAAGTGTTTTGTTCTCCAGGCTAGTATCCTCTTTGTAACTTTTCTGTAGAGGAGTTTTCACAAAGCTTTTCAAATACCAGTTGCATTAATTTGTGCTGTCTTCTGCTGCTACTTTATATGTAAAATAAAAAATAAATTCATGATAAATCTCTCATCCAAGTAACAAGTTCACACTAGCATTTAAGCCTGTTCCCCTAGGGCAGGAGTGTCAAAGTTGTTTTTATATCGAACAACTTCAGAGTTATCAAGTCTATGAAAAGGTTACCCTTGCAGCTGATTGCAGATTTGGCCCATAGGCCTCAAGCACTAGAGTATCTTCTGCTAAATTCTGCAGGCGGTTAATCTAAACGATTTTTAGCCTCTGAAGGTTTAACTACCATTGGCTCCTCCAGTACACCTTGTAATCTGTCACTCAGTTAAACCTTTTTTGTGTCTGCTGCCACCACATTGCTCAACTTCCTCGCAGAAATATTTAAAAAGAAACCCTATTAAGCCAGTTTCTCTATCACTCATAGACCGTATAGACAGCCCCACGCCTTTTAATCCACGCTGATTCAGAAACTTTTAAAGGGTTTGTGTGGAGAGAGAGAGTCTACCCTCTGTGTCGCTTCTTACTTTGCAGAAATAATCGTTTTGAATGCCTTTAATCAAGAAGAGAAATCTACTTTTCTCAGTTAAGACCAGCAAATGCTTGAAACCACGACACACCCAGAGGTGATGTACACGTTAAAGAAGCATTTTTTTTCCAGTTCTGTCAAAGACGAGGCTAGGAGACAGATAATGCAGCCCCACAAAAAGCTTGTGAAATAGTTGAAATTACACAAGTGTTTTTGTGCTCCATGTTTGGCTGACTCACTTGGATCTTACCCCATTAGATTTTCAGCTTAGGTTTAAAAACCTGTAATTTTCTGTCTTTTATTCTAACATCTTCTGCACAGTAGTTATTTTGGTCTATAGCTTGGCTTGAACTTTTGCATCTGAAGCGAAAGGCAAATATGCTTGAGCATTGCATATTTACTATCTTGTTTTGCAAATCTGTCCTTTTTGATCTGGATAAACAATGTTTTATTTGTAAGTGGAAGGTCAAGTCTTTATAACTGTCTTCTTAATCTTTCTGGGCAGAGAGTATTGCAGAATGCATGCTTAAAGTCTTTGAATATTTCTCTCTCAGATTAAACTAGTATTTGAATTTCCATGTTTCTGGTTCTGCCCTTTTTTTTTCTTCTTGTTCCTGCGTTTCACGTGACAAATATGTCAGTTTTTGACTACATGTCCTGTTTGCTATAAAAGAAAAAAGTCCCGACAAGCATGATTTAACCTGGCTGCTAATTTTAGGTACTCCACCACAGCTCTCATATTTGTCATTCCAGTCAACTTCTCACAAGGAATGATTATTATAACTTCGCGTCACCGAGGACATGAAGACATGAACTATGTGATGTTGTGCACAGAGAGATCTGATAACTTGAACCTTGCAACAGCAAAATTAGCTCATGACTTGTCGTGCAAATACATTGAGCTATTTGTTCCTGTAATAAAATTATAAAATGGACAAAACACCGGCCTGTATACCTGCATGTGCCAGTTTTATCTAATAATGCATCAATTTTTCTCTCAGTTTTATCTAATCATGCATACATTTTTCTCTCATCTTTGCAAAGAATAATTAATATAATCTTTTTTACATCTAAAATTATTTAGAAAAAATATATAAATTTTATTTAGTTGCATGCAATTAAAAGGAAAACCTAAATGTCCTAAAAGTTGCAGATAAGCACATATAATCTAGAGTCAAGTAATTTTAAAACAAAATGTTTTGTTTCAGGAGGGTTTACAATAGTTTACAATTAAAAATATGTTAAATGGCTGTCTAGGCAGTATTTTAAGGTTTGTAATGATAGTAGTTAATGTGGTGATAACAGTATAGAGTGTAATAAATAAACAGATAATTTAGTGGCACTTTTATCATTCGTTCTTGGTTTATAAAAAAAACAAGAACCTGAGATAAAGTGTAATCCATCTAGATCCTAACAGAAATGGGAAACAAACTGCATCCATGCTGTCAATAAGAAGTTAACGGAAAAAAATTGTGACATGCATACTTTGTACACTAACATTGTGATGGTGATAAATAAAATGTACATTGTACAGCCCTTTGTTTGGATGCATATGTTTTACAAAAAAGATATAGCCAAAAAGAGTAAATGTGCACAAGAGTAGATGGAAACACATTTGTCCAAAAAGTTGTGACGTAGAAAGTATTTACCACACATGACCGATCATCTGTTCCACTGCAGGAGGAAAACATCTATAGCATTAAGTTTTTGTTTCGTTTTGATGAAGTGAAATGTGATAAAATACAAACAAACATGTTTATCAAGACCTTGGGCAACAGTTCACATCACTGAGGGAAGTTTTTTCTTTAAACAGAGACTGGGTAAATCTTCAGGTGCAATGTTACCAAGTAGGCTGAGATAAAGATTGTGATCTGTACATTTCTGCAGGTTTGCACAAAATGCCATAATCACTTTGCGTTCACACACCAGTGTGACTCAGGTTTAAAGATTTTCTCCAGGGCTGGCTAGCTAAAAGGCCTTGAAAGATGACGCTGCACTTATTGGAGACCTCTCTACTAGTCATTTATAGTACACATTTGTGTGTTTGCTCACTTAGCGTGCCTGTTAGTCAGCGGCCTGCCTCTCCACTTCCATATGAAGCTGGCCTCACTGCGTTGCTCCTTTTTACAGCCCACAGTTTATAGCCATTTCTTACTGCACTTCCATTTATCACAGGCTAATTGGATGATGTGTACTCAGGCTCGTTTTTGTTTGCCTTGTAGATTAGCAGTAGTTTCAAATATGGCATTGTGCTTGTTTATTTCCCCCCCCCCCCCTCCTATTTAGTGCTTTTTTGTCGAGGATTGCTTTTCCCTCTCTGCTGTCACACAGGGTTGTTCCTCATGTTTCCAACATTGGGTGTGGGAGGTTATCTATGACTTGCTGGAAAAAGCTTATCTCAATGTTCTTGCTAGGGATGCATGGCAAACAGGGTCAGAGTTGACAGTTAACTCAGCTGGGAGTCAGTTTAAGGAGGCATTCCGACTAACTTTAAATGTCGACACTTTGAGTGGTGAAAAAGGTGTGCAGAAAACATTGGCACCGCTCTGACTTTGGGTTTGGTTATATTTTTGCTTATCTGTCACTCAAGTTCCCCTTTTAGAGTTACTCGATTGTATTTTGTCTAGTCTAGCTAAAGCTTTTTGACTCAAATAAAACAAGCAAAAACAAATTAGTTAGCATCATTCTTAGTAAAGATGCCACCCCCCCTCTTGGTTGAGCAATCCACTTTAGATATCCAGATAAGGTGATTGACCTTAGAAGGAAAGTGGGTTATCTTAAGGATAAATAAAGGAGGATCGCTATTCAGAAATCAGCTGCTTTTGTTGTTGAAGCATAATAAATGAAGACTTATTAAAATAAAGGTAATCTGTTGTGTGTCATATTTGGTTTGAACATTTTAAAAAATATGATACTTGTCACCGCAAATGCTTCCAAACAACCGTTTCATGAGCAGGAAGTTGTGCATAAGCTCTCTAAAATATCAAGTAGCAGTATTTACGTAATATTTTCAATTCCAATAAATTAATATTTTTATGCGTACTATTTGTAAAAAGATTATCTACCTTGGTTCAAAGGGCTAACAAACATTCCCACCAAGCAGGTAGCAATTGTGATAAATGAGATATTATTTAAGAGATTTTTAGTTCCCACAACAAATGCTTTTTTGGGCTACTGTATAAAACCTGGAGCTCAACGCTTTTGTTGACGTTTTGAATTTAAGAAATCTTCTTGGATGGGAAGTGAAACGTCTTTAAACTTGGGAACAAGGTCCTATGGATTTTTTTTTTTCTTTTTTTTTTTTTTGGAATTCCTACAACAAAGTTTTAAGATAAGATTTAAGACCTAAGATTTCTGAAGTTGGATTTAAAACACAGGCAATCTGGGTAAATATAAAGTAGTGAATGTTTACCTTATAATAAGGGAATCACAGGTGGATTTTATCTGCATGTAGACACTGGTGCTGAGCTTCGACAACTTCAGCTTTTAAAATAAGGAATAGAAACCAAGAGCACGGCTTTATGCAGTTATTTGCTTTATCGGTTGAGTTGTGACCACCTACACAGTCAGGTGAAGGATCTCATTGTTGGTTAAAGCAAGGGAAGCATAACGTTTTTGTTTTTTTATGGGTTTTGTTGTTTGCTGCCTACATTAATGGCATTGACTTCCTCTATCTCACGTTTGAAATGTTCCGCTCATTCACAGCTCGGCATACGACGAGAAGACAGAGCTGAAGGTGGCGGTGAAGAAGCTGTCCAGGCCTTTCCAGTCCATCATCCACGCAAAGAGAACGTACAGAGAGCTGCGGCTGCTCAAACACATGAAGCACGAGAATGTAAGTCTGCTGCGGTGTAGCCCCCATCGCTGCCAGGGATTCCTGTCTCGTCTGTAAATGTGGGTTTTAGGGACAAGATCACCACAGAAACCTCATGACTTTTTTTCTTTTCTTCTTTTACATCCAATAACCACAGATTTATATCTGCTGATCATGTGTGAGATCATGCAGAGCTGTTTTTTTGTGTTTGTTTTTCTGTTTTGGGAGGGGAAGGAGGAAAACTTGTTATGACACCTCAGGTTACAGGCTATTTATATAGCAAGTTTTTCTTGGTAAAAGCTGAAGGTAGCATTGATACGCTAAGCTTCTTCTTCTGTGCATGGTAGCACAATCATACAAGACCGAACCGGCCAATTGTAGCAGGTGTCACATCTAGCTAGGAGAGTTATTCCCCCTGCATGTAGCGCTGGGCTGCTTGATGCATCATGAGTCACCTAACAAGTACTATATGCACTCTCATCACCTTCTGTTACATGCCGTCTTCCCTGTCTCTCCTTTAGTATCAAAGCAACACTGTATTATTCAGAGCAGTGGCTTCAGCTGCCCCCCCGCAAACCACTGCTTTGGTTTTGGTCTGAAGACACATGACACACGTCTGGGAAAGTCTCACAGATCAACTGCTGTCCAGGTCTCAATGAAATTATGGGAACCAAAGGAGTTTAGAATAATATTTTAATTTCTAGACTGTTTTCTCAATTTCATTATCTAAATGTTTCCTTTGTTTTTACTTCCTCCCTCCTTTCTTGCTAGCCTAGCCTCCTTGGGTCTTTCCTTCCTGGGTCCTTATTGTGGTCTGCCCTTCTTGCCCTACCTTGATTCATTCTGCTTCTGTACTTTCTTATTTTGCACATTTCCTTTCCTGTGCCTTTAATATTTGTCATTCTTTCTTTTTCATCTTTTGCTTGTGTCTCCATTAGGGCTGAAATTTATGATTATTTTGCAAATCGATTAATCTGTCGGATTATTTTTTTCATTAAATAATTGATAAGCAAAAGGTTCCTTAAAGAAGTTTTTTTTTTTCTGAAGACACATGACACACGTCTGGGAAAGTCTCACAGATCAACTGCTGTCCAGGTCTCAATGAAATTATGGGAACCAAAGGAGTTTAGAATAATATTTTAATTTCTAGACTGTTTTCTCAATTTCATTATCTAAATGTTTCCTTTGTTTTTACTTCCTCCCTCCTTTCTTGCTAGCCTAGCCTCCTTGGGTCTTTCCTTCCTGGGTCCTTATTGTGGTCTGCCCTTCTTGCCCTACCTTGATTCATTCTGCTTCTGTACTTTCTTATTTTGCACATTTCCTTTCCTGTGCCTTTAATATTTGTCATTCTTTCTTTTTCATCTTTTGCTTGTGTCTCCATTAGGGCTGAAATTTATGATTATTTTGCAAATCGATTAATCTGTCGGATTATTTTTTTCATTAAATAATTGATAAGCAAAAGGTTCCTTAAAGAAGTTTTTTATTTTTTTTTTTATTTTACGAAATTAAATTTGGTGAAACTCAGATTTTCCACTTCAAGAGTTCCGCATAGAGCATTTTGACAAACATTTTTTTTTTTATCTTAAACGCAAGAATGTTTACAAAATTAATGTTCCAAGTGGGTCGCTTTGTCATCTAAAGACATATTTTTTAGTTTCTGTACTCCAGTTAATGATTAACCCATTACTAAATTAGTTTAGGATTTATTCAATAACTGATGAATTGTTACAGTATAGTCTCCATTCCTTTATCCTACCCTGCATCCTCCTTTGTATAATTTCTTCCCTTTCTTTGATGAGTTTTCCTGGCTCTTTATAAGCCCGAATCCATTATCTGTTTTCTTTAAATTTCCATTATACATTCAGAAAATGACTTTAAGGAGTGAGAATTTTGCCAATTTGAGTCTAGATAAGTATGAACATCCTCCTTTGTAGAAACTAGGGGTGTCGTGATCCAACGTTTTCATTTCCGATACCCATATTGCCGCTTTGAGAATTGGTTGATACCGATAATGGCCAGATACCATATTAGCATCAATCATACCAGCTTTTATTACTTATTTTATACCGTGAAATGTCGGAAAAGGCTTGATCAGGCAATATTACTCGAAACATAAACAAAAGTCATCAACAATAGTTATGAAAACGACTAACCCATGTAAAGTTAACCAATTAGTTACAGAAGATTTTAACAGAAGCGGAGACCTTCTATTAAAAAAATGTCAGGGGTGTCGGCATACAATTTCTGATTTTTTTTTTTGCTGATATAGAACCAGGACACCCTTAGTAGAAAACCAGATAGACGTATCAGGTAGACATATCTGTAGTTCATGAAAAGGTGAGACAGCCTGGAAATTTGTGTAGGTGTTAGGATGCTATAAGTAGAAACCCGTGCAATCAGAAACTGTATCGACTGGACTAAATATGTGTCTAATTTGAAATTAAATGCATTATTTTGAAATTGAGCTGAACTGAAATTAAAACCTGATATTGATAGTTAGAAAATAAATGAATTTGTTTTGATAATGTATTTTGTTGTCATGAAAATTACATTTGACTTAATTTCCGTTCAATTTAATTTCAGTAGAAAATTCAGTTTCCTTTTCTGAAAACGGGTCCTTTAAGAGTAATCAAACACAAAATAACAGATTGCATCATTAATTTTCTAAATTTTAAGCGGAAGCAGAGGAGGGTACTTGAGCTTCGTAGATGGAATCCATTAGGGCTGGGTAAAAAAATGGATTTAATCGATTTTGAATCGATTCCTTTACATTTTTGCAAAATCGCTGTCTAGGAAATGAGATTGATTCGCTTTATAGTGACGCATGTGACGTTCACATTCAAATGAGCAGGAAAGATGCTCTCAAGATAACTTCATGCCAGACAGCTGCAAATATAGCAAATAGGTTGTCTGAAGACATTAACAAATGGGGGCTGACCAGCAAACACCCTGTAGTTGTAACAGACAACGCTGCACATATGGTTTGTACAGTGGAGATAATGCTGCTCATGCATGTCTGCTGTGTCACGTCTGCTTGCTCGAGTGAGGCTTCACTTTTCACAAACAAGTTTGCACTTTTGAGACAGTTTTGTTCACATCTGAAGTTTAAACTGTCCGATTTACAAGTTTGCACTTTGTGTTTAATGTGACAGGAAAAAAATAAAATACTTTTGAAACAAAGTTGAACCGCTTTAATTTTTGTAAAAACAGATCGAATCAAAATTAATCGATTTAGGGCTGTATGAATCAAAATCGAATTGATTCAGGACTTTAGTGAAAATACCCAGCCCTAGAATCATCCTGCATATCAAATATATTATTTAGAAACCACAGAACAACACTGCACCTGCAGTACGTGCTTAGGTAAAAGCTACAGGCAGCTATTCCAGATTTGTTTGTTCTTTATGACTCTCCTCACACAGGACAATAGACATAGTTAATGGCATCTAACAAGTCTGATACTGCTTCAGCTAAAAAATGTAACTAAAAACAAGTTACACTGGTCTATCTGTGAATGGTGTTCAATTACTCTGTGGCTTAAGGACCTGGTTGCCTGACATAAAGAAACGTCATTCTCAAACAAACAGAGTAAAATGAAAGTTAGAATAGACAAATTCGTATTTTCAGTCTAAAAAAATACATTTTCAAACAAATTAAGTCATTTTCAGACCATGGAATTCAGCTTCAATTGAGTGAAATTCATTTGAAAACCAATTATTTAATTTCAAATTTAATAAACACAATTCAAATCCAGTTTGTGGTGGCTATGGTTTCCTGCCATGGGGATGTAATTACTGAAGAAATTTGCATAGCAAAGAGTCCACATTTGTGTGACAATTTTTTTTTTCTATAATCTTTTTGCTGCTGTAAACAACAGAATTTCCCCATTGTGGGACAATAACGGGATTTTCTATTCTATTCAAAATAAAATCCAAAGCAAACAGTTCAGCTTCAGCCCTTAAATGCAAAGCACAGTTTCAGTTGCACTAAACTCCACTGCAACATATGCAGGGTCGAAATATTAATAAATGACTAAAATTAGGTTTTTATCAACCCGGATATGAAACTTGTGATGAGTAAATATCAGAAACTGCATCAAAAAGGGCAGTTTTTTGTGGCTTTAGAGTATTTGTTAATGCAGCATTTTGCATTAAGGGGGGGGGGGGTGATTATGCTTTATGTGAACCTACCTCTTCTTACTAAAACCTCTTTTTAAAGCTGTGATTCATTGTGCTTTCAGCATGACTTTTTATCTAGATCCTGTTTTCTGCACACGCCCATATTTCACTACTTGAACAGCCACAGGGTGTTTGTTGAGCAGTTCAGAAATTGTTGTTGCACAAAGAAGCAGAGCTTGTAGCTACCTCCGTGCATTATCTGCAAAACAGGTTTTACATGAAGTGAGGATTATTTAGGATTAGTATAATCATTGCACCAAATGCATAGCAGCCACATTGTATAGAAACATGTGTCTGCTGGCATAATAAAAGTGTAGCGCTTATGTAAGAGAGGGTGCATGCTCTTTCTTCCTGTTTACAGGAAGCAAAGGCATAAAAAGGGTGAAGCTTTTTGATGCCTACTTAAGACTGAAACACACAGAAGAAGGGATTCTGTGTTTTACTGACGCTGTTGCCGGGAGACTCCCCGGGTTTTGATTTTTAGAAAGTAAAGGCAGACCAATCGGCTGTTTGTTGTGGCTGCAGCTCAGCCAATGAGCTCCGATTTTGAGTACTGAGTGGGTGGGCCACTCGAATGTTTTCACAGCACTATATCCATCTGAGTCTCTTCTCCTGGGGATGGGGGCAGGGTCGGCTCTCTTTGTCAGTATACATGCTTGCATATGTGTATGCATACACCCGTGCATGATGGTTTACAGAAGCAGGTCCTGCTGAAACAAATCAATTGGGATTTTTAAGTGGAGTTTTTTTGCACATTTTTTTTTTTCACCTTTGCTTTTATACCTCCTGCAGCAGCAGTATGACACTTTTATTCATGTTGGCTGATGTTTAACAAACCAGCCAACAAGATTGTGGGAGATTTAAAGAGCCTGTGCAAGTTCAGAAGTGCAACTTTCTTTATTCTATTCGGGCACAGAGACACCCTATGGGTGGGGTGTTGTTTTTTTTTTTTCACTTTTGTGCACTTCACCGCAAAGGAAGTAGAAAACTGTATTCTCAGTAATGCCCCCATTAGCATGATTAGGAGCTCAGAACAGGAAAAACTATCATGACCTACATCTGATATAAATGGGTCAATATAGTTTTGTTGGTTAAGCTTAGTCTAAGGAAATGTTTAGGTCAGTTTGAGATTTATGACAAGGTTTAAATAGTTTGGACATTTTCATTAGTCTTTATTTTTATTTAGTTCTGATTTCATATTCAATTTTTATTTATTTATGAGCATTAATAATAAAATAAGAACTAAGCAAACAAGCTTATAAATACTGATTTTCAGTTTAGTTATCAGTTTCAGCTATAGTTTTAATCTTGTTTGTAATGTACATACTGGAGGCAAGACAGGGTTGGAAAAGAAGAAGATAGATAAGACAGGATAGAAAAGAAGAAAAATAATAATGATAGAAATAAAATCCCACATAAGGACTGTATGAATGTACTTAAGGACTGTACTGTACTGAATGTACTTGCCACCTGCTTGTGTGGCGCGGTACAGGAGACAAAACAAAACGAAAGAGCAACTGGAGACTAGACTCATCTTAATACATTATGATAAAGACAATTAATTTTAGTTCTAAGTTTAGTAAACTCATACTAAATCAGTTTTCATTTGTCTTCAAGTTCTAGTTTTTATTTTCTTGCAAATGTTTTTTAATTTGAGTTTTCCTCCTGTTGTTAATACAGTTAACGTGTAAGCCCATGTAATTCATGCAGAGCACATAGATAATCTTTTGCCTTTTACCCAGATATTGAAAACTATGGGAAAGGAAATTATTATGTAAAAATGTGAATTTCTACAACACACGCCATGTTATTTTGTGTGAAAAGACCAAAATGTTTGACTTTTTTTGTTTTTCCTTTTACATGAATTTATGTTTAGATGATCTGCCCGTATCTTTCACTGCAGACAAATAAAATACTATAAAGAGTACAAAGAGTTTTTGTCAGCAAAGCAATTGGCCAATATTCCAGCAAACTTGTGTAAAAATGTTTCAAAAGGGGACCCGAAAAGAGTTCGGTCAATTCGTGCTTAACAATACTGAAAGGTAGATTTATCTCACTGAGGATAGAACAGAATCCCTTAAAACATGAACATAAAAGAAACAAAAGCATCTTAAACCTATAGAACTAAACATTAATACTGAGCATGGACTTTTGAAATTACTTAATAAATTATATAAAAATGTCTAAGAACAATAGTTAATAAAAGAATACTACTAAGAGCTAAAAAATAAATACTGTAAATGCTGTTCCTGCAGTATTTGGTCTGTTTCTGCTGGAGGCCTGAGATAAGGCTGAAAGAGTGGGAACTTCCCATGACACTGGTCAGTCAGCAACAATCGGTGTTCCTCCTGGAAAACTATGAGAAAAGTGGGAAAGTTAAAACCGGTTTAAGATAGACACATAAAACAGTTTCTTTCTGGGGAACTGAGACACAGTCCGTAGACATAGACAAAGTGGACGACCGTGTCCCTTCCTGTTTACACACCAGCATCCTTTTGGAAAACTGTGTTATTGGCTGGACTTGTTGTATGGTTTCCACCTTTTATTTGAAACTTATTGAAATGAGTAAATGTAGTTTTTCGTTCTAGATCATTTTGTATAGATATTTTAAACAGTTCTGATCTGTGTTGTTCTTCAACCTGCTAATAGCCCTTTAGGGGAGTGGCGGCCTAGTGGTTAGGGCATTGGGCTTTGAATCCTGAGGTTGTGAGTTTGATCCCCCACTCCCACAGACTGCCACTCTGGGTCCCTGAGCAAGACCCTTAACCCCACACTGCTCCCCGGGCGCCTCACAATGGCAGCCCACTGCTCCCCAAGGGGATGGGTTAAATGCAGAGAGTTCATTTCATTGCTCTGTACTTGTGACAGTGTAATGACAATAAAATTGAATTATTATTATTATTATTATTATCGCACCAAAAAAAAAAAGGTCAAAAGCCAGCTTCTGTCTTGTTTGGTTGTTTTTAAAATGCATTGAGAGTATGACTTGTTCATTTTACTGGTAATGTATCTGTAAGGTTCTAGTACTCAAAATACTTTAAGAAACAATTTAAGAAAAAACAGTAGAAATAATATAAATGTCAAACTTTTCCAAACTGGGTGATAATCTGAAGCTTTCCCCGGATTAAAAACTCGCATATGTACTAATGTGGGCTGACTGTACATAGATGTATTGTTTAATGAAAGTTGTAAATGATTACTTACCTCCTCACTTATTATTCCCTGCAGGTGATCGGCCTCTTAGATGTTTTCACTCCAGCAACGAGCTTAGAAGAGTTCAATGATGTGTAAGTTTGTTTTTGTTTGTTTTTTCACCCCCCCCCCCCCTCTATCCGTCTGCTGCCTTTGTCCCCACTTGGACTCTTTGGTTGTTGTTGTTGTTTTTCTGTTTCTCTTCCTGCTCTCAATCCTCACTACTGTTGATCGAGTTCAAACCCAAAAATCACTGCCACCTTTCAGCAGCTGAAGGAAATGCTGCAAAAGATGCTTAAGTTAGCGTGAGCCCAGAGTGGGGGGGCATAAGTATCAAGGTGGATAGAGGGTTGAACACACGTGCGCTGTGCACATCACAGCCAGTCTCCATGGTAACAGCCATCTGGCCGTCTGTGTGCTTGTAGTGTGTGTGTGTTCTGAATCCTCAGTGAGCGTCCTTGAATTGTATGCGTACTGTTGTGTCATCAGCTTGTGGCACATTTGTGGAAATGTGAGGAGAACCTGAATGAACTATTTAGGTTGTGCTGCACCTTTGGTTTTAGGCGAGCGTTTGAGAAGGCAGTGAAAATGGTGTGGCAGAAAATAAGATGGATGCAAATCACTGAGTGATTTCTGGGTATGAATAAGAGGTAAAGGCTCAGGATTTAAGATTTAGACTGAGCATTACTGTGCAGCGTCAGAATTTAATGAAGCAAAAACTGTAAAAAAGTAAAAATCACAAAAGTAGTGCCCCCTTTTTATTTCAAGATGTTAAAGGAGTACTAAGTCAAACATTTTGCCTTAATATATCCTCTTCCAAGTCCTTGTGACGGTAACCTAAGTGTTTATGAGGCATAGGTCATCTCCCGCTACTGTCTGTGGCCAGAAACCATAGCCATCAATAGTCACACGGCCCTCACTGTGCTGCCCACAGGTGAGCATAGAACACTTTTGGATTCTAGAGGTTTGTGACATGTTGGAGCCAGCATCAAAATCCACAGAAACCTTTTTCTAAAATGAAAAGGAAGAGAAAATGTGAAATGCACTGAGACAGCTCATAAACAAGAAGGAACTTTGGCAAGGGGATCGCTTTGTGGCGAGACCACAAACAAAAACAAGGATGCAAAACTGATGCAGATGTTGACTTTTAAGTGAAGATTCTCCGTCATTCAGGTCATGCTCAAGCTTCAAAAGATCACTTTAGATAACTGGACGTAAATTTTTCGAGAAGTTTCAGCTCTCATCCAAGAGACGTCTTCAGTTCCAACTAGTGGTGGGGAGCACTGAGATTATAACATACTGTTGGTGTTACTACTGTGACTTTAGAATGATAGTTTTAGTTTGCTGCTGAAAAATATGGAGAGGTTAAATAACCTTGTGAGAGCAATTAAAAAATGCATACACTTAAGTGACTGAGAGTGACAGTCTGCTGTAGCTGTGGGGTGTAGTCCTCTAGGGGGAGCACTACTCCAAAATCACTAAGCACAGGGCTCGATGTTAACCATTGCCCGATTGCCCGGGGCAAGTAGTTTTTATTGTCAGGAGAGTACAAATTATTCCTAGCACAAAACAGTTTAAAGCAAAGTTTAGTTTGAAAAGAATGTGCAGGAAGGATTGAAAAGCATGTTTACACAGTAATGCAGGCTTGAGTTCATTATCTGATGCATGCATATAAACGCCAGGAACCTGTAAACTTACTGAATTACAAAATAAACATTTAAAAAACAAACATGTTTCATATATTAATTTATATTAGGAACTATATTTATCAAACATTATACTCGGCAAGTAAAAATTGTTTCTGGGCAAATGAAATGTGAAAGCCACTTGCCCGAAAGGTAAAAATCCTTAATGTCAACCCCTGAAGTGCAGCTTTAAATTTTGGGTTATTTCACTTTTTTCTAAATTTATCTGCCTTTAACTCAGTCTGGTTGAACTCAAAGATTTTCTGAACGTTTAAAACATCTGGCTCATTGTGAGTTTTATACTTTTTTTCCCTTTTATCTTTTGTTAGTAAATGAAGCCCTTTGTGTATATTTACAATACTGTGACTGTGTGTAAAACAAGGAAGTGGCATAATGGGGCTAAGCCAGTTAGCACCTCTCAGGGAAATGGGGAAATAATTAAGAAAAATAATGTAATTCACTGTGAAACAATGGAAAAAATACTTTGATTCATAGAGGGGTAAAACTCGAACGGCACTAGGCATACAATATAAACGTTGGTCTTGACTGAAGCTGAAGCTAATGCTGTGAGGGCGTTTAGATGAGGAGGCTAAGTTGATCGATGTATGAGTAAACATCCTTTATACAGGAGGCAGTGATAGCAATGCTATTCTTTCTCCATTTCTAGTAGAAAGGATAATATGAAGAAATTGATAGCGTAGATTTATTCTTCCCTCGATGCTTTGTTTCTGGTTGCATGTGTTAGTATATTTTTTTTATTTTTTATTTTTTTTATTCATGTTCTGTTAAGAGGCTCTTTAGAGATTAGAATGGATTACAACTTAGAGTTGTCATAGAGGAGTTTAATCAATTAATACTAGATGGTCTTCAACCACGTTGAGCTGTTTAACTGGAGGCATTGAAGGATGGTTACCTTGAAATCCCGCATCCTCCGCAACTGCCCCACTCAGCTCTGCCGAGCTCCAGACCAATCTCTCAGAGCAAAGCCTACAGTCTACGCATTCTTGCTCTGTTCCAACTTCCTCTGAGCTCGAGGAGAGCATGCACCATATGATTGTTAAATTCATAGGAGCAAAACATTTGGAAATTACCACTTAATTTGATATGATGTATTGAAAAAAATTCCCCATCAGCATATGTGAAGTTTCTGCCCAAATATTTTCTTTTTGTTGGGGTTTTTTGTAACATGGATAATTAGGATCATACAAAATAGTTTTTTATAAACTATGTTTGTTCTCTACTTCCAAACTCAGCATCTCTTCATCCATGCCTGTGCTAAAAAGTTTGTTTTGAAGTTGTGAGATTCGCTCTTGAAAGTTGTCATGACTGGATTTGATTAAACTTTTAAGCCTCTCTGTGTAAAATAAATACTTTGATCGAGATGAGAAATCTGCTACCTGGTATGTTGAAGTACCGATAGTTTGCATCCAATCATTTAATTAAACGGCCTTAGATTTAGGGATGTATAAGAATTATTCTGCAATTTGTAGTTGCCAATTTATCGTTACTATGTTTTAATTTGACAAACCGGATCTTCTCGACATTCTTTTTCCTGTTTGGTATCATTGCAATTGTGGATCTTGACCTGGTCGGACCAGAGCAGAGTAAAAAATGGGTCTGCTCCATATTTTGACGGTGACGGACGGAGAAGACGTACTTGGACGGTGACGTGCGGAGGAGTAGCGGTGGATGTGGAACATCTCTCATTGATTAACATGACAGACAAGTGCTCCGCACTGTGTATGTGAGTGGGGCAGTGCGCAACCGAGACGGAGGATGTGGAATCTCGGGGTTAGGCTTTTCTTAATATTCAACATCTAGCATTCTTTAAGTTCTGAAATACCGCCAGCAGATGGCGCCACGTCTGCTCATTTCACCCGCTGTTGGAATTCTATTAAAGCTAAAAAAAAATACTAAAAACTATCAGGATGGACGTTTAGTGTTTATAACTTTTTTTTATTGTGATCAAACAGATAAGCTTGTTTCTGTTTGGTATGAAGTTTCATGATAAACAGGCATATCAGAATAATTTACAATATTATGAAAATATAATTTCAGAAAGTAAAACTTATTTGAATATGCCATGTAAAATGTTTCATAATTCAGGTTTTGTTTTATAAAAGTGCTTTTTTCTAAACGATTTCCTTTTTACCTTGGATAGGTTGGAAAAAGAAAAATATATTTTTTTGTTTATTTACAAAAACAAGTCGTCCATGATTTCTTAATTTTTATTGGCATGTACCTTAAAGAGCTAGCACTAGCTTCGTCAGCTCAAAAAGCTAAACAGGAGTACCTGAAAGAGTTTCTTATCAGAAAAATGTCTTGAAGAAAATGTAATAATCTCCTTTATAGAAGAAAGTGACTGTCTGTGTTGCTATGGACGAGGTCCTACACATTTTGGCTTTGGTTCTTTGTTATTTACTTGATTTATAAAATCGATTATCCAATCTCTGTGACAATAGCTGGAATGTAGGCCAGCGTTTCTTCAAGTATGCTCGCTGCAATGACCAGGTGTAATGCATGGCTGCTAAGCATGATAGGTGAAAGCCCCTTTATGGTCTTATTTGCAGTAAAATTATACTGAAAGCAAAAGTTTGCCGCTGCAAAAGAACCACGTCTGGTTTGTTTGTCAACAAGTAAGAGAGAAATGAAACCAATTAAGGGGGAGTGTTGGCCTAGTGGTTAGAGCATTGCACTTGTGCTCTGAGAAGGTTGCAAGTACCAGGTTCAATCCCCACATCCTCCGCTGTTTGTTCCTGAGCTAAACCCTTAACCCGACACTGCTCTCTGGGCGCCACACAATGGCAGCCCACTAATCCCTAAGGGGATTGGTTAAATGCAGAGGTGAATTTCTCCAGTGTGAGATCAATAAAGTCCAATTTCTTCTTCTTTCTTTAATTATCATTTTATAGCCGTTCCAACTCTTTCTCTAAAATACAAATATAGAAAGATTGTTTGTGTGAGTCGATATTGTTGGATTAAAAGAGGGGACAAATTACGGCTTCCTGAACATGTCTTGAATGAGCTTCACTTCCAAACAGCGGTTTAACTGTCAGGAAAAGGTAAGTGAAAGTGATGCCCACGTTGACCTTCCTTCCCTGTGGTGATAAATGGCCAGATGGGATTTTTAGAAGCTTTAAAAAACGAACTGCCAAGTATTTCATTGAGTCAGCACACAACCGAAGACAATAATTTAGAAAGATGAACTACTAAGGCACTTATAGAAAACAAGACCACATCTGATTATCAGTTTCATTTTGCAGATATCTGGTGACACACCTGATGGGAGCAGATCTAAACAACATCGTCAAGTGTCAGAAGCTGACAGACGACCATGTCCAGTTTCTCATTTACCAAATTCTCAGAGGCCTAAAGGTTTGTACGAGTCTCACTCAGTTTGTTTTTTAGATAAACAGTTCTTTTCAAATACACTAAACAGAGAAGTGATTTAAGCTGCTATAACTGACTAAAATAGCTCAAATTAACTTATAAAACCAGTTTTAGATTTTTACTATAAAGATGATTCAAAGGGGAGAAAAAATACAAGATTCCCCATGATTTATTTTTCTAAAAGGTTACCTTTTACATATTTAGCCATTAACTAAACACTAATCAACAAGAAACAGAACCGGGAGATTTGATTTGTTTTCTTTTGCTTTGTTTTTTTTCTTTCTTCATTTAGATTCTCCTTGCATAGTACATATAATTGTTTATACCGCACCATATTTATTGTCTAAAATGATTTTTAAGGATGAATTATTTCCAGATTGACTTTAACAGTTGAATTTTATCTGCTCTTCTTTTCTCCTGCAGTACATCCACTCAGCAGATATAATTCATAGAGTAAGTGTTTTCCCTGCTGAATATGTAAATAAACTCAAAAAATTTATCTTATTCCACACAGCCAAAGTGTATTACTCCTTAAACATACTGACTGTGACCTTTAACATTTTTTAGGACCTTAAGCCCAGTAACCTAGCTGTTAATGAAGACTGTGAGCTCAAGGTGGGAAACTTTGCAGATAAATGTTTTGGGTCTGTCATGAATGGCGCTCGGCTCACTGTCCTTTCTTCTCATTGATCAGATCCTTGACTTTGGTTTGGCGCGGCACACGGATGACGAGATGACGGGATACGTAGCCACGCGGTGGTACCGAGCTCCTGAGATCATGCTCAACTGGATGCACTACAACATGACGGGTAAGCGGGCCAATTGTGTGCAACCTTTGTGCTCCAAAATGCTGCTCTTTCTAGTTTGGCTTAAATACTACAAGTAGTTTCAATATTAAATATCTATATAAAAAAAACTGATAATTAAATATTTTTTCCGCATTTGCTAAACACCTTTAATGTATTTATAAAGTTTTAAAACAACGATTTACAGATGGTATTTACAGGTGAAGACTGAGGGTGCAAAGATAGTTTTTTTATTTTTTGCTTTATTAGAAATTGAATCTTCTTAAAATAATCCCACAATAAAAAAAACATGTATTTTTTTTAACACTTAAATGAGTCTTTTTGTAAAATGCATGCATTAATTTACTACAATACTTGCTTTTTACTTTAGCATACTTTTAAAACCTCTCCAATACGATATCGTATATAATATCTGTTACTGTGCGACATCAACTGGAGCTAGGACTGATTGTTGCTAAAAAATAAAAACGAGGAAACTAATATTTCTACAACTCCTTCATTTTCATCATTTGTAGCTCGAAGCATGTCTGTATTATAAAAGGAAAGTCTTATTAAGGACTTCAAACTTGTTGAGCATCTGAAATCCTCTCAAGAACGTTTGGTGAAAGCCAAAATAAGCTAACAGATTTTTGATTAAACATAAATAGCTTAGCTATTCCTCCTGCTACCTTTTTTTTTTTTTTTTTTTTAATCCAGGGTTTCCGTGTGTCATTAAATGTCATCAAATTATTATTTTTTTTAAATTAAGGCCTTAATTGACAATGAAAATTAATTAAATGTGACTATCTTGGCATTTAATATGTTTTTTTTGTTTTTTTTTAAGTTAATAAAAACAATTTAGTCAGATTTAATATATCAGATATAACATGTTCCGTGTGTACAGTCATGGGTACTTGTTGATGGCATTAAAATGATTTCTAGGAGCAGTAAAAGAGCATTAAATTAGAGCTACTCATTCCTGTATAAACCCTGTATTCATTTTTTTTTTTTTTTGTTACCGTGTCTATCTGCAGTATTTAACAATTCTGTAGGTGCATCTGAGCTTCGAAAACTCAAAATATATTAAAATGTTTTTAGGCACTTGAATAATTTGACAAGGGGAGCAGAAAAGCTACTTTTAAACGCCCCTTAAGATCTTTTCTCATTTAAGATCTTTTCTCATTTATTTCTTGCATTTCTGTTTGGAAAAAAATATTTTTCTTCATCTAAGGACATCAGTTTGAACATGCTGGTGCTAACAAGCCTTTTCATTTTAAACAGTGGACATCTGGTCGGTTGGATGCATCATGGCGGAGCTGCTTACCGGACGGACGCTTTTTCCAGGCACAGACCGTATCCTTTCATTTATGTTGTCAGAGTACTCTTTGTTCATAAATGTTTCAGGGAAATCCATTCAGAGGACTTTTTTTTTTTTAAATAGTCTCAGACCAATCTGAGTTCTTTTTAAAGCTGTTCAAACACGGTAAGAATGCTTCCCTGTTCAGGTTGAGCCAAACGTATGAAGTGTTTGTAGGTTGCATGCCAATGTGTGTATGTATTGCATACATACAAGGAGATGTTTTTCACCTTTTGCTGCATGGCTCACCTTTTGATTTTCCACCCCTTCATGACGGCGCATTTTTTTCTGCTTCTCTTCTACACAGAAAACCTCCTCTGAGCGTTGGGACGATTTTTGTTTAAAACATGCATGATGATCTTGTTTTTATTTTTTTAAATGCAACCACAATGAAATGCAGAACTAAGCACCTGCTCCTGGGGCCATGGTCCTGTAAAGAGGAAAAAAAAGTACGGGGCCGATTGCATAATGTGTTTGTGATCCTGCTCTAAGTAACCGACTCATCCACGCTTTCTCTGCATGTCCTGTGTGTGGGTGTTTGAGTTGGGCTTTCTTACCACATCTGAATCGCTCTTGTGAAGATGGTTCTCTCTGGTCTGCCTCCTCATAAACTGTCTGAATGGAATGTTTGACTGCGGCATCAGTGTTTATCTAATCTAATTGTAAGGAAGAGAAGTAAGAGGACTAGGATGCTTTACATAGTTGGCAGTTTAAAGGGTGTAAGTGTTATACCTAATGTGGAATAATGGTCGTAGGGAAATAAAAGATGCATAATCTTTAATGTTCACATGAGCCTGTGATCTGTAAGGGAGCGTTTCAGATTGAGGTCTTTCTTTGGAGTGATGGCCTAGTGTTTAGAGCAGTGCGCTTGTGCTCGGAGAAGGTTGCAAGTACCCGGTTCAATCCTCACTGCCTCGACACTGGGTTCCTGAGCAAGACCCTTAACCCCACACTGCTCCCCGAGTGCCACACAATAGCAGCCCACTGCTCCCCAAGGGGATATGTTAAATGCAGAGATGCATTTTTCCATTGTGAGATCAATAAAGTTCAATTCTTGCAGATCCTGGTGATGCCTAGCCTAGTAAACTAGCCCCATCTGCCAGCAGGCAAAATCACTTTTGCCTGCGAGTGGTCTAGCCTCGATCAATACCCCAGGCCCTAGAACTGGCGGGCCAATCACAATGCAGAGATGTGTTTTGAATTTCTGGATGCAAAGCGGGGGGTGGGGTTTTGAGGGCGTGACAACCAAGCTGTGCGACGCTGGAGAAAGAACAACAAGGAAGATGGCAACAACTATTGAAACTATTGAACAGTTCTCATTTGACTCAGCTTTGGTAAAAGTTTTGGAAGGATTAGACTTGGGGTTTCGTTGAAATGTGAGCAGGAAAAGGCTCTACACTCATTCATTTTTAGGAAGGAATATTCCCCGTTTTACCGCCCACCAGCTTTCTGTCGCGCTTACTACGTCACAGTCTGTTGTGCTCATTGTTTAGAGCGTTGGCCAATAGGCACAGACATGGTTTGAAAAACAACGGGTTGTTGTCATCAACAATCTCCCGATTTCTCATTCACCGGGGCCAGACTAAATTACACATTTAATCTCCCATTTTAACCCCATTTAGTCTGGTTTATTAGGCATGGGGGTGCCCCTATTAGGGTTGTATGGCTCATTCCGAGTCTTCCACAGTTTCTTTGAAATGAATAAGCAGCTAATTCTGCTCCGAGGTTGTTTCAATTTCCACCCAAAAATCTATATTTACAATAAGCTAATAAGAGCCAGCTTAGGAACATTTTTCTATTTGAAGCACAAGTGATGATTTTACTGTTTATAGCAAAGACACGTTTGATTTAAATAAATAAAAAAAATGTAGCCCAAAAGATGTAGGATTGTGCTTTTTTTCTTTTTCTTTTTTGTTACTTCTCTATGGCGCCTCTGGTTAACTTCTAACATCTCACTGATGCCAAACTTGCCAACTTTAAGTCTTCTACCTTTGGTGACCAAAGATTGTTGTTACTGCAACCTGATAGTTCCTGGGTACGGTGCATTCACTTCAGGGGAAACTATTGGATTTCTGAGCCTCCATCCTGGTCACCAGCTCATTGTTCTGTGCACCTTTACTAATAATTATTTGAATTCAGTTTTAAATGTGTTGAGAATCTTGGAGTTAAAAAATGCTGCATGGGATTTTGTACATTATCATACTTGCCTAAACTAACTCCTGACCCACATTATGATTAAACATTTTAATGCATGCTTCCATCTGGCTTGTAAATGGAAATTTTTACATTTTAAAGGAAAAATTAGACAGAAAATTAGGGTAATGTTTAAATCCTCCTACTTTGATAAGACTCTTTTGCTTCTGAATCAATCAGCTGAACAACTTCCTCAATATTCACTAGTTCAGCAGAGGCCCGTTTATCATAGTTGTTTTTATTAGAGGTGCAAGACTTAAAAGCCAATTTGTGAGTCAAATATAACATTATCTATTGCAGAGTTTGTTAAATGTGAAGCGCAACATTATCTGCATGTTGGAATGAATTTAATTCCTGACTTATAAGGAAACAGCAGCAGGAATTGCTCTTTTAATATCAATATTTGTTTTTGGAAGTGGAAAAAGCTGCACCTTTTGTCTCTAAAAACACCAACAAACCAGACAGGCAGTAAAAAAAAAGGTTTTTCTTCAGGTTATGAAAAAAGCTCCATCCAGTCCAGCTCTTTGTGTAGATTTACATTTAGTCTGTTTATTCCTCCATTTTTTGCATGTTTTCACTCATTTTTTCTGTTGCCAGTGCTGTCCATCCATTCCTTTGTTTTTTATTTTTCCTTCATGTGAGCGTGTTAGACATTGATCAGTTGAAGCTTATAATGATGCTCGTCGGAACCCCAGGGCCCGAGCTCTTGATGAAAATCTCTTCAGATTCTGTGAGTGCTAAGTACCATCCCTCCCAGTTATTTATTTTTTCTTTCTGTTGCCTGTCTGTGTGTTGTCTCTGGTTATAGTTAGCCTACTTTTCTTGTGTTTACTAAACCATCTTTTCTCCGGCTGTGCGTTTAACTGTGCTGCGGCTCATTTTCTCTCTGCTTTCCATGTTTGTCAAGTATTTTTTTAGCCCTGCTGCGCGTTAGAGGATTTAAACTTTTTTTTAATCTGTAAAAGTCCAATGATTATATTGTATACATCAGCTCGGCTTCTTGTCTCCTGCCCCTGCCTTCAAATCTCTCATCCTGCCTCTCTTCATTTAATGACACCCCCCCATCCTTGTTGATGTGCTATGATTCCCCTTGACTCAGAAGCTTAAGATATAAACCAGCTGCAGCAGATAATGCGTCTGACGGGGACTCCCCCAGCCTCCCTCATAAGCAGGATGCCCAGCCATGAGGTGAGACCCCCCCCCCCCCCCCCCTTTTTTTTTTTTATCAGTCGGAGTTGGGGACGAGCAGCAGCCACAACTTTGCTGTTCCCTTCCACACCGACGGGCAACCCCACCCTGTACTGTCGCTTCACTTCTTCCCTGTTTCCTTTCTGGCTCACAGTGCCTGCCTGTGCAGCTACTGTTGCACCAGTTTTCAGTAGGATTAGTTTTGTACTAACGAAGGCGTTTGGAGTTTAGGTTGATTGCTAAGAGCTTGGAGCTACTGTTGCTGTGTGAACATTTCTAGGAATCTGAAAATGTGACGATTAAAGCTGTTTATCTCTCTTTTTTTCCAACAGGCAAGGAACTACATTAACTCTCTTCCTCACATGCCCAAGAGGAACTTTGCTGATGTGTTCATTGGTGCCAACCCTCTTGGTAAGTTCCTCTTTAAGCTTTGATCTGTTTATACAGCTTCTGGCTCACTGCAGCCCTCTAGTGGCATCATGACTATCCTAAAAATTGCAGTATTGTTTTTCCTTCCTTTCTCTCTTTGCTTTTGCACTGTATTGTTAAGCATTTATGAAACTGCTAGTAAAGATGAAAATGATACAGGTGAACTAAAGCTGTAGTGTTAAAAGAAACACAAGGAATTGGACTTGATGTTGATGGTGCAGACAAATTGGACACTTACACAGAAAACAAAATCTATAGCTATATATGATATAAAACATACTATATACCGTGTAGAGTGTATTGCAGGCTCAGACTGGGAACGATTTTCGGCATCTTTTGATCTCTTAGGCCATAAATCTAAAGAAAAACATTTTTTACCTATCCTAAACTGCCAGATTGGGAAACATCCCAACCTGGCAACAATGCGCGTAAGACTGGAAACGTTAGCCTTTAGATGCAAATCCCCATCCTGCACCGCAACATATTTTTGCAAAATTTTTAAACATAAATTTGCCAAATATAAGAGGAACATCGTAGTTTGGTTTAAAGAAAGCATTTTTGTTTATTATACTTTATTTTGTTGCAAGGGTTTTACAGTTTGAAGAAATAGAAAATTACACCATATGCCAACCGTCACAAGGAAGGGCTATATATACTGCATGCATCATTTAGGTAGTTGTCATTTTATTGCTTCTTAAGCTTCTTGAGTTATTTACTGTCGCAGGTAGGAGCTTCGGCCGGAGAGTAAGTTTTGGTGTTGTATGATTTAAAGGAATAGTACACCCAAAACATGATTAGCCTTCATTTTCTACTCACCCCCATGCTGAACGACACTCTGGAGTACTTTTTTGATATCTCAAATGCATCTGGAGATCTGGGAGGCTTCTTGCTGTCTGCTGACATTCAAATAATGGAGGTCTATGGTGCCCGAGGCAGAAAGGTCCATAAAAGTCCACAAAAAACATGTCAATATTCCCCCATACTGCTCGTCCAATGTATTCAAAGTGTCCTGAGTGGGTAGCGTCCATAATTTACTCGAAACAAAGTCCTTTAGAATGGTTTTTAGAGCATAAACAGTAGTGTATAGGATTTCCTAAAAGCGCGCGCCTGCGAGTTCACAAGCCTACGGAAACTGCGGCAGACCAAGCCAGATGAAAGTGCTAGCTAAAAAGATAGCTAACGGGATGAGCATATAGGATTGCCTTACGTAAGCACATCACCAGAATGATTGACAATGAGGACGACCACTTATTTAGACGATCCACCTGGAAATAAAAGATCATCCTCTATGCCTTTAATTAACTACATGTTGGGCTGCTACAACCTCCTTTTAAACTGTTGCGAAGCACTTAGTGGCTTTGGTGTGTGAAAGGTGCTATATAAATAAGGCTTACTTTCTATATCTGTAAATAGGGAAAAAATAGTTTAACACAAATTGTCTCGTGTGTGAATATATGGTTCCAAATCTTACAACTACATTAGTGTTCCTTACTGTTATCTGCTGTGCTTCAGCTGTGGACTTGCTGGAGAAGATGCTGGTGCTGGACACGGATAAGCGGATCACAGCGTCGGAGGCTCTGGTCCACCCATACTTCTCTCAGTACCACGACCCGGACGACGAGCCCGAGGCGGAGCCTTACGACCAGAGCTTTGAAAGTCGCGATTTGGAAATAGAGGAGTGGAAGAGTAAGTTTGGATGAGTGACTTTGTTCTGTGTTAGAATCTCTTACATAGATGCTCATTATGGTGTTTTGTTCCCACCCCTTAGGCCTAACCTATGATGAGGTCCTCAGCTTCGAGCCGCCTCCTTTAGATGATGAGATGGAATCCTGAGTGCCGAGGAGCATTTATCTTCCTCCTTATTTTGTTTTTATTATTATTTCAAAGGAACACTCTTTTAAAACTATCAATCTCATGTGACTATCCATTTGTTTCCTGCTCACATGCCACAACCACGACATTCAAGTGCCTGCCGTCATTCGTACCTTGGGACGTTGTGATAACGGCAACAAAAAAATCTCAAGGCCAACTTTAACTCATGCTTTTTTTTTGCTTACAGCATTTAATTTGTAGTTTTTAATTTTTATTCATCATGCTGGGAAAAAAAAAAAAAAAAAAAAACATACGTGCCAGTATCTGAAAACATTTGCTGGACACTTATCTAAAGATTCACATTTATAAGGTTTTAATACTTAGGAGATAGCACAGTGGAGGGGACACATTTTTAAAGGTAGTTCTTCTTTTACCCCAAATGATTAGTTGAAATGTTATTTCTGTGTAGATATTACAGCAAACAGTATTTGTACATAAGTATTTTAGAGATAGTTGCGTACTCATAGACACTTTAACGGATCTCTTCGACAGTATGAATTTCATTACCAGAGTTCATCCTAAAATGGCCTAAATTGACAATGTATGTAATTTATACCAGGTGTGTACAGAATATGAGGGGAAAGTATACAAATAATTCAGATATCTGGGAAAAAAAGAGGCTTTATACTTTCTTAGCTTTGTTGACTTGTTGTTTTTTCTTTTTTTAGAAAATGTTGCCTATGAGAGTATCACATATTCATCCACTGTGTTTGTTTTTCTCCTCATCCATTTCTAATAGCTCTACAGCTCCAAAAATGAATGTTTTAGCAGTCACCAAGCTCCAGTATCACAGCACCATGTTGAAGACAGGGTTGGCTTAGTAATTTATTCAGATCTGATGTTTTCCCGCGAGAGCATCGGCTGACGGCATAATTTAATCCTATTTGCGTTTAATAAACCATATTACATTTATTGTGTGTTGAATGTTATTGGGCACCTGTTTGCTCTGTATTTATGATCCTCTTATGTTGTTTGTATATCAGTGTAAAAGAGAATGTTATTTGTCAGAATTTAGGGTTGTTTTTGTTATTTATGGAGAGTCTCTTGTGTCAGTATCCAAAAGCATCAAATATCTGATTTTTTTTATTTTTTTTTGGTTCCTCCTTTTTGGCCAAAGTGACTGCAGTTACAGTTTGTGTATCTAAGCAGACAGAGAGCCATGCAGTCTAAGTTTTGATATCACAATTGGCTGATAATTGAGTCCATACCATCCTGCCCCTATGATAGGCACAGGTTCTGAAATCTGGAGCCTTGATAATGTGTTCATACCTCTATAAGTTTTTTTTTTTATCTTGTTACATTTCAAAACTACATTTAATGTGTTTTTTATTGAAATTTTGTGTATCTGTGAACCTTAGTTTTTCCTGTCATGCCACACTTCTTTAATTGGACTTTGACTAGGCTATTCTTACACATAAAGATGCATTGTGGGGTTTTTTTTTCCCAGTGGTGGAAAATGTTTTTATTGCATAGCATTTTACATACTGAAAAAGGTCTACTGACCACAGAACCTCCCTCCACCTCTTGTCTGGATCATAATCTGTGAATTTCGCACTGTTGTCTGTTGGTCTATCACATGAAATCTCGATAAAATATGTTAAAGGTTGAGGTTATAACATGATAGAAAGGACAAAAAGAAAAAGTTCCAAGGGTATGAGCACTTTTGAAATCGTTTACAGCATCCTTCAGATCACTGAAGCAAAGAATTTACTTGCAGTAGGAGGGAAGCATTTTTCCAGTCAAATCATATTTCTATGCTGCACATTATCGCACAGTTGCTCTGGCCATGTCATCCGAACATCGTTGTATATCTCTTTCTTTTAATTTCCCTTTGCTTAGTTCATCTAGATTTTACTTTTCCTGATGCGCTATTTTATTCTGTGTTGAATCCCAATTGGATGTCTGTGATTTATCCTGGGTTGATTGTTTTAGGGATTTTTATTTTATTATATTTGTAGTAGGTGGATCACAAGCACCGAAATGTTCAATTAATGGAATATTCAAACAGGGCACATAAGTGGTTCTTTTCTCACTGCATCCTGTAGGGCAGCGCTCAGGTCATATTTTTTTTTTAAACACATATTCATCAATCAAATACAGATCTTAATCTCCAGGTCCAAATGTCACATTGATTTGGTTTGCTTGCTTTACCTGAAAGAACTTTTATGTATTTTTCAGCGAGTTCTTCATCCCATTGTACTAAGACAGCAAGACCATGCTTTCTGTAAATATAAAACCATCAGAAAATAAAGGCTACTATTTTTCAAAGCTGTAAGGGTGATCATTATATTGGCTTCCTTCCTTCCACAACACACTTGGTGTATCAATACCTGACAATCCTATGCTGTAGTCTTTGAGATCAAGGAAACAAGAATGTTATACCACCGTTTCAAGCAGACAAATCTTTGCTTTTTCATTTGTCGTTTGTGTTTACATTGTGCCATAGCTCCTTTTAAAGTTTAATGCATATTAATTGCAGGGGGCTAGGGGAACTGAGGGCTCATTTGATGCCTCAGTGGTTTGTGCTGACTGACTGTAGCTTTAATTCTTTCCTCTGGTGCAGTCAGCACCTTTGTGGTCTCCCCTCATAATTGGATATGAATCCTATTTATAGAAACTAATTTCCTGCAAGATAAAGTGAAATTATTAAATTGATTGCATGCAGGTGTAATGAGTAGGGGCGTTACTATTAAGTGCCATTCCTTAGAAATTAAACTAGGGATTTAATTCTTAAGGCAAAAATGCTGTTTAATATAAAACAACATATTTTGTAGGTTATCTCATGTGTTGACCACTTAGTCTCTTATTTTGATTTGATAATATAGTACATTTTTTGTACCTTAAACTTTTTTGCAGTTTGTAAGAAGCATGGGAGCAGAGTTGGAACGTCTCCAGGGGAAAAAAAACCCAAATATCTATGTATTTTTTGTATATTACACACGCAAAATTAAAAAGAACAAAAGGAAATGTTGCTTTTTTTTTTTTTAAACAAGTGTTAACTGTTTATTTTTTGTGTACTTTCATAAAGAGGGAATTGTATTTATCTATCTATCTATATATATATCAAAAAAACTGTAAAATAGATAAAAGACCAAGTCCTATGTTTAATTAATTTGCCACAAGTTTTATTACATTTTATTACTCATTTGTTTCAGTCCGATCTTTGTTCTGTCCAGCCAAAAGGCAGCGCTAGATTATGGCTTCAAGTCAAATAGGTGTTTTTTAACAGCCTTCTGCTGGGTTGCAGGACCAATCCTGCCATAATTAGAAATAAATAAATGCTCCAAAAATGAATAAGCGTACAATTAATTTCCCCCAAAAAATACAATAAACAAATAAATGTAGGTAGAAATTTAATTATACAGTGAGACACACATATATATATATATATATATATATATATATATATATATATATATATATATATATATATATATATATATATATATAAATAAAATCTTTTAATTAGCTTCTTTGTTTTTTGCCTTTGTAAAAATGAAGAGCAGGGTAGAAATAAATAGGGTAAAAAATACAAAGGAAGAATAAACTAGACAAAAATATTATAACATGCACATATATAAATACTTAAAGAAATAAGTAATAAATAAAGTTGAGGAATAGAACGGACAATACATAAATGAGGTAATCATCACAAAGGCAAATAAACAAAGAAGCTAATTAAAAGAGTATATGTATAACTTAATTTCTTCCTACATTTATTTGTGTATTGTATTTTTGGGGGACAATTAATTGTATGCTTATTTATTTTTGGAGCATTTATTTCTGTATTTATTTGAATTATGGCAGGATTGGTCCTCCACAGGGAGGGGTCATGAGTTCTGCACACGAGAACTGAACGTCCTGCCTGAAGGATAGGTAGGCACCTGCCATGATTGGTAGGAAACGTCGCATATCCGGTAATGCTACTAACATGGGAATTGGAAAAAATATATATAAATGAGCCCGAAAAGTGATAAATACAAGAAGAAAATTGGGAAAGGGAACCAGCGTTTAATCAACAGTGCAGTTCCCCTACAGAGCACCCTTTACCTATGACACAATAACTACGCACTACACAAACGGTTCTGGTATTTCCGACAGTTACTGAACGCAGCACTTGACTGACTGTTCAGCATGGAGAGAAAAGGTAACGTTGCAAACTAAAACCTCAACAGCATTTTACCTGCTAAACCTGTTATTCCCAAACCATTAACACCTATTTGTCGGTGACTGCTTGTTGTATGAACAGTAACAGACTAGATAAAACAAAGCCAGTAAGAACCGGTGTAGAGTAGTGTACCATGCGCTGTGCTCCGTGTTTTATTTGGTAACGTTATGTTAGCTTTAGCTCTATAATATTAGCTTCACGTTATAGACAGCTTATGCTAAAAGTAGGCTTTTGTTGCAGGCTTTGGGGGGAAAAATGTATATCATACAGTCAAATGTGTTTTAATATAATATTTTCCAGAGGTGATACGTATTTTTCAGCGCTAAATGCCGATAGTTGCTGTTTGAATCTAAATTAAAAATACCCATAATGCACCGCGAGGCTAAATAACCCGCTAGCTAGATAGTTGCTTATTTTTACTCATTACTCGTGATCTTGCTCGTTTTTATACACCTCAGCTGAGTCAAGTATATTTTTTGACTCTCCTAAACAAACTCAGAGGCGTGTTATCTTTGTCACCATTTTTTTTTTTTACTCGTTTGCTTTCTGCTTTTCAGTTCTCGCGATTCAAGCGAGGAAGAAGAGGACGAAGCCGAGGAAACCTGGCAAAAAGTAACCACAACACTTTTCTATTCACATTATATTTTAGAACTATTGTTCTGTTCTGGAGACAAAGCAATAGAGTTTTGTTACCATAAAGGAATAAGCAGAAAATCCGGTTCATCATTAGAAAAATGACAGGAAAGTGACTGTTATATGGGTTTATTTTATTCAGAGGCTGATGATAAACAGTGTATGCAGTAGTTGCTTGGTTGGTGATCCTATTTATGTGAATTATTGCATCAATGCAGCATGACATGGAGGATATCAGTAGGGATGGGGATCGAAAACCGGTTCCTGTTCAGAACCGGTTCCGTGTGTTGCAATTCCATGGCACCTTTTGGCAGCTCACTTAACGATTCTCTTATCGATTCCAGGCTGCAGCAGAGCCTAGCGCTGGGCAGCACGACTTACGTCACGTATTTTACGCAAGTTACGCACACGGCATTCAGTAAGCAAGTACGACGTGACCAGGCGTCAGTCTAGAAAAGCAAAACAAAAGCGATTGAAAGCTTGGCTTAATTTCAAGGAAGAGAAAGATGGCATCAGGGCGCTTTGCAATCATTGTAAAGTGGCAATTACATCAGCGGGAGGAAATACATCCAACATGCAGAAACACCTGCACACACAACATGGCATACATTTTAACAAATGCCGTGTTTTTGATGCTTTCGGACAGAAGCTAAAGTTACGACCAGCATGGAAGGCAACTCTGGTTGTAAGTAGCTAGTTTTATATCACTGGCTGTCCTTAATGTGGTTCCTAGTAAATCAAATGCAATTTCTGGAGAAAAAAATAATTCCTACCTCCCTTTGGGTTATTAAACGTGCTACGAAGTTGCTCCACAGTTCAGGTAGGGAGATGAAGATGACGCTCGTTTATTTATATCAGGGGGAGATGAGTTCATTTCCCAAAATTGTACAGCAATGCTCTGTCATAAGACTGATGCCTTCTCCATTAGATTTAAATGACAAGACGGGTAGCCTGGCTGGCTCAGAGGCTGCAGCTCCCGTTCACTGCCTTCTTTTTACGCAGAGGCAGGCAGAAATAGAATGTCCCATGCAAAGGTAGTTTCAGAGAATTGATACGAGAATTTAATCGTTTCACAGAAACGATAAGAGAATCGGAATTGTGAAAATCTTATCAATTCCCAACCCTAGTTATCAGTTTTGGAACTGCTATCTGTTGCATTCGGATCCAGTCAGTTTGCTGTACAATGAAGCACAGATTACATGTAATTGTATTCTTAGTGGTCCAGGTTTGGTTTAGGATCTGCTGTTGTTTGTGTCTGGTAGTAGTTTTGGATACTTTTTGAACCAAGAGGCTGCTCTTTTCTTCAGACAGATTTGTACCTTTCATATCATCTTGCTGTTCATGGTATAAAATCTAAATTAAAAGGTGTACACATGAGTTGTGATGTTGCAAGTGGTTCTTTTATAATGGCTGGGGGAATAAAAGCCAATGTCATTCAACCTCCAGCTAATCACACTCCCTCCCACCCCACTCTCTTGTGTCACTCACTCCTTTTTGTTTCTGCTGTGGTGTGAGGGACTCAGCTGCCACTGTGCATTTAGAGAGCAGAGGGGGAGTAGTGCAGATCCGGTCACAACTGAGTTTCTAGAGAGATTGTCCATCAACTGATTCTGGCTTTACTGGTGGTTGTTTTAAGAAAAAAGCAGCAGTCTTGCATGTTGTATGCCATGTGGCTCTTGGACTGGATCTTCTCCATCAATACGGCTGTGGTTAAACTTGCCAGTGGACTAACATGCAAGTGAGTTGTTTTTATTGGTGCATTTGGAAGGAAAAGCTAGTCTAAACTTTTTTGTTTGTTTTTGTTAGAACTATAATGAACTATTACTTTATGCTGAGGCAAACACATTAATAGTTGGATGTGTTATCCATTTTGGAGCTTTTATAGATTGATTGTTGCGACTTTAGTAAACACCTGTTTATTTATTCTGCTTAATGTAGGAAAACATGCTGATTGTTTCCATCATCGATTTCTACTTCCAGCTTTTCAAAGAGCGCGTTTGAATTTTGATTCTAATATAGTTTTTGTGCATCAAATTGTTGCATCTCTGGGGTATAAACCCACCTATTTCTGTAACTTTAATTAATTCAATCAAATTTTGGAGCTCAGGAAAGAAAGCAGAGATTTTTACCAGTGCTGTTGCTCTCTGTTGTGTTTTTTTGCCTCTCTCCCAGCTCCAGCAATGGCTCATTACATAACCCATCAACTGCTGTCTCATCTGCAGCTCACTACAGCACTACACTCTTACACTGCAGGATTTACAACAGCTTGTTCTCTTTTTATGTCCTGTTTGTAGTAGACCTACATTAATACATGTGTGCTGATTTTTGTGGCTGACTTCAGCCAGTAAAAAAAATGCTTTGGTTTTTTAAAGCTGTGTTACGAACTGCTGCTGTTTTGTGAACTATGGAAACCTTAAATAAAGGGTCTCTGCAACATGCAGTTGCAATGCTGTTTTAAGCTTATTTCTACTCCTCAGGAAAGGTTGGAATGCCAAAGTGGGCTAATTTACTACTACCTGCATGTGCATTGCACCTTTTATTCTGCTCCTCAGGCACTTTGAATTGATTTTGTTCACAGTTAAGGAACGCTATTTGGCACTGCTCCATCGTCAGCGGCGATATCTTCCTGTGCTCCTCATTTTATTCTACTTACGAGGTCTAGATGTTGCCAAACGGCTGGAAACTATGCACCCCCTTGGAGAGCAGGAGGCACTGACATACTGTCATGTCGAGTGTTTTTTTCGGAAATGTGGACATGTCAAAGGTTGTGGTTTTTAGTTTTGTCATTGTGAGGGACCAAACTTAAATAAGGACAAAAGGTGTTCAAAAATTTAAAAAATGCTTCATTTAATTGTGTCAAAAATGGTTAACAAAGGCTCAAAAGCAATACAAAATAACATGAATCTGGGCCCAACTTAACTGAGGTCAACTGAGGATCCAACTCAAACAAAAAAAACTGACCTGCAAACAAAGAACTAAAGGCTGCTTAAAAAGGATGGAGTAACCCAAGTCTACCACATGAGGGAGGCACAACATAACAAAAAGAACCAATAAAAACAAAAAAAAATACCATTCTATGAAACAAATAAAGCAAAACTAACTTTTACTTAGCAGAAACAATAAGTGAGTATTTAAGTGACAAACTAATTGAAAAGAACTTGAAACAAGTCTCCCCTGTCAGTCTTTCAAAAATGGTACGCTCCAGGTTTCCTTCTCCAGTTGGTTTGCATCAGCAGCACCTCAAACAAAAGAACAAGTGTAAATAAACAATTCAGACAGACATTAACTAAAGTGTGCACCCATTAGAAAATGCCTGTCTAAAATAAATAACAAACTTAAACATAAATTGTAATATAAAGCAAGAAAAAAAATACTAACACGATGTGGTGGTGGGAGGATCATTCACCACAGTCATGTTTTACCTCACTGGGATGGTACTTGTTGAAATTTGTTTATTTCGACCACGAAAAAGTTCCTGACTTGATTCACGCAGAATGAACCAGGTACGATTTGTGCTAACAATTTAATTAATAGGGATACTAGGGATGCAAATTATTGATCAATGACTTCCTAAAGTTGATTTTTTATTTTATATTTTTTATTATTATTTTTTTTTATTATGATAAACAATTGATTGATAGCCACCTATTTGAAATAATTTTCTTTCTCTTGTATTAAGAGGGTCTTCTCATAACATGAGGGGCTAAAAAATGTTGTTTTCACATTATGTTGAATCAACAAAACCAGTAAATCATTTTATTTTTAACAAATTTATTGTGCTAGCTGACTTAATAAACTGACTTATTAAACCAAATTTTTTTTTAACACAGTATGAAAAAATATGTATGTAGCAGATATAATGGAGTAGGAATCTAGTTGGTTACTGAATAAAAAAATAGTTGAAACACTATCATGATTTCCAATGTTTATGTTTTATGTAATTCAGCTTTCAGTGCTGTGCTGCTAGAAATGAATTCAAAGAGGTGGTTAAATGGGCTGCTATTTAAGTGATAACTTAAAGGTTTTATCAAGTGTTTATGTTTACAAATAGAGTGGCATAAAGTTAATTCTGTTTACTTTTAAGGAAATAAATAATCCTGGACCAGACTGGGTTGATTCATGTTTCTGCTCTTGGATGCCTCCGATCTGGCATTACTTCTCTTGCAAATACCAGTAAGCCTTTACTTAAAGGTATAGTGGGGGATGTTCTAGTCTGACATAGTGGAAAAATTGCATATCTTCTTTTGTAAAATAAACTCGTATGAGCGATGCAAACAGCAACTTTTAAACGGAGGAGAAATTGGCTTTTGTGTGCTCTCGCACGCGTTTGATACCAGGTACAGGGTTGTGCATGTGTTTTTTTCTTTTTTTTTTTTTTTTTTCCAAAGTGGAGAGGGCGGGTCTTTTCACAAATTCGCGAAAAATCCTCCACTATACCTTTTAGGAAAGAATAGCAGCACCCTCTAGAAGGCAATTGACTCCAAGAATTGGTCCAAAAATATCATCAGCGGATATCACTGTCTGTCAGGCTTATGTCAGAATAATTAGCAGCAGTTTAAAAAACAACGCCATCAGTTGATCTCCACTTAATCCCCCCAGGCTCTCATTGCTCGCTGATCTCTATTACAGTGTTCCCCTTTAAATAGAATCAGGATTTTGTTAAAACAATTCAGATGAGAGAATCTGATCATTCAAATTTAAGACGATATATTTGCTGTCACTTTTTTTTACTACTTCCCTTTTGTGATGTTTGTAGATTTAAATTAAAAGTGACAGAAGGCATTAACCTGCAGCTCCTCTGCTTTTCTTTGGTCTACCGTCAAGTCTTTATTTATTTTATTATTTATTTACCTACTCTCCCTGCAGCGGTCTTGGTGCAATAACAACAGAAACTGGGTTTTTTCTGGTGTCTACTGAGAGCTTGTTTCTATTTAACAGCCTGAAACCCACACAGAGAGAACACCAAACTTTAGGCTTCCTGGGGAAATGTTGTGGCTCTTTTCTTTATAGGAGAACAAAGTTATGCCCCCATCCAAAAACACGTCTCTCCTTTCATTCTCAATGTACTACTGATAAATGACTCGAACCTGATAGGTTTGGTTCCTTTTATTTTCTTTCTTCAACTACATGATTAAAGGTAGGGATGTACAATATATCTGCACTACTCTTGCAATCTTGCAATTTTCTTTTGCTATGACCATAAATATGTAGATATTTCACTTCAGGGTTTCAGTTTTTTCAGGATGCTGAAAGCTTGCTTGTTCAGAGTTCATTGTTGCAGGAATTTACTGTAACCTTTGCTTGAAAAAGTTATTTCTAATATCATGTATGGATCTGGCTGTTTGCTGCAACTCCTCTGATTTATGTGGCAGAAGACCCACTTAACGTGTACGACTGCCACTTAAAAGGATTTAGGGAGAAATGTAGCTTCTTACTCCTGTTAAATGTAAAGTAATGTGACCAAACATTGACTGCCTCTGCAATTTGAAAATAGCGTTTTATTAAATTGCATTTATAATTCAGTTCATTGCTCAGCCCTACCAAAGGGCAGGACAATATCTGATATAAAGGGAGCGGCAGTGCATGAGCTTCATGATGATCTCAAAGTATATCTGATAAAACCGCTAATGAATCTGCAAAGGCATGTATGTTTCGGCCAATACAAGAAAAAAACTAATATCATCCACTGATGTAATGGTCCTTCTCTATTATAGAGCTTTTAGACTGCAGGGCATTTAAAAAGATTTAAATTACAGCAGATTTAAACTGAATTCTAGAGTTCACCAGAAAACCTAGAAAGTGTTGTCATTGGGTCTTTAATTGGGCCAAATTAACAAAGTGAAAAGATATCTGCCTTCCCCTACAGCCATGCCAATCATCACGCCTAAACACAACAGACAGCCTGTGAGGTTAGCTGAGGAGAAGAAAACAGAAGAGAGGCTACAAGTCTCTGGATCATCTGGAGGGATGGGTAAAGCTCCCTCTCAATGGAAACTGTGAGAAACATGTTGTAGGAAAGGAATAAATTCTTTATTTTTTGCCCAAAAAAAAGGTTATTATAAAAAAAAGGCGAGTTTCATAACTGGCTTTGTCCCCCTATGAAATGAATTCACGTTTAATAAAATTTTTTCTAAATATATGTATTTAAAAGGTGTCAACATTGTTGCAGAGGGTGTCAACAGGTTTGCTCTGTCTCTGTATGTAATGCTCGGACCAATCAGAGGCTGTTGATCATTATAGGGTTTAGATAATTCAGTGGAGTATTTCCTTTGTGAAAGATTCTAGGATATATATAGGCCCTGACACCGTTTGAAGAGGCCACTCTGGATGCTGATTGCACAGCAAAGTTTATATTTAATGCATATTTAGGTAATGAAGGTCATGGATGGTGGTGCTGATGATGGCCTTACAGGGGGCAAAGGAGACTGATGTTTTGGTCTGGTTAGGAGGGGGATTGATGTCACACCTCACCTGCAATGCAGTGCTTGGCTCTTTCCTCCAATCATCTTCCAGCTGCTAGCCAGAGGGGGTGGGGCCTCAGGCTGACGACAGCCAAGGAGATTTCTCGGTCAGGCAGAGCAGCGGAGAGACGGTGGCTTTGAGAGAGCAGAAAGTGAGCAAGAATCAGAGAGCGTGTTGTGGAAACCTGCAGTCCAGGATTCAGTTCCGCCAGATCTTCTACGCTCTCTCCTCTTCAGTCTTCTTAGCCCATTTCATCGGCTGCTTAGTCATCAGCTGATCGATTTTTACTGCCTCTGCTCTACTTTTTTGCTCCTGAACCCCCTTCATTTTTCTCTCATCTGGCAAATGGAGTGAGAGACTGTTTCAGTACCTGCACTCCCTGGTTCTTCTCCTCGCCTCCCGTCCCATGGGCATCCGTGCATCTTGCAGGTAGGATATGTGATGCTGGGGATGCCGAAGAACTAACACCCTTCATGGCATGGACAGGCAGAGAGAGGTCGGGTGCTGTTATCTACAAAAACACAATCATCCTGTTTTTGGCATCCAACATCAGTGATGTAAACATCAGGGTTTTGCTGTCTTTATCAGGACTTTTGCCCTGCCTCCTTTGTTAATGATTTTCTGTGGATCCTATTATATGAGTGTATTTTATATCAACATTCTTCTGGTTAAGTTGAAAGGAAAATGTATGTTTCAAAAATGCTAATTGCTTCATCTGCTTTCAGTCTGTATGAACAGAGAGGTCATGTTTTATTCAAAACGGTCCCGTCACTTCAGAGCATCACTCTGGTTTGTCTTCCGCTGCCGTCCTGCAGAGGGGTGCCGTCCTCCAGATCAAGGACACCGCCCCCTCCCACTCATGTTTAGTTGAATGTATTTTAGAACATGGATCTTATAAGTGGTTGTTGCTGTCCTACTGTAGATTTTGAAGTGACACAGGAGGAAGTCAGGAAAGTATCCTGACTTTCTGGAAACCGTTCCAAGCTGGTCATGACACTGATTCCTGCAGTCACTAAACCCAAAGCATGGAGGATAAGTAGGAACTTCAGGGCTGATGTCTTTGGCTAGATCTCTGATGTGGGCTTTATCACAGCAGGTGGGGTTTATCCTGTTAAAGGCTGAGTTTCTCTAAAGAGGGACCTATTTTCAGCTGTTCGAATGATAGGAAGGCACCATGGATAGCACCACTCGATGCTATCCATGGTGCTTTAACAAGCTTTTAAGTCATATCTGCACTAAAACTACAAGGTTCTTACCTAAAGGGCTTTTTTTACATATTTATTCAGCTTAACACTGCTTCATAAATGCTAAAACTAAAAGCTACTTTCAAATTGGTTTGTGTTTTATCAGACTATATAAAGCATTACACTGTCCAATTAACTCCTTCCAAACAACCTAAAATACATTCTTAACTACCCTGCTATACAGTTAATGTTGCAATGAAGCTCAGTTTTTGTTGGATTAAAGGAGTCATTAATTGTGATTACAACAGACTATTATTGTTTACATAATGTATTTATTTTTCCATGCCTACTAGTAATAATCCACTAACAGCTTAGTAAAGGGTCATTATAGTGTTGCCCTTCTTTCTGTGTTAAGTGGTAACTGTCCTTCAGTCAAACTCATGTTGGTGCACATTTTATATGCATATTTTCTTCAGTAAGTAGTCTTTACTATTATATAACTGGAGTTGGATTGGAAGCCCCTGGAGATCGTATCTTTAACATTTCCACCACTCATGGTTCAGACCTTTCAGTATTCTGTCTGCCTCCTCAACATTATGTCTCTGTTTTGTTGTTGTTCAATCAGACCAGAGCCTCACGGTCGCGGTGGGTCCTCGCAGCATGGGCAGGTGGACTCTCCCCTTCCAGAGCAAGATGAGGAGATCCTGGGATCTGACGACGACGAACAGGAGGATCCCAACGATTACTGCAGGGGTAGGGCTTCACTGCTGCTCCAGATAAATGAGGTGGTGGAATAAATTCACAGATTTATGCTCATTTTTGTAAGTTATATCACTGAGCAGCAAAATAATCGCTAGTTGCAACCCTTATCTAACTTGAGCTTTTGTCGTTCCGACCCTTCTCCTAAAGCCTTGTGAATCCATTATGCGTCTGCGTGGCCGAAGTATGTCAATTTAACATCCAAGCCCATCTGCACGGCCAGATTTATCTGCATTACATGCCTAGGACATTTTATTGCGCAGCTGCATTGGAATATCGTGGTGGACGAGCGAATCCTATTTACCTCTTAAACATTACTACAAACAACAGATTGTGGGAAAAAATAGAAACAAATGAGTAACTTTGACAGGAAGATGATATGAAAATGAATTAGTTTTCTGGTTCTGTATAAATGCTGCAAACACTGTCTCATTGTAATGCAGAGCCGACATGCATCAAGCTCAACCCAGCCTCAATCCCTCTGCCCTCAGTCCTGTCCTTATTTACCTCCTTTCTTCCTCCTGCTTTTGCTTATTTTATGCTTTCTTTTTCTCTTCCTCTCTGTCATTCCTTCCTTGTGCCCTGCCTCTACTCCTTCCTGGCGTCTTTCCCTCTTCTCAGCTGTTTCCTTGTGTTCTTTATCCCTTCTTTACTAGTTACCTTGGATCCTTCCCTTCTTGCGGCTTCTGTCTTTTCCATCTTCCATATTCTGTCCAACATAGAGATATCAGCCATAGGTTAAAACTGGATAGGATGATTTATTCCTAATAGATTAACATTTTAAGTTTTACTTAAATGTTTGATATGAATACAGCATGTTTTTCTTCTTATTTGCATTCGGTCAGGCGGATATCACCATGTGAAAATTGGTGACCTGTTCAATGGTAGATACCATGTGATCCGTAAGCTGGGCTGGGGTCACTTCTCCACCGTGTGGCTGGCCTGGGATATCCAGTAAGTCTGCTCATCCCTTTGAACTTGCTTAAACTGATGCATCGTAACATTTTTTTTATTATTTTATTTTTTATTTAAAGAAAAAGGGAAAAATGTCCAGATTGACAACAGGAGAGGTTTTGTTTTTGCTTTGCTGTGTCAAAATGTGCTTTCCCAGTTTAAATTCAATGCATCCCCATTTTAAGTTTTAGCTACATGTGTAGTAAAATAAAAAAAAAGTTAATCTTTTGAAAATGTGTCATGATTTGATACATATATGTTTTTATTTCCAGGGAGAAGAGCTTCGTGGCCATGAAGGTTGTAAAAAGTGCTGAGCATTATACAGAGACGGCTCTGGATGAAATCAAGCTCCTCAAATCTGTAAGGATCATTTATACACTATACAGATTGAAGTTTTTCTGGATAAATGTGATTTAAAAAATTTTTACTTTTTACTTCTCGACTTTCTAGCCACAAAAACTGTCCCTGTTTTATTTCATAAATTTACTGTTCTTTGAGATAAGTATCAAAATATCGCTGATCAGGTTAGAAAAAAAAAAAAAAAATGAAGATGTTAGAGTTGGTCCAAATTGCAAAACACTGCCACAAACACGCTGCCTCTTTTTGTTCCACCATGAAAAAGCAAGGAATCAGGGAGGTTAGAGCCCTAAAATTGTTGCGCTTATATTTTCCACAGTTGCAAAGTTTTTTCAGTTATAAACTTATTTGCAGAAAGTAAATGTTAATTTTTTGTTTTCTTGAACCATTTCACATTGGCTGAAAGGCAACTCGGCGAGGAAGGGGTCATGAGTACAATAAAAAGCCAAGTTAGAGTTTGCAGTAACATCCGTGGACAAAGATTTTAAACTTAGGACACATGTCCTGGTGTCTGTTTGAACTAAAATTACAGTGTATGATCATCACTGAAATGGAGGAAAAACTGAAGGTTGGAAGCCTTGGAAAACCAGCTGTGAAGTATGGGGGTGGCAGTAGTGTGATGGGGGGCATGTATTTCTGCAGGAGGTCCTTATAAAATACTTTTTGACGCCTTGCATCAAGCGAGTCGTTTAAATGGACCATGATCCTAATCATTGTTCCTGCTGAATTGGTTAGAAGCTGGTCAAAGGAAAACAAAGTCAGACATTTAGAGCTTAAACTGTACTGGCAAACATTCTGTCTGGAAGAATGGGCAAAAGTTTTAAAATGTCGCATTCAGAGATTTTTGTGATTCACTGACCTAAAAAAAAGATAAACATTAATTAGCTTTTATGTCAATAAAGAAAAAAAGAAATCCTAGTTCTTTTTTTATACCGGAGCTGTGTACATTTGATGGTTTAAAATTACGCCTTCTTCCCACTGTTAACACTCGCTGAATTTCCTAGATTCCTCATGGCCGCTCATGTCTTCCAGGTGAGAAACACAGACCCCAGAGATCCTAACAGGGAGAAGGTGGTGCAGCTTCTGGATGACTTCAAAATTTCTGGCATGAATGGGACTCGTATCCTATCATCTTCTACCTCATTTGTTTAAGTCATTTACTATTAAGGACCACAAAAAGCTGCAGATTATTTTCTCCGTGCTAGCAATTCATGTAACACAAGAGGCATCCTTGACTTGGATTTCTGCAGACGTCTGTATGGTCTTTGAGGTCCTGGGCTACCACCTCCTAAAATGGATCATAAAATCAAACTATCAAGGCCTGCCCCAACCCTGTGTGAAAAGCATCATACGACAGGTAGAGCAGAACTCCAAAACAAAACCTACAATGCAAAGCATTGATACACACTCACTTAAGCTGCCCTTCTTTTTGATCTGACTCCTCTGTAGGTTCTGCAGGGCTTAGACTACCTCCACACCAAGTGCAAGATCATCCATACAGACATTAAACCTGAAAACATTCTGCTGACTGTGAATGAGCCCTACATTAGGAAAATGGCTGCTGAGGCGACGCAGTGGCAGAAGTCTGGAGCTCCACCTCCCTCTGGATCTGCAGGTAACCAAAAGTCCTATTTTATACTTGTGGTAACAGTTTGACTTGAAAGGCTTCTGTTATCCACATTTTTTATACTTTATATTCAGATTTAACAGTGCCACAAATATGGAGAAGATTCAGTTTTAACTGCTAATACATTTAATTGATATATCAGTGTCTATTTCTGGTGGATTGTTGTGCCTAAAAACAAAAAGCTTTTTTTTTTTTGTTATGAAAAAGCAGTGAGTCACCACTGGATCTGTTATCATCTTGCACAGACATTTATCACACTCCTGCTCAGCCTCTGCTGAAGCTGTCTGTCAGGAAAGCGGGTGTAAACTAATCCAGTCAAACAGAATCCTAATTATAGAGAGGCTGTGAATGTGCTGCATGTCACTCAACTCAAATACCGTTTATGTCCCATCCTTTACAGTGAGTACAGCTCCGGCACCTAAAACTGTGAGTTCTCCCTCCTTTTTATTTTAAATTTATTTCATCTCTCTCCGTCTGAGGACTTTTTTTCTTGAATCTGCAGGGATTAAATGCAATGTTGTTTTCTATTACTAGATGGCCAAAATGTCAAAGAACAAGAAGAAGAAGATGAAGAAAAAGCAGAAGAAGCAGGCGGAACAGCTGGAGAAGAGGATTCAGGAGATGGAGGGAGGGGCTACGCCTGATGGTGGTGCAGAGGAAGAGGATGAGGAGGAGACGGAAACTAATGAAGACGTGTCCTCAGCTACCCTTCCTATCTCTTCCAAGCAGCAAGACGTTGCTAACCATGAGAGCACAGGTGAATGTTGTTGATTTTCTCTGGCGCTCCTCCAGGGCTACCATGTGCTCCTTAGCTGCTTCTGGTCACGTAGCAAAATGGTGAAAACGATTAAATCAAGCGGGTTCAATAATCCAGGCTGTTTTCGCAGCAGACTCCACCACCGACGAGCAGCCCCCTCTGAAGCCTCAGGTAGGCCGTCAGACGGAGGGAGCAGCTGAGGAGGAGGCCACAATGGAGACCAACTGCAACGGCCGTTCTTCCTCACCAGAGAGCAAAGACGGTTCAGAAACGCAAAGGACGGAGGAGTCCACACAGAACCAGGCGGACCGACAGAAAGCAAACCAAGCAGAAAGCGGCGCAGAGACTCCAGACGCTTTGTGTAACAAAGAGGAGCATGAAGGCAGCGACGCCTCATCCGGCGAGCCCGACCCCACCGTGCAGCATCTCCCCGCTTCACTCGACTCCGACGCAACTGTGCAGCGAATCGAAGGGGAAGGAGGGAGAATAAAGATGGAAGACATGGACACTCAGGGGGAGAACAAGCGGGGAAGTGAAGAAGAGGACAGCCAGAGTGGTTGGTTACACATCACTGGTTTTCCTTTTTAATCTAGTTCACTAAACACATTTACAGAGAGTGAAATAATTTCTGCAGCTCTTCTAAATATAATAAGAATTAAACTTAAATGATCTGACATTGTTGAAATTTACCTCTGCATTTAACCCATTCCCTTGCGGAGCAGTGGGCTTCCATCGTGGGGCACACAGGGAGCAGTGTGGGGTTCAGGGTCTTGCTCAGTGACCCATAGTGGCAGTCTGTGGGACTGGGGCTAGAACTCAGAACCTCAGGAGGCCAGGCTCTATGCCATAACCTCTAGGTCACCACTCCCACATATAAACTAGTTTATATCAAAGGTTTTATCCATTTAGCTCCTAAAACATAATACGTTGGATGTAAAAGGAAAACTACATTATGAATGACTTACATTATAGAGAAACAGGAAAATGACACGAAATAAGTTGGATTTTTAGTGTTTATAAAAAAAAATGTTAGTTCACACTGTAATGGATGCAGATTTAAACCGGTTTGTATTTTCATGTTCAGCCTGATTTATAACAGATCTGGTCAAAAGGAAGAAAAGCTTCTGGTGAGGCACCAAACTCGGGGTTTGAAACCCAGTAAGAGCAACTCATTCCAATTAGAATACTGCATATGAATGCTAATTTTTCTCCACACATGTAAATCATATCCTCTGTTGTAACTTAACATGGACTCCCAGAGCTAACTGTACAGATTTCAGTGACGACTGGACACTCAAATATCTGTCTTTGCCAGATCCAGCAGGCAGCATGTTGATAAACCCCCTGGACCCTCTTAACGCCAACAAACTGCAGGTCAAGATCGCCGACCTCGGCAACGCTTGTTGGGTGGTGAGTAAAAATAATCAGCCGTCTGTGACCTCATGTGGGTGTTGGTGGATGGGTCTGGATTTAGTAAATTGTTTTTCCTTCACATCCATCCTGAACACTGAGGATTCATGTTTTCATTTCAGGGTCTGTGACCTAAATATTGTTTTGTTTTTTTTTTGCAGCACAAACATTTTACAGATGACATCCAGACACGACAATACCGTTCACTAGAGGTTCTTATCGGAGCTGGTTACAGCACTCCAGCAGACATATGGAGCACAGCCTGCATGGTAGGACACCAACATGTTCTGTTAAAGTTACAGCTTCTTTGGAAAAGAAGCATACAAAAAGATAGTGACTCAGGAGGCCACTTTAAATGCATCCACTTTTATAGTTGGTTTATCACTCCCAAGGAACAGGAAGTAGTGCTTTAATAATGTTTCTAGATACAATCTGTACAGTTGGAGAACAAATGCTTCAGTTTTATTAATTCTATACAAAATGTTAGGGATGCAGATTCTGATTTTAAGAGTTGTGTTTCATTTTATTTCATCCACTTATTTATATCATGTCTGTCAAGCCTGGTTAAAGCTGAAGTCTGTAAGTTTTTAAAAATCACTTTTTTGTCATATTGGCTAAAACTGTCCCTATGCCCAGACAGCAGTACATGTGATATGTAACCTGTGAAAAAAACTGCTTCAATTGGTCCCGCCTACTGCCTGTATTGCAATCTGGAAAGAATAATTCGGGACGAGTCAAAACAACCAATCACAGCCAGAGGAACGTCTGATGGAGTGTCAATCACATCCGCCGCCCCCCCCCACCACCACCGCTTAACCTGCTGCAGCGCCCGGCTGCCGCAGTCAGGAGGACGCGCGAGAGGAAGTCATGGCGGAGCGACAGCCACCAGAGAAAGAGAAACTGCCCTTACTGCCCATGCCGCGTACGCTGCTTGGACGCTTCTGGTCGCATGCGGTAGCCGCGCAGGTGCTGTGAGAGGGGTGGAGCTTGGAGGTGGGGCATGAGTGAAGCAGAGAGGGTGGGGGAGTGACATGAAACCTGTTTTTCTTCAAATTTTCAGTCGAAGTCTGCTCTCTTCTCAATGTTACAGACTGCAGCTTTAATGCTCAGAAACCAGGTCGTCTGCATGTGTGTTGCAGTTAACGCAGATATGCCCCTCTCCCTTCCGCAGACACTCTGCTGCACCTCCCAATATTGTAGGTGACTGCAGACAGGAGGCCTCTGATTGGTCAATTCTACATCCGCTCTACACTAAGCGTATTTTCTGTTTGCTACCTAATGGTAGAAACTCTGGCTGTAGTGTCGTCCAAAACGCCTGTCACACCTCGGACACAATCCCAGGCACCGTGCAGGACGCTAGTTTGTTGCTCTGTGCAACGGTCTGTTGGTCTTTCGGGAACACTCACGGGTGAACTGTGTGTCGTCCGCCATTGGATGAGGGGTTGTAGACGGCGAACAATCTTGTCTAACCGACACACGGACACCCACAATCCTAGCTAGTTCATGATTGTCCCTCTTGCGTTGTGGCGTGGAATAACATAGAGCAGATCACGCTTCAAAATTGGCCATAAATTAAAGGTATCTGCGTCATACTAGCAATAAGCTAACTGCGACACACTGCTGCGGGAGTATACGCAGCCCTTTACTGTTTCCTATACATTATTTTGAAATCATTGGATATTTTTAGGAAATGCCATTTTTGTGTACAGGACTGCTGTTATTTTACTGAGCAGAACCCCAATATTCAATTAAAGTCTTGACCGATGTCACTTAAATGAAATCCTTCATAATAATGGATGTGTGTAATTGTTTTGTCAGGCCTTCGAGCTCGCTACAGGAGATTATCTGTTTGAGCCCCACTCTGGAGAGGACTACTCCAGAGATGAAGGTTAGTTCGCACCAAACTACAGAAAGGAGGACCACCTTTATGAATGGCTGTCGGTTTAGAACCTCAAAATATAAAATCTGTCCTAAACATTATTAAGGTTGTGATTGAAGGACAATTAAAGCTTTATAGTTTTTTTTTCTACAGGTGCTGGTAATAAAATTAGAATATCATGAAAAAGTAGATTGATTTCAGTAATTCCATTTAAAAAGTGAAACTTGTATATTATATTCATACATTACATACAAACTCATATATTTCAGATGTTTATTTTGTTTAATTTTGATGATTACAAATGACAACAAATGAAAATCTCAAATTCATCATATCAGAAAATTAGAATATTACTGAAGACCAATAAAAACAAAGGATTTATAGAAATGTTGGCCAACTGAAAAGTATGAACATGAAAAGTATGAGCATGTACAGCACTCAGTATTTAGTTGGGCCTCCTTTGGCCTGTATTACTGCAGCAATTGCTCTAAAACTTCCTGGTATGTGGCTGCGTTGACCCTGGACCTCAGAAAACCCAATGGACCAACACCAGCAGATGACATGGCACCCCAAACCATCACTGACTGTGGAAACTTTACACTGGACTTCAAGCAACGTGGATGAAGTGCCTCTCTTCTTTTCCTCCAGACTCTGGGACCTTGATTTCCAAAGGAAATGCAAAATTTACTTTCATCAGAGAACATGACTTTGGACCACTCACCAGCAGTCCAGTCCTGTTTCTCTTTAGCCCAGGCAAGACGCTTCTGACGCTGTCTGTGGTTCAAGAGTGGCTTGACACAAGGAATGCGACAGCAGAAACCCATGTCTTTCATACGTCTGTGTGTGGTGGTTCTTGAAGCACTCACTCCAGCTGCAGTCCACTCTTTGTGAATCTCCCCCACATTTTTGAAGGGGTTTTGTTTCACAATCCTCTCCAGGGTGCGGTTATCTCTCTTGCTTGTACACTTTTTTCGACCACATCTTTTCCTTCCCTTCGCCTCTCTATTAATGTGCTTGGACACTGAGCTCTGTGAACAGCCAGCCTCTTTAGCGATGACCTTTTGTGTCTTGCCCTCCTTGTGCAAGGTGTCGATGGTCGTCTTTTGGACAACTGTCAAGTCAGCAGTCTTCCCCATGATTGTGTAGCCTATAGAACTAGACTGAAAGACCATTTAAAGGCTTTTGCAGGTGGTTTGAGTTAATTAGCTGATTAGAGTGTGGCACCAGGGGCCATCAATTTTGAACCTTTTCACAATATTCTAATTTTCTGATATGATGAATTTGAGATTTTCATTTGTTATTTGTAATCATCAAAATTAAACAAAATAAACATCTGAAATATATGAGTTTGTATGTAATGTATGAATATAATATACAAGTTTCACTTTTTAAATGGAATTACTGAAATCAATCTACTTTTTCATGATATTCTAATTTTATGACCAGCACCTGTAGTTGCATATGAAGTTTTCCTCAAATTGCCACATGGTGCTGGTGTATTAGTTATTTTGTTTGCCTGCTTTGTTTTCCTCAGTTTGTTAGTCAATACAGCACTTTGTTTATATTTACAGTAATAACCGAGGTATGATCCTTAACAGGGTGTAAAGAAGGAAGTAGCATAGTCCAGCTAATTCAGTTAGCACCTGCCAGGGAAGTGGGGAAACAAATGATGAAAAGTTCAACATCTATTGGGGAGGAAAAACAAAAACTAATTCGATTCTGAGAGGAATTAGTCTAAAACAGCGCCGGGAATACTGTATGACTGTTGGTCTGCACTAAAGAGGAGGCTAGCAGCTTTTTGATAGTTCTGTGGTTTTACCAGCAGATGGCGCCACGTCTGTTTCAAACTCATCATGCCCCTATGCTCTAGAAGGAAAATCTTAAAACTATCAGGTCGGACCCCCACTGTATATAACATAGGATAATCGGATGGTTTTTGGTTGCTTTGTATAGGCATATAACATGACAATGCACCATTAAAATTATTTATTTTTAAAGATTACTTAGTTATCAACATGCCAATTTCCCCTTCTTCGCTGTCAGAGTCACTTTCCGTGCAGCGCGGCTCCTCAGAAATAATGCCGGCTTTTGCGAAAGCTTGAACAACAGAGCCAGCAGACACGTTAGTCCAAGCATCAACAATCCATCCGCTAAAGGTGGCATAACTTGCCCGGCGCTGCCTTCCACTTATCCTGAAACTGTGGTCTCCGTCTGTCATCCATCGCTCCCACGCCGCTCGCAGCCTGACTTTGAACGGTCGCTTCACACCGATGTCGAGCGGTGGAAGTTCCTTTGTCAGACCCCCGGGATAACGGCGAGCACAGCGTTCATTTGATTCACCTTTTTTTTTCACATCGGCTGTGAGATGGGCACGCAGCGATGGTGATGCGTGGAAAAAACCACCTGGTCTCCTCACATACATCGGCCTCAGCCACGCTTTCATCATCTCCTCCATCATTTGTGTTAATATCATATGTCATCAGAGCGATGTGTCTGTCTCGCTGTCAGCTCCCAGATCAGCTTCTCTGATTGGTTGATGCGGCGCTTCCAGCAGCAAAACTTCAATTTTTCCATCTCGAGCTGCAGCAGCGCGTTGGCAGATGCTTAAACGCTCCCGACGCACAGCACCTGCTGCTCAAAACGCGCTGCGGGACCTTTTGCTGCGCCTATACGCGCGTCAACCATTGACTTTGCATGTAAACTCGCTGCTTCTGCTGCACCTGCTGGGTCCGGTTCACACCGATGTCGAGCGGTTGAACAGCGAGCACAGCGTTAATTTGTTTCCCCATGTTTTTCACATCAGCTGTGAGATGGGCACGCATGGAGTTGCATATTAACAGCGATGGTGATGAGTGGAAAAAAAACACCTGGTCTCCTTACATTCAGCCACTCTTTCATCATCTCCTCAATGAGGTGGTCTCAAAAGTCGCAGTTACAACACACATAGGGCGCACCGCACCAAAGGGCGCACCGCACATTTTGAGGGAAAAAAAAGACGTTTAAGTGCGCCTTATAGTCGTAAAAATACGGTACTCCTTTTAGCTTTGCAAAAACAAATATTGGTATGTTTTATTGGAACTTTATCTGATATAACAGCGGTTTATGGAATTCAGTAATATTTTTTAGTAGTAGGCATTTATGTGTAGAAAGGGGGGGAAAAAACACCTTTTACATTGATCCTCATTAATAAAACCTGCTGGTCCCTTAAGACCTTCTATATTCATGCTAATCTTAAAATCACACAGGAGAAGTTGATTTATTGCACAAAATTGTGTGTGTTAAATCCTATCAGCTTCAGGTTTTATGTAGGTCTGAAGGGGACAATCTATTTTTCCCCTTATTAAGCAGGGTTCCCGCGGGTCCCTAAAAAGTCTTAAAAGGCATTGAATTCTTCAAAATAAAACTAAGGCCTTAATTGGTATTAAAATGTCTTAAATGTCTTTCGTAGGTCTTAATTTTTAAACCATCATAAATAGAATAATTTTTTTCCCCAATTTATTTTTGTAATCTAAATAAAACTTTAAAATTGACCATTTTTTTTTTATTTAAAAAAAGTAACGGCTCGCCATTATTGGTTCCGTCCCGATAGCGAAACCAATAAAAGCGTTGTTGCGGCTGGGACATTTGGGAGATGCGCCATTTACTTTTTGTCTAGAAAATATGAGCAAGTGTAAATGTAACCAAAATTGGCTATTAAGCCAAGAGTTTTCTCCATGGCTAAAACCAGTACCAGAAAACATACATGAGGCACAGTGTATTTTGTGCAAGAAGTCATTCAAGCTTGGAACAATGGAAATTAAGGCAGTGGAGTCACATGTGAAGCGCGAAACACAAAGCGTCAAAATCGAGTTACCGAAACAGCCGGTATTTCTCAGTTTTGTTCCACCCTTGTCTCTGCAACGCCTCCACTTATCACCAAATCAAACATACTAAGAAAACGATACAAAGAAAAATAGCTGCAAACTGATTTTTGTTCCCTGCTAAAATAAAGTTTGTGAATTCAGTTAAATAATTGTTGAAATATATCTGTCATTTGTGTGTTTTTAGCTTTCTTCCTGTATGGGAAGCTTTTCAAAATTTGAAACAGGGCAATGGTTTATGTTATAATAAACCTTTGGGTTAAGTTGTCGCAAGCAGGTTTTTCTTGTGTTTCTTGTGAATTTGGTCTTAAATTTTTATTTCAAGTGGCATTAAAAACTCTTAAAAAGTATTGAATTTAACTTGCCTTATACTGTAGGAACCCTGTTAAGGAGCTACGTTATTGCAAGGTTTAAACTAGCAGTGACATTTAGAAAAACTAACGATCAAATTAGTTTATTTTTATTTAAAAATTTATGATTTTTAGGATATAATCGCTAAAAGAATAAAGACGCTTATTGATAATACTTGGTAATTATTAGTTAAAAATAAATATGAAACCCTGGCTTTGTTTACGCTGATGACCTGACACTTCAGCTCCCTGTGATCAATCAATCATCTGTTCGTATGGCAAGTAAAATTTCCATTTAATCAGTTAGGTTAAATATCTGGTATTACCACCAACATATCTATGACATCATTCTGACTAGGAAGACCTGCAGATTCAGATGTAATTAGGTTTTGACTGAGCAAAATCTGACAGCTCTCGATGTATGTGCAGTACGACGCTCTGATGTGATCTACCTGCTCACACTGTATGTCTAAAAACCATCTCCAGATCACATAGCGCTTATCATCGAGCTGCTTGGCAAGGTTCCTCGGAAGCTGATCGTGGCGGGAAAATACTCCAAGGAGTTCTTCACCAAGAAAGGTAAACACCCCCCCCGCCACCAACATTCTGCTGTAGCTACATCCTGTTTCAGTTGTAAATCTGCTCAGGTATTTGGTAAAAAGATACCATTTAGGGGAAAAAAAAGAAACAGCCTTGAGGGATCCACCATCTCCTCACTTCTGGAGAGTACATGCAAATGAAATGAATTGCAGCTGTTTGATGTTTGACTGTGATGAAGCTCTGTAATCAGGCTTATATAACATGTTTCTCCCAGGCGACCTGCGACACATCACCAAGCTGAAGCCGTGGGCTTTGTTCGACGTCTTGGTTGAGAAGTACGAGTGGTCCAAGGAGGAGGCCCACTCTTTCAGCAGCTTCCTGCTGCCCATGCTTGACCTGGTGCCTGAGCGGAGAGCCACAGCGGCTCAGTGCCTCTCCCATCCATGGCTCACTTCCTAAAGCCTGCATACTGCTACCCTTTTATATTGTGAAAGGCCCCAGCCAGCGAATGCATTCGTGTCTGCAAGCAGGATCCTCCTCGTGCTGATGTACGTCTATCTTCCTGCAAACATCCAACCAACGAAGAGGAAAACTGTCCAGGATTTGTTCTTTTATGGATTTCAATTATTGGAGTACCTTCAGTTATCCTCTCCGTTTGTACTTAAAATGAATTTGCATCCGTCTCCCTGTTTTGTTTTGTTTTTGTTAGTTTTTTGTATTTTATTTTTCTCTTCAAGAACTGAAAATTTGCACCTTTCCAACAGAAACTGAAATGTTAAGCCATTGAAGCTGCAGTGCGTTGTATAGTTCACCGTTGAGCCGATTCTCTGCCAATCTTCATGTGCCAGCTTTTACACCCTTGGCCTAAAACTTTGTGGTTATAATTTAATCATATGCGATGCTCATTAGATTATAAAGTCTATTATCTTCAAGTTCTGTCTTCTGAAGATTTATCTTCGCCCTGAACAAAGGGGATTAAAAAAAAAAAGTTTTTGTACATTTTTACACAGGCAGGATTAGAAGACAGATATTAAATGCAGTGTGCATCAGTGACATGTTTCCAATCGCGCACTTTGACATCAATGCTTGTTATCTTTGAGTGATTTCCAGGATTCTGCATTATTCCACAGTCTCTTGGAATTTGATATTAGAGTGTGATAATGGATAGTTTGGGGAGTTTTTTTTTCTGAATGGACCACTTTAAAGACCATTACACATTGTTGCATTTTCGGACAGTCCTGTCAAACCGCATGTGGATGAGCATCCACTGTTCAGTACGTCGTACCAAAGAGTTTGGCTTGATCCAGGTTCTGAAGGCGGCGAGTAGCAAAGCAGGCTTCATTTGAAGGGCTGAAAAATGTTTTTTTGTGATCTGATCATAAATGTAGGTTCCGCTGTGCAAAACTTTCATATGAATGTGCTGGTTTAACAAAAGATTGTACTAAAGGCATTTATTGTTTCATTGCTTTAAATGTCTTCAGGTGTCATACAGTTTTTTTTAAATTAGTTTCTGATGTCTCTTGTCTTCCATTTTCTTTATTTCTCCCTGTAGATTTTAAGAATAAAAACTTTGCCAAATTAGTTTGCCGCCTCAGTTGGAAGATTTCATAAACTCTTTACTGTCAAAATACGTGATGTTTTCAAATACATTTATTTTAAAACAAATTACTTTAGTTAAATTCTTCCACAGACATTTTTTTTTTATGGTCCCTTGCAAAAATACATTTAAAATTCAGATCTTCAAGTGGCTGTTTTTTTCTTATCATTGTTTCTTCTCCTACTCAACCTCAAAACTGTCTCCAAAAATCTCTTTCTGGACATTTTTACAGTCCTAACCACCTCTTGTAGTTAATAATAACCTGAGATCTGGGATTTCTTTAACATTTTAAAAGCTTTATTTCAGCCTTTAATGACTTATGGAGTTTACCTTCTCTCATCTTTATACCTTGATTCACAGACTGAAAAATTGAACTTCCAAACTCTAATCCAATTTTTTCCAAACTGATCACTCTTCTAAAGGTTTCCTCATCAGCTTTACAGGTGCTGGTCATAAAATTAGAATATCATGAAAAAGTAGATTGATTTCAGTAATTCCATTTAAAAAGTGAAACTTGTATATTATATTCATACATTACATACAAACTCATATATTTCAGATGTTTATTTTGTTTAATTTTGATGATTACAAATGACAACAAATGAAAATCTCAAATTCATCATATCAGAAAATTAGAATATTACTGAAGACCAATAAAAACAAAGGATTTATAGAAATGTTGGCCAACTGAAAAGTATGAACATGAAAAGTATGAGCATGTACAGCACTCAGTATTTAGTTGGGCCTCCTTTGGCCTGTATTACTGCAGCAATGCGGCGTGGCATGGAGTCGATCAGTCTGTGGCACTGCTCAGGTGTTATGATAGCCCAGGTTGCTCTAATAGTGGCTTTTAGCTCTTCTGAATTGTTGGGTCTGGTGTATTGCATCTTCTTCTTCACAATACCCCATAGATTTTCTATGGGGTTAAGGTCAGGAGAGTTTGCTGGCCAATTAAGAACAGGGATACCATGGTCCTTCAACCAGGTACTGGTAGCTTTGGCACTGTGTGCAGGTGCCAAGTCCTGTTGGAAAATGAAATCTGCATCTCCAAAAAGTTGGTCAGCTGCAGGAAGCATGAAGTGCTCTAAAACTTCCTGGTATGTGGCTGCGTTGACCCTGGACCTCAGAAAACACAATGGACCAACACCAGCAGATGACATGGCACCCCAAACCATCACTGACTGTGGAAACTTTACACTGGACTTCAAGCAACGTGGATGAAGTGCCTCTCTTCTTTTCCTCCAGACTCTGGGACCTTGATTTCCAAAGGAAATGCAAAATTTACTTTCATCAGAGAACATGACTTTGGACCACTCACCAGCAGTCCAGTCCTGTTTCTCTTTAGCCCAGGCAAGACGCTTCTGACGCTGTCTGTGGTTCAAGAGTGGCTTGACACAAGGAATGCGACAGCAGAAACCCATGTCTTTCATACGTCTGTGTGTGGTGGTTCTTGAAGCACTCACTCCAGCTGCAGTCCACTCTTTGTGAATCTCCCCCACATTTTTGAATGGGTTTTGTTTCACAATCCTCTCCAGGGTGCGGTTATCTCTCTTGCTTGTACACTTTTTTCGACCACATCTTTTCCTTCCCTTCGCCTCTCTATTAATGTGCTTGGACACTGAGCTCTGTGAACAGCCAGCCTCTTTAGCGATGACCTTTTGTGTCTTGCCCTCCTTGTGCAAGGTGTCGATGGTCGTCTTTTGGACAACTGTCAAGTCAGCAGTCTTCCCCATGATTGTGTAGCCTATAGAACTAGACTGAAAGACCATTTAAAGGCTTTTGCAGGTGGTTTGAGTTAATTAGCTGATTAGAGTGTGGCACCAGGGGCCATCAATTTTGAACCTTTTCACAATATTCTAATTTTCTGATATGATGAATTTGAGATTTTCATTTGTTGTCATTTGTAATCATCAAAATTAAACAAAATAAACATCTGAAATATATGAGTTTGTATGTAATGTATGAATATAATATACAAGTTTCACTTTTTAAATGGAATTACTGAAATCAATCTACTTTTTCATGATATTCTAATTTTATGACCAGCACCTGTATTTATTCAGTCACTCTAAAATTTGAGTAAATTGGTTTTATATTTTTAACATGGTACATTTTTGCTAAGATTTTTTTTAAATAAAACATTTAATTTATCTATTATCTGTAATAAATCCAAATTATATCCAGTCCACAGGAAGGAGGGAATAAATACCGACTAGTTTCAAAGGGGATCTGAGAACAAAATGATCCAGATCTGGTTAATTTATACAATTGAATGATTTTTAAAAAGAGGATAAATGATAAGAAAGAACATAGAACATGTTTTTGTCCGGTTTTTGTTCAGATTTTGAATGAACATTATAAAGTTTTCCATCTTTTTATCACACTAGCTTGTACTCCTCCTGTCCAACTAGGGGCGCCAGTGAGATAAGTAATTCAGAGGATAATACCACAAAGAAAGAAAAAGAACCAATCAAATGAAAGCAAGCTTCAGTTTTTGCAAGGCGCCAGTTTTGTTTTTGTCTACAAGTTGACGGCTGCAGGTTCGCTAGCAGATTCGGTCGCCATGGCGGATAACACTTTCCCAGTCTACGATGTGGACTTTATCGTGAACTATTACCGCAATGAGGTTCTGACCGGCCAGGAGGCCCGGAAGGTCAGCAAAGGAGACCTGAGCCCGGTCCCCAAGGTAGGTTGGTTCTGACCGCCCGGAGGTACCGGACCGCGGTTTGGACCTTTTGACCACAGTTATATACATTTTTTTTTATTATAAAGTGAACAAAGACCACACTCATGAGAATCCAGAGTGGAATAAAGGTGACAACCACCGGAAGCATCAACACTTCAGAATCAGAAATACTTTAATAATCCCAGAGGGAAATTACTTAAAAGCAAATGTAAAAATATAAACCTTAAATAACATGCTGCTGTCATTTTGCACACCTCTGATGTTGCTGCTATATTCACATTACTGTAAAAATGTCCACAGCTGTTTATTGGTTATTATATTACACTGGTTATTTATTCTCAAGAGGTACAGTTTTTTTTATATTGTTAAAACACTTTACAGTGCAGTATTTTATTGTTTATCTTTTAATTATTCACTATCATGTTATCAGGTTTTTCTAAGGTCCACATTTGTTTTCTGTTCTACTCTATTCTATAAAAAGGGGTAGAAAGATATAAGTAAATCTAAACGGTGTATGTATAAAAGTATATTTGCAAAATCTCTTATATTCAACAACAAATACCTAGTAAAGCAAATTGTGCAAAAAAAAAAAAACTATTCAAAGGTAAATCAGATAGTCAAATGAAGAAATAAACATTAACAAGGATAAATCACTACACCGAAAAAAAAGAATATAAGATGTAAAGGGCAATTAGGAATGACATTCCGACTGAAAAGTCTTTTAGCATTTGTAGTAGACATTTTCTTTAATGACAAGTATATCCCGGGGCGGAGCTAGATGCTGGGCCAGGTGGGCCATGTCCACCCTTAGCCAATCATTGGCCACCCCTACTATTTTTCCCTCTAATACAGATGTTGGCAGCAGTAATACTCTGAAGTGGAATATTGAAAACATTAAATTTTTCATACGTTAACAGTGTGGTTAATTATTCACATCAATATACTAACATTGAAGATGATCATTTATGCTCTTTTCAGAACTAGATTTTGCGTTTTATGAGGTAAAGAGAAAATTATGTGTCTCTAAAAGTCATCTAGGAGTCTTCATTGAAATCATAGATAAATAACTATTTTAATAAAAACTTAATAATCAATTTTGGTAGATATTAGCACTTGTAAATATCAATTTTATGCAGAATAATTGTTTATAAAAGTAGGTAAGTAATTACAAAGGAAGAGATGTCCGCCCCAGAACTCACTACCTTTAATCTAGAAAGCATGAATGTTAAAAATATGCATCTATTTTTTAACAAAGGCTGTAGGAAAGTATAGTTTGTTTTTATTTAGAAAATATGTCTGTTGTGCTCGTTAAATTTCCTTTTGCAATAGATTGACCCTGAGGTTCTGGTGTCTATCCATTTTCAGCCACCCCTCAGTGTACATTGGCCACCCTTATAAAAATATTCTGGCTATGCCTCTGAGTATATTTATTACATTTTTAAATGCTATGATTGTAGGGAGAGTTTTGGTAAGAGGACCATATTAATTATATTATTAATTGTAAATTCTATTAGATTATCTTGGGCAATAATATCACATTTCATTGCAGAGGGAGAGAGAATATTTGTGTTTTAAGATTTAGAGAATAAGCAATTATAAACTGAGGATACAATTGTTTGTGTTTTTACTACAATAAAAAAAAAGTTCAGTTCATTGATCTTCTTGCTCACATAGATGACATTTCGTTACAGTTAGTTTGAATTTGGAGCACATGAATTCATTGGGAGGATAAATTGAAGGTAATTTAAGGTTGTGAAATGAATCTCTTTATATTTTGGCGGAATAACAAATTTAAGACATTTGGTTCTCAATGCACAGACATTTTTGGGCTATTTAAATAGGAAAAGTCTTTTAATTGGATTACGATATAAGATATTTGTTGTTAAAAAGATGTGTTAGCATTTTTCATCTTTTATACAGATTCCTTTAATAAATGTATTTTTAAGTTTAGGAACTGGAATATTACTGAGGCAACCTTGAACTAAATTGATCAATATTTTTGGGATATAATTTATAATTTGTCCATAATTCTGGGTTGAGAATTTGACATTATATTTAATATGTCAATCATCCAGTGAGAGTAACTCTCCATCACTTCTCACTGCTGTTCTGGGTGCCAATAAAATTTTTTGAGGAGCTTCAACAGCACTACTGTATCATATTTAGTCTACCTCCCAGCAGCTTCCTGTGTTTCTTCTTCTCTGCAGCCTGAAGTGGTTCAGACCATCTACATGAGGGTCCTGTACCTGGTGTCGCGCTTTGGACCAGAGTGCCACTCCATGGTGAGTCCATCCTGTAGTTCAGGGGTCTCCAACCCTGGTCCTCCAGATCTGCTGTTCTCTAGATGCATCTCTGCTCTAATGACTGGATCATTGAGCCTTTACCAAACCTGATGGTAAAGAGATAACTCAGTCATTTGGTTCAGCTGTTGGAGCAGGGATGCATCTAGAACCTGCAGGTCTGTAGATCTGGAGGACCAGGTTATTATCAGTAGATGGTGTTTTTTGGGGGAAGTCGCCCTTTAATTGAGCCATGGCTCTGTGTCTCCAACAGGTTCCCCTGTCAGAGGACATCCAGAACCCGACCTATCATGAGGGGGCTGCTGCCATCCTTAGCCTCTTCAACCGCATGTGAGCTTCCTGTCCTTTAGGTCCTGCTGCTAAAATGTCTGGATGTGTCTAAGGAGCTGTTCTGCTCTGGAAGCTCTTCATCTGTTCTTTCTACTGTGATGTTTTTTTAGGAAGCAGTTCCTGCAAATGTGCCTGATGTACGACTTCTCCCTCAATGATCTGCTGGCTCCCAGTAAGTCTTCCTGCAGCCCATAACCTCATCTACTGGTTCCTTTCAGAGTTTATCCTCGAGCTGCAGGACTCTGGCAGGATAGGGTCCCCAGGATCTTCTGCTTTCTCCTCTGCTCATCCTGGAGAAGCTGAATTCATCCTGAAATGTGTTAAATGTTCTGGAGAAATTCAAAGACATGATCCTCCCAGTGTTGTCTGCCTGCTCTAAAGGGAGCAGGTGTATGATGGCATCATCACATCAAACTGCAGGGCGTCCCGAAAGCTCCTGGTATGATTCTCGGATGGACCAGAAGAAGGCTCTCTGTCATTGAGGACTGTTGGTACCAGAACAAGGCAGGAGGTCTTCCTCAGCACTGAAACCGGCAAATAAGCTGATACTCCTCCTGCTTGAAGATCTTCAGCATCCCTAACCACAGATCTCTGACATTTCTAGCCTCTTCCTGTCATCCTCTTTGCTTTCATTGATTTTTTTTCTTGAAGATGCTTCTATATATTCTTAAATAATCCTGTCTCCCTCGTGAGGCTCTGTATTATTTACCAGTTTCCTTACATCACTGTTGATCCAGGGTTGGAGGAACATCTCACTGTTCTGGTGGGGAAGGTTATAATCAGAGTTGGTCTGTGCTAAAGTTAATGTTTCCATTCATTTTTCAGGTTTTATTTCTGTTTTATTAGGTGATGCTGATCTGTTAAATGGGTCTATACCTTCAGTGATTTAGGTTTTGTTTTTGCAGAGAAACAGCGGACTCTGGTCATTCTGAGCGCCATCATGAACTTTCTGAAATTCAGGAAGGAGAGGCTGGAGAGGATGCTGGAGACGCGCGCTGTGCTGGTAGGTTGGACGTAAACGCACATGAATGACGTTGGTCAAATTGTGTCTATATTAGGGATGGAACAGTTTATGAAAACCGTCCGAACCGTTTGGTTCGACTGTCTCGGTTCAATTCGCGTGTGTTGCGTTCGGTTCATGCGCTGCTCCTTTTTCTCATAGGCGAAGCGTTTACACTCCAGAGCAGAAGGTGGCGGTACTGCGACCAAAGCCAACCACCAGTAGTAAACAAGAAGAAGAAGCGAAGCAGCGTAGCCGGGTGTAGCAAAAAAAATAATCAGTTGTTGTGGAGAACTGTGTGGGTATGGCGAGTGGGAAAGAACAGGAGTTGGAAGACGCGCCAGCAGCACTTTATAGGTCTGCTGTATGAAAAGAAAAGAAAGTTGTGGATAAAAGTGCAACAGTGTGTAAGCATTGTGCACACGTTTGTTTATGCTAACAGCAACATGACCAACATGTCATGCTAACAATCAACATAAACCGAACCGAAAACCTTGACCAGGAAACCATGAACCACTCCACCCCTAGACTATAGTCATCAGGAAAACAATGTAGCTAACGCTCTTCATTATAAAAACCCAGAATGTATGGAGGTGAGAACATTAGAATGTGTCACCCTGAGACCAGAGAAGAAATGATGGACTGTTGTTGGGCTGTAATAATACTGTCTGTCAAGCAGAGTATACTGGAAAACTGTTTGCTCTTAACTAGGGATGCACAATATTGGGATTTTGGCCGATATCCGATATGCCGATATTTGAAACCTCATGTAGCCGATAACCGATATCGATACCGATGTTAAAGCTGGACAAAAATAAGTCATTGAAAATAGCAGTTTTGTTATCCATTTCTGACACTTTGAAAAATAATATACTCAAATATATTTTCATATGCTGATATCAAATTGATTTTTAAAAACGCGGTATCGATCTATTTTACTTTTTAAAATCTCGTGAAATTTCATTGTTCTGTTACAAACTCTCGTGATATTTTGCAAATTCCTGTGAGATTTTGTTAGTAAAATAGATAGATACCGCGTCAATATATCAACATGTAAAAATATGCCAAAATTTAGTGAATTTTCGGGGGATTTCGTAGCATAACGATGACATATAGCAATATTTCATTAGTAAAAGAGATTGATATGGTGTTTTTAAATGGCAATATATCAGCATATGAAGATATTGTGATATTTTAATGTATCAATATTTTTTCCCTCATCTTTAGAAGTTTTAAAGTCTGTAAAAAAGAAGTTGAGGAAGAAGAAGAAGAAGTAGTATTTTTTTTTTTTTTTTTTAAGACTTTAGAAACTCAGAAGCTGATCAAATATCGGGTTAAATATTGGTGGGGTGGCCGATGTCCGATATTCAGTTTTAAGGCCGATACCGATAGGGGGCCGATTATATGGTGCATCCCTACTCTTAACGGCAGCTGGGAAGTCAGGAGGTCCATATGCCAACTAGGGTACTAAAATTTAAAACTCATGTTTTATATCCAGGAACATATCCAACACTAAAGCCACTTTCGATATCATGGGGATAAAACAAACATAGAAAAGCTTTTTCAGTCTCACCATGGACCATGCCTTTTTCTCAGAAACACAGATGCTAGTTCAACAACCCAGAAATATGCAAACCTTGTCCTAGTATTGATAACACACCAAATTAGTACACACTATAATCCAGATGCAGCTTTTGAGTATCAATACTTTTGACAATGCTAACAGCATTGATGCTAGCTGCTCTCTAACTGCCAGCACTGATGATGGCAACCAGGAACGGGTAAAGATTAGAAGCATTTCCACGGCTGTGTCCATCACAAGCTCTAACCCTGGAGGAAGAAGGTACAGGAACTACTCTGATGGTCACACTTCTTCTGTTGTTAATAATGATGCTTATTACTGTCAATAGTAATCAAGTACTTTAGGAATCCCTTCACTTCTAATCCGGCTGCAGTTTCAGCAGGTGTGAGTCAGAAATATTTCTGGTCTTTGCTCCAATTCAGTCCGATCCGAAGGGAAACTGTGCTTCTTTCCTCAGATTGTCAGTATGGTTTTGATTTTTTGCATTTGGGAGTTTCTATATAGTTGCCAAATAAATCCCACCCCCTTTTCTCCACGTCGAGGCCATGTTCTATTTTCCCTAATGAGACCTTTCATACCGACCCAGAGACGTTCTGATCCGACAAATCAGCAGTGCTGCATCTTAGTGGTTAGAAAAAAACCCGTTGACTATCGGTCACTTTGGTCCAACAGACCATCCTGTTGGGAATCATCCAGAATCAAATGACTCACCCTTATAACCAACCAGATTTCAAACCAGTGCCAGGGGACCCAGGCCCAAAGGAATCCCAACGTATTTCTGACCCTTATCTGCTAATAACTGGGTTCCCATCTTAAAAATTATGAAATCTGATGTCATAGGTCTTAAATAATGTCCCATAGCATATTATTAGCCTACGGAGCTGCCAGGCTAAGTGCTTGTTGACTATTAGAAATGGGTCGGTTGAGATCACTCCCGGGCTAGGTAGCTAACTAGCTAGCTGCTATTAGCTCGCGATAGTGACACAAAGCTAGGATTGGACTCTTAGACACTAATGGGTCTGTGTTTACTTAGCAATTGAAATCTTTTTTTTTTCCTCCGTATTCCAGGATTATATTTTATTCTCAGTGGTAAAAAAAGATCTGAAATGTAACTTTTAGAAACTTGTAGAAATCCTGCAATAAGGAGGTAAATGGTTTTAAAATGTGTTTTAGCTGGCTGGCTAATGATGGCTAATGATGATGATTGCAGCATGACCGGTGTCTGCGGGGAAATGTTCTGTACAGAACCCTGGAGAGTGTTCCAAATCATCAGCAAACTCTGAACCAAACCAGGTCCAATCCTGGAGAACTACACTCAGCAGCCTATAGGGGCTCATTACCCGGTCACTTGCAGTGGAACCAACAGATGTTAAGATAAGAATTTAGCCTTCTGGTTCCGGCATCATTTTACTGTCATTCTGCATACTTTCCCTGAGGTGTGATGTTCAAAATATTAAAGGTTCTGGCTGAAGCTGGAATAGAGCCTATTAGAATGTTCTGGATGGAGCTAAAACGGCTTGGTCCAGCAGAACCTGGCTAACGCTTCTCCTCTCTGCCTGCAGAGGGCAGCCAAGGAGAAGCAGGAGCTTTTCAACAAAGGCATCAGAGACCTGGAGAAGAAGATCCAGCTCCTAACGTAAGTATCCTCCAGAACTTATTTGGATCCCTCTTAGTTTGTCTGTAACCCATTTGTTTCTGATCCGGATCCAGGACCATCCCCCCAGAGCAGCAGGCTGAGGCTGAACGGCTGGCAGCTGATCTCTCCGAGCTGCAGGCCAACATCCGGCAGGAGTACAAGGAAGGGGTAGGTTCTGGGGGGGGGAGGTGGGCAGTTCTGGGGGACGGTGGGCGGTTCTGATCCAGTGGCTCTCCTTTCAGAATGCCATCAGTGAAAGTGTTGCGGAGCTGAAGGCCAAGATGGCAGAGAAGCAGCAGAGGCTGGTAGGGGATTCACACCCAAACATCTGCAGGCTTCTCGTGATCTTGGCGTGTTCCTGAAAATGTGTGTGGCTCAGGCCCAGGTGAAGGTGGAGGTCGGTGAACTGAAGGAGGAGATCACCAAGATCAAGTCTCAGATCGTGGAGTCTCCAGAGGAGCTGAAGAGCCAGATGGAGAAGATGAGGGAGACTGTGAAGAACATCAAGAAGTCCATTGTGAGTGGAGGCCTGGTTCTGCTGAGATGATGAGGGGCAACAGAGGGCTGGCTGTGACTCGTTTGCTTCTGTTCCAGACTGACACAGACGAGTGTGTGATGGAGATGCAGAACCGGGTGGAGAGCGTGAAGCACGCCGAGGCTCAGTTCCAGCAGTTAATCGTCCTCCTGCAGGACCTGGAGAGAGGCCTGAATGCCAACAAGCAGCTTCAGGATGAGGTAGGCTGCTGCACAGGTCCAGCAGTGGGTGGTTCTGGCTCGATCCAAATGCAGCTTTTCTCTCACAACTTAGCTATAAATTGACATTGAGCTGCTGTTAGATTGTCGAGATGCCACCAAATGTCATGTTAACCTGTTGACTGATGACAACCGCAGTACCAGATGTTGGTGAGCCAGAACGAGAAGATGGAGAAGGAGATGAAAAATCTCTGCATCGAGGAGACGCAGCTGAAAGAAGCCCTGGACATAAGGCGGGACAAGGAGTGCAAACAGAGCATCCGCCGACAGAAGAGGAGGGAGATGAAGGAACAACATGTCCAGGGGGTGTTGGGGTACGAGCTTCAACTCCTCCCCTTAATACCATCGGCCTGATGCCACATGTCCAAACATGAAGTTAATCTGCCTGAAGAAGCAGAGAAGGACAGTGATGATTTACAGCACTATCACCAGTTAGCTTAGCAACTCGTAAGCAGAGTTCTGCTGCTCTGAAAACTTTGAAAATCTAGGTTTATTGTAAATGAAGGTCAACTGCAGGTCATGTTTAGCAAATCTTAGGGCCCTGTCACACCTTGCCGATTTACACAGCGTATGCCTGACGTCCCAGAATCTCCTAAAACGCTAGCATACGCTGAACTTTTGATGAATTTTTTTTTAAGTTTGGGCTTAAACATAGCATATTCATAACTTAAACTAAACGTACCCATAACGTATCCAACGTATTCCAGCATTTTTGCCAGATTTTTCGTACGTCAGGAATACATTGGATAAAATCGTCAAGGTTTGACAGGGCCTTTAGAAGTAAAAGGAAAAACCAAACTAGCATAAACACAAATGAGATCCAAGGTAGAGAATATAAGCAGAACTCTTCCCCAGGAACAATCTTTATTTAAAGTTCACATTGCTAATCAGCTAAAGGGTCAGTACCTTTATCAGAATATAATATCAGAATCTGAATTTATTCATCCCTTGCAGGAAATTCTTTTCTTGCCGTGCAACATTTTACAGAAGAGAGAAGCATAAGATTGTCAGTACAAAAGAGCAAAATAAAATATAATCAGAATCGGGTTTATTGCCATTGTTAGTGAAGAAGTTCACAACTAGGAATTTTTTGTGGTACAGTCGTGCAACATGAAACATATATGAAATAGTAAATAAAATTATAAAAATCTCTAAAAACACTAGGAAGACAGAATAAAATTAGTAAAATTACAACCTTCACATATAAACAGTTAATAAAATATAGGAATCTGGTACCTGTGCATCCCTACATGATGTAGAACTACTCAAAAGCATCATTTAAGGGCCTAATGTGAGCTGTTTTCCAGGCAGTGTGACCAAATCCACCAGAAAAGGGAGGAGATGGCAGATAAAATCCAACAGATTAATGGAGAGACCCAGCAGATGAAGGCCAACATCAAGAGCCTGAGAGAGGTCTGCAGCATAGAGACGGAGAAGGCCCAGGTAAGCCGCACATGAGGGCTATCTGAGGCATTTAATGCGGAGATCTTCATGCCTCCACCTGCTTCCTGTGTCTGTGTGTCCAGGTGCTGTACGACACCCTGATGGCCTCCATAGATGAACTGAACAAAAAGATCGAGGTGCACTTGGAAGATCTGAAACTGAACCTCAGCAAGTACTCTGACTCCATCTGATGCAGCGTGGGTCCCATGTTACCAGAGGAATTTAGATCAGGGGTTGTCTACTGCTTCATGTCAAGTCCAGAAGCAAAACTGTTTATATTTTATTTAGAACCTGTAAAATAAAAGGTTTCAGTTTCACCAAATCAGAATCAGAATTGCTTTTTTTAATCCCTTGTTGGAAATTCTTGCGGTGCAAACTTTACAGAAGAGAGAAATATAAGATTGTAAATTCCAATAAGATACAAATATAAAATAAGGATAAGAACAAAACCAGATAGGTAGAAGAATAAAATAATGATTACAGTACAGGGGCGTTGCTAGGCACAAAGCTTTACTGGGGCACTGGCCCCCTAGTGCATATGCCCCTCCTTCCATACATAAATACAGACAAGCACACTGCCCAACCCTGATACATTCCTACCAAAATTACCAGTTGAGATATTAATGAGTATAAGAGCATATTTGTTTTAACAAACATGAACATTTTCAACATTGCAGCTATAAAAAATAAGACATCAACAACTTTGACAAATAAAAAGTTTCCTTATACACATTCTGAAGTAATCATTAATTCCTAGGTTACAGAGTTTTAGTTCGGGGGAAATTTTAACTCGTCCTGAGCTAAGTTTTCCTTTTATTTTTTTAACATTAAAGTGTACCTCATATTTATCATTTTTGCAAAGTGGTCAATCACTTGTGACTCAGCTTAGAAAGTTCTTCCTTTTCAACTGATAAAATAGCAAGATGATGGAGCCTATCTTGTCCCATTGTGCACCTCAGCCAAGTGTGGAGCCTTCTCAACACACTGAAAGACCTTTCACAACTCCAGCTGTAGACTGGGATTGTGAGGGAGATCTGGATGACCTGCGTTAGTGTTGGGAATATGATGTTATCAAGCAAGCTGAAAACACACTGCATATCCTTGATAACAAGGCTTTCTTTTTTAACCAGGAAAAGCTCAAACCATTTTGAATTAAATTAATGTTTTTTTACTCCAAATTTGTGCTGGGGATGGTGGGACAACTTCACTTGTTTAGGACCATCATGCTTTCCCCCTAAGTCACTAATGTCCCCTTCTTGTTTGTGGAAGCTGGTTGTTGCATCCTCATCACCTTCATGGTCCTGTCTCTCCTGTCCTTCACCTGTCTCTTGCCTGTCAGTCTCGCCTCCTCCTCCCTTTCCTACTCCAGCACCTGCATTCTCATTCTCTACAGCAAACATAAAAAAAACGTAAATTTATAATTATGTAAATATCTATCATATTACTTATAACGTTCCTAATGTAACTGGTTACATTAAATCACTAATTCATTACGGGACCTTACCTCCCTCTCTCATCTTGTTTTACTGATTCCCTGTCTCTGCTTCGTGTGAGGAATTTCCTGATATCCATCTACAAACCAATGCAGTAATTTTCAGTTAGTAGCCTATAAATCATGTGGTTTCACTGGGAAAATAATAAAATTGACAGGTAAGAAACGTTACCAGAACTAAAAATGCGTCGTGGCCGCACAGTGTCCCATCCAACTCAGTTGAGAGCAGCGCGTTAATTTACCTGCAGTTCATGCAGTGACATGCGCTGACGTGGGGGCGCTAATACATCCTCAATTTGGAGTTAACGACACACTTGCTCCGCATTTGAGTAGAAATATACGTCTCCTCCCGTTAGAAATATCTAAATTGATGCATTAAAAAAATGTAATACTGTTGCAAATATTCATGAGATTTATACTGGGGCACAGCTCATTTATACTGGGGCACGTGCCCCAGTAAATGGGGTCTGGCGACGCCGATGTTACAGTATGTACAATCAACAGTATTCACAATGCTGCTCAATACCAAATTACAGCATTGTAAATACTTTCGATTGTGTATGTATAATATATATACACATAGGGTAGTCCCTCCCACTAAGCATGCTTGTAGCAACAGTGGAGAGTAAAAACTCCCTTTTAACAGGAAGAAACCTCCAGCCGAACCAGACACTGTGTGAGCGGCCATCTGGCGAGGCCAACTGGGGTTCAAGGAGACAGAAGCAGACATACAGTAAGGAAACATACAGCCAGGCAGATGAGCTCCAAACCAGGTCCCAGAGGATGAAGAGCAGTGTTGTGCCTGAACGCGTTCATTGAACGAAAGTTCATGAACTCGTTCATATTTTGGGCGAACGTGAACTGAACGTACTGCATTACTGCCTGGTGAACGTTATTGTGAACTCGTTCATTCTGGTGTCTGTGAACGGCACGCTCTCTCAGTTCAACTCCGTTCAATAGGTTGCCAGATTTCTATAGAGCCCTCCAGGCGAAACCCCGGCTAAATCACACCGTAAACAGGCCTTAATATGTAGCGGGAAAAACACCCAATCTGGCAACACCAGCTACCAGTGTCGTAGCCTACAGCCGCGTGCGCCATCAAAACAAAATGCAGCGTGGAAGCCATAGCAGCATGCAGGCTACCGTGGAGGCGACAAAGCAGCAGTATGATCACTTAAAACAGTTTTATGACCAGGTGGTCGGTGAGGATGATGGCAACAAGTTTGCCCGCCGGCTTTCAGTAAAAAAATCCGCACTTCACTAACCTTAAATTCCTACCTCAGCCTGGTCCCTCAGTTTGTGTTAGTAAAATCTTCTTGAGCGGAGGTCTTCAACAGGGGATCCGCGACCCCTAGGGGGTCTACGGAGGTACTGCATGAGGGTCTGCATGGTTATAGTTGATATTTTTATATTCCCCCCCTGCAATTTTTTCCTCCACTAATTGAAATGTCTTTAAATACTCATTAACATGAAATCAACACACTGTAGTAAACAGATAAATGGAGACAAAAGATGTCTTTCAGTCATCAATGCACACATTCAGCGACACACAGGAGCTCTTTCAAGCTGGGCACCGTTTCCTTCACATCAACCAGGAATCAGAAAAACTTTAATAATCCCAGGGAGAAATTAATTTCTTTACATTACTCCATCTGTAATAGAGTGACTATAGGACACAATTTCATACAATATATATAGTTAGGGGGTCCCCGCTTCATCTCGCCATCACTTTGGGGGTCCTTGGTCTGGAAAACATAGAAGACCCCTGTTCTTGAGGGTTTTACTATCCATGTAACTTGTTTGTTAAACCTGCCTGGTATAATTTTCCAGGATTCCAGTATTCCTTTTTAGTATGTATTGAAATGGAATTTCAAATGGAAAAAATTATTAAAATAAAAAAAAAAACATTTGCACCTTAAAGACTACTTTCCTATTTTTCTTTTAATAATTACTCATAAAAAAGACCATACAAGTAGCGCATTTTTCTTAATGTTTTTGAGAATATACTGTAGGGGTGAAATCTGCAGCTGCTACTAGTGTGAAGTGAATGGACAGCAACAAAGCATTAAAGCAACAATAGGGAAATGCTGTCCCCTCAATGCTAATGTAAACCCTGGTTGGATAAGGATTCAAAACTGGATAGGAAGATGAAATCTGACGCACAGTTTCAGAGTTACAACTGATAAAATAATTGCTGTCTGTGGTTCTACAGTAGGCTATGGTGTAATTGAGCAATATATGAAAAAAAAAAGAACTATGAACTAGTTCATTTTTTGGTTTTGAATTATGAACTATGAACTGAACTAGTTCATTTTAAAATGTGTGAACTGAACTTTGAACTAGTTCACGTAGAAAGAGAACTTTCCCAACACTGATGAAGAGAGCACATCTAGTCACAGTCAGAGAAACAGGACTACACTGAAAAACAGCCCGATCTCCAGCATCTATAAACAAGGGTGTTGATGGCAGCAGCACAGCTGATATTTCTCTCCAGGATGGTGTCACAGCCAAACGGGAACAGACCAGATGAAGCCAGTATGAGTAAAAGCAAAGAGAGCAAAACGTTAGAGATTGAACTAACGAATACTGCAGAATGGGAGAATAGAGATAGAACGATGAAAAAGGGGGTCCCTAAGTTCTCCAGCAGGCCAAGCCTATAGCAGCATAACTATAGAGATAGCTCAAGGTAACCTGAGCCACTCTAACTATAAGCTTTATCAAAAAGGAAGGTTTTAAGCCTACCCCTTAAAAGTAGACGGGGTGTCTGCCTCGCAGACTAAAACTGGTAGTTGGTTCCACAGGAGAGGAGCCTCATAACTAAAAGATCTGCCTCCCATTCTACTTTTAGAAATTCTAGGAACCACTAGTAAACCTGCAGATTGAGAGCGAAGTGCTCTGTTAGGAACATATGGAACAATCAGATCTCTGATATCAGATGGAGCTTGGCCATTTAAGGCTTTATATGTGAGAAGGAGGATTTTAAATCCTATTCTGACAAGTAAAGTACACCCCACTGTTAGAAATTACACCTTTCTATCACCAACAGGGCTGTTTCAATGGATTTGTGGGGCCCCAGGCAAAATTGACTTGAAGGGTTAGGCGTCTTGGGGTGTATTCTGATTACTGTGTCATTGTACTTTTCTGCTGTGATAATCACTGATTTTAGATGTGAGGAATCAGCCCAGAACTAAAGAGGAGGAGCTGGTCAATGACCTGAAAAGAGCTGGGACCACCGTTTCCATGGTTACTGTTTGTAATACACTAAGACGTCATGGTTTGAAATCATGCATAGCAGGAAAGGTTCCCCTGCTTAAACCAGCACATGCAGTACCAAAATATAACTTTTGATCAAAATTCCACCAACTGTGTTTGGAGAAAGAAGAATGATGAGTACCATCCCAAGAACACCATCCCTACTGTGAAGCATGGGGGTGGTAGCATCATCCTCACCTCAGAGAAATCCTCAAAACCTCAATGAATCAATACAAAAAGCTGAGCAGTAGTTATTGGAATAGTTTGATTAGCCAAACACCAATATATTTTTACTAATAGGAAAAAAAACCTTCTAAAGACTGGAAACAATTTCAAATCTGTGAGAAGTATGAATAATTTGGACCTTAGCTGGAGATCACCATTATAGACAGTGTTGAAAGGTCACAACAGCTTGAAAAAAATAATAATCAAATCGCTTAAACTATTAATCCTTTTTATAAAAGCAAGGCTGCATTGAAGCAAGAAGTGGAGCTCCATCTAAATTCCACTGGATTTGTTTTTGGAAGAAGATCAAGTTTTTAGGCTGCGAATGACCAAAGGTCCTTAGAGTTCATGTCGATGTTGAGTTGGTTGCATCTCCTCGCTCAGTTGTCCAGCACGGATTTACCCGTTATCTGTTGTAGAGAGAAAAATCAAAATTGTGAAATTATATTTACTCGCTTTAGTCATTAGGATTATTTTTTATCATTAATAGCATAATAAAAAGCCATAATGCCTTGAATTTCAGAAATAGTTACAGGAAGTAGACACAGAAGGTGGTCATGGCCAAGCTGTGAACATTAACAATAATTTGTGATGGTTCCTGCAGATCATCTTTTGCGATTCATTGGTATTTGCTTCTCTCAAAATATGTTTTGCATCAAAGTTAACTCAGTTACAGAGTTTCATGAAAATCTGTTTAAGTGTTTAAGAGCGTTTCCTTTCTAGTTTGAAAGACTGTCAGATGCCATAACCAGGTTATGGCATCTGACAGTTATGTCCTTTGGTTCTGGCTCAGCTCTACTTGCTAAATTTAGTCTTAATCAGACTTTTCTTGCTGTCATTCATACTTTCATATTAATCAGTGGAAAAATTAAGAGCATTCAGGAATGTACAACCAAAAAACTAAAACAAGCCTTGAGTTTTTTTACCACCTCTTACAGCAATTCCTCCTTAGGATCTTCTTGGCATTTTCCTTCCTACATAAATTTAAACCCCATATTCCTTACCCATCTGCTTTTAGGATTTTTTTTTTAGCCTATCTCCTTACCCTTTTCCTCCACCTGGAAGTCCTCTGGCAGCAGTTTGTCCTGCCGGCTGCCCAGACTGAAGGCCAGAAAGGAGAGGATGAGTGAGTCCATGATGCTAATGATCGCCAGGATGTAGGCCCAGCGCACTGTGCAGTTACCCAGGGTATATTTATCAGTCCGCTGGCCACACATGCGCTTCACTTCCTCAGAGTCCCAACCATCAGGGTAGATCATACAGCCAATCACCATGCATGTACCTGAGAGGTGAGAGCATCACAATGGTGAGCAGGTTACATTTTGAAGATATACAAAACTTAATCGTGTTGTGTTTTTTTTTGTACTTATACATTTCAATATGATTCATATGACCTAAGAACTTTTTAGTTATTCTTAAAGCTACAGTGTGTAAGTTTTAGCGACATCTAGCGGTCAGACTGCAGACTGCAGCAACATGAACATCTCCCCCCCACCGCTTCTCCCCCCCAACAGTACGGCGAGCGTTACGGGACAAAATGTCTTCCACGACGTCCGCATCACCTACCTTCTCAAGTGATGAGGTTTGTTTACATAGATAATTTTACAGATAGTATTTCATTAGTCTGTGTAGGGTATAGATTTCATCTTTACGCTACGGCAGCGCAGAGCCAACAAACTAGCGATTGCGAGATCGCCAAATCGTCACAACGATGTGGAAAAAATAATGGGTATATTTATTATCTTAAGTCTACATGAAATCTATACCCTACACAGACTAATGAAATACTATCTTTAAAATTATCTAAGTAAACAAACCTCATCACTTGAGAAGGTGGGTGATGCGGGCGTCGTGGAAGACATTTTGTCCCGTAACGCTTGCCGTACTGTTGGGGGGGAGAAGCGGTGGGGGGGAGATGTTCATGTTGCTGCAGTCTGCAGTCTGACCGCTAGATGTCGCTAAAAGTTACACACTGTAGCTTTAAGTTGTTAAATGTTTTTTAGCAATCAGTTACTTAATAGAAGGGACAATATAGTAAAAAGACATGATCGCTGTGTCTGATCAAAATGTGTGAATCGAGGTAAAGACTGGCTTTATAGTCACTATATCTATATCCATCTAGTGTTATATCTTGAAGAGTTGAAGACTAATAGGTCTGTATTACCCTCCACAATATTTCATTTTAATCATTGTACTTTATTTGTATCGTAGTTTTAACCCCACTTAAAATATGTTGCCTTGGTTCATTTTCCTTAAAGACCGGTAAAAAATAGTTGTCATGTGTGGAAGTATGTGCAGACTACTCGACACAACAAGTATTACCATTTTTAATCAGTTGTAATTATTAACATGTGCTATTGAGTTTTTTTAATACTATGTTAAAAGTTAATTTTTAAAAGCATTTAATCATTCACCTGGTCTGTCCCAGAGTTAAGAATAGAGCAGAGGTTTATCTTTCATCAGGATGTTGACTCCCAAATATACAGGTACAAAAGCCATGGTCATTGCTTGATAATTGAAATCATGCTGTTTCTGCTGGCATCATTTGAAACAATCTTTCCCAGTACTTCTAATAAATGAGAGCCCACAAGAAGGTAAGTCACCAGAGACATAAGCATACACACATCCTTCATATTAATTTGTTTTGCAACTTTAAAACCAACCAGTTCATACATTATTAACACTACAGACAGACAGCCAGGTTGGTGCCCTCTCCCTTTAAGATGATGAGGTGAAACATGACTCTCTCAGATCTTTCTGTCTGATGCTTACAAACACTTGAATTACCCATCTGATTTGATTATTTTTCTCCCTATACCAACAATTTCAATAGACGGTTCAATTCAAGCCTTAATGTAGGTCAATCTCTCATTTATTTTGGAATGTGTGCTCATTCATCCAGCATTTAAAAAACGACTGAAACCCAACTGACAGCAGGCAAGTTGAGGCTGAAAAGTGAGAGTAAAGAATGTAACAGCACACCCAGGGTATTCCTCTCATTGCTCGTTTCATTACTTGCACGTCCTTTCACTCCCCGGTACATCTGTTCACAAGCTGCATCGTGTTTCCAGGACACACTCATGTTTCACCAAAGCCTCTCCATATGCATTTATATGAGGCCCACAAACTCCCAGGTACTTATGTGAAATCCAGTGGGTTTTTTTTACATTTATTTCCATGGTCTGACTAATCTTAACCATCATTATCCTGCAGTAAAGAGGTTTAGCTGGTGGCTCACATCTGCAAGGCTTGGACAGTCCTTCCCTTTATCGGGCAAGTTACCATATTTGAGCACTTCCGGAGACCTTCTAAATGACGTCACTGCGGCCTCGCGCATACTTGTCGAGTCACGTGATTTGGCCCAGCCAATCAGCAGGGACTAAGCTTGTTACGGTTCGCGCCATTGCGCCGTTCGACCAATCAGCGCGTGTCTGTGACGCGCGAAACGTCAGTGTTTTCCCGGGAGCAGGAAATCACCACTTCGCGGCTTGATTTCTCTAGCGTTTTCACTCGGCTCTCCAAAACTAACCATGGTAAGTTTATTAAACTTTCACATTACACGGTTGAGAAGTTGTACTAAATGATGACAGACATGTTTTTTTCGTGAGACTTTTGGAAATTGGCGAAATCATAGCATGAAAAACAGGGAGCACATATATGTGCATATGCCCAAAACAAGTAAAAACAGACCTGCATCAGTTTCGCCTACTTTAACTCATATGTTCTTTGTTTCTAAGCCACATTTTTGAGTTTCTGTTTACCAAACACGCATTATAACCAACAAATAATACATTAGAATCTTATCTGATGCTTTTAGAAGCTTTTATAATGATTTATTCACATATATATATCACTTCTAAAGATTATATAGCTAAAAATGGTGAAAATAAGTGATTTTGGATGTTTTTGTATTATATTTTGTATCACTTAACTGTTATTTTATGTCTTAATAGTATTATTATTTATATTATTAATTGTTTATATTGAATAAGTGATATTATGACTAGTTTTAGTGCTTTTCAAGTATATGGCATATTATTATCCACATAATGACAGTAGCAGTAATAAAATATACAATAATTATAATATTTTTCTGTTGCAGATTTCAACAAACATGTTTTATGGAAAGAGGAAGGCGGTTGTGATTGTTCCAGCCAACCCTGCCATCAGCGATGACGAAGAGGATGAGGAAGATGATGTGGAGGTCGATCCTGATTACATTCCAGTCAGCCACAACCTGGACACTCCCACCACAAGTGAGATGAGTCCTCCTGCCAAGAGGAGACATGTGCAGCCTGCAGTGGAGGTGCTTCAGGATGGGGAAGATGAGGATGAAAATGAAGATCAAGATGAGCAGGTTATACCGCAAGCTAAGGGTCCCACTAAACCCAAACCCAGACCCACCACCTGGAGGAAAACCAAATTAAGAAATTCACCTCTGCCTGAGTACCAGCACTCTGCTCCCAACTTTATTGGGAAACCTTTTGTGTACTTTTTAAGATACTTTACCCCACAATTCATTAGCCACATAACTTATCACACCAACCTGTACGCCAGTCAAAAGGACATTAACACCACCTTCACCACCAATGAGGATGAGATGATGAAATTTGTAGGAATTCTCATCTACATGGGCATGGTAGAACTGCCATCTATAGATGACTACTGGGCCATGGACACCAGGGTTCCTCAGATTGCCAACATCATGTCATCAAAGAGGTTCAGGCTGCTCAGAAGGATGATCCACTTCAATGACAACACCCTTATCCCTGGCACCACTGACCGCTTCTTCAAGGTCCGGCCATTGTTCACCTTCCTCTGCAGTGCCTTCAGAAGTGAGGAGCAGACCCCGAAGCAGTCAGTGGATGAGGTGATGGTTGCCTTCAAAGGGAAGACAGCTGGGAACTTGAGGCAGTATATTAAAAACAAGCCTGACAAGTGGGGGTTTAAGTTGTTTGCCAGGGCCTCCGAGGATGGATTTATCCATGACATGGTCCTATACCAGGGCAAGACTACGCTGGAGGCCCATGGTGTCCCCCTGACACCTGAACAAAGAGCCTTGGGCGCCACCAGCCAGATTGTCTCTGTCCTGGCCAGTACCATGTCATCCTCCACCACAACAGCCATCTTCGCTGACAACTTTTTCACCAGCTTGGAGCTAGTCCGGTACCTCAAAACTCAGAACTGCAGGTAACAATTACTTTCTGTGAGTGAGTGAATGAATGATTACATTTTTGTTGCACTTTACTGCTGGATATGTAACCCACTTACATTGGATCCATTATTCATCCATTCTATATTTATGTGTTCAGATACACAGGAACTGCAAGGGACAACAGAATTGGACATCCTCCCCTAAAGTCCATCACAGAGATGGAGAAAAAAGGTGTCCCTCGTGGGACCTGTCACTCCGTTGTCAGTGATGATGGGATCCTGGTCCTCAGGTGGAAGGACAATAAAGTTGTCACTCTGCTTTCGACAGACATGGGAGTGGAACCTCTGTCATCTGTCTACAGGTATTGTTTATTTTAGTTTTGTCTGATTGTGTTGTTCCTGTAGATGTCAGTGCTGCCTTTATATTTTTTTTTTACTTAGCCATTTATTTTCCTCCATTCATTTATATTTTTACACTTTTTATGGAGCTGTTACAACACCAAATTTCACTAATGGTGATCAATAAAACAAAATCGTGTTTTAGGTTCTCCAGTGAATCCAAAAAGAAGGAACCTGTGAGCTGTCCTGCAGTCATCAAAAGCTACAATTCCAACATGGGGGGGATTGACAAGAGCGACATGTTGGTGCACCTGTACCGCACCCCCATGAAGTCCAAGAGGTGGTATATGCGTCTGTTTGCATACACTATTGATCTGGCCATCTCAAATGCCTGGCTGATGTACAGGCGGGACTGCAAGGAACTGAAACTGGACAGCCAGTCTCTGAAAAGCTTCCGGATCGAGGTGTTCAAGCATGCCTCTAACCAAAGGCTCTCTGTAGTTCGCTCAGGAAGAAGCTCTGACAGTCTGAGAGCTGCCTTTGATGTTCCCAAGCCAGTCCGAGGACATCGCTGCTCCAACCCCACTGAGGCTGTGCGTTTCGACCACTCCGTGTTCCACGTTCCTGTCTACACTCATCGCCAAACATGCAAGTACTGCAGCAGGAAAGACAACATTGCAAGGTCCAATGTTTTCTGCGGGGTTTGCAAGGTCCATCTCTGCCTAAATGCAACATGCAACTGCTTTGCTGAGTACCACAACCCTAAATAAAGATAGTCAATAGATATTTAGAAGGCAGTAAGGCACTGAACGTTCTAAAATACTGTGAAAGAACTTTATTTCACAGTATTTTGGAACATTCAGTGCCTTACTGCCTTCTCAACATAAATTTATGTTCTAAAATGCTGTGAAATAATCAAAGTTCTATTTATGTTGAGAAGGCACTAAGCCACTGAATGTTCTAAAATACTGTGAAATAATAAAGTTTTATTTATGTTGAAAAAGCACTAAGACACTGAAGGTTCTAAAATACTGCAAAATGATAAAGTTCTATTTATGATGAGAAAGCAGTAAGGCACTGCAACATCCATCCATTTTTCTATTTTTCTATTATTATATTGTATTGTTATGAAATGTTACATTATACTCTATATTTAAAATATTCTGTCATGATTTTAGATGTTTTCTATGAAGTATTATCTTGTTAAAGTGGTTTCATAATGTTATTAAATGGTCTAAACAAATGTTTATTAAACTATTTCATGTTTTTTCAACAAATTCTATCTTGTGTTCTTTTTAGATTTTTTTTTACCAGAACGGGGCAAGTTACCATATATGATCACTTCGTTTCCTGTGATTTTCAGCATGAAAATGAAATTTTTTTAATAATGTAATTACAGATTATTATTATTGATATATACCACAATGACACCCTGAGATGGAAATTTAACATTTCAAAGTTTTTCAATGAGTGCCCTATAAAGGGTTAAACATGGGTGGCATTAGATGTACTGTACTGAAGACATACTAAACCAATTTCTCATGATGATATCTGCTGGCACTGAAACTTTTTATCTTGACAGTTTTTTTTCTTTACAGGGATTTGAAAGTTGGGTTGTTGCACTTTTTGATTAAGCCATCATAAAAGAGGATCAACTGTAGACCAGGGATCTGCAACCTGTAGGGCCAAAGACGAAAATGGCTCCCTGGCTTCCGTCTAGGGGTGTAAATCACTCCTCATGGTGATTCCATTCAGTATCAATTTCCTGACCCAACGATTCGATTATTTTCGATACTCAAGAATACACCACGATTCGATGAATTGTTTTTTTGTGTGCTTTTTTTGTACCTTACAGGCTAGACAATGTTTCAAATTTGGAATAAATCAATGAAAGCTGGAATATCGTTGTGCATTTTTGTTTGAAAAACAACAGCAAATAACAGAAGTAGCAAAGTTGAACTGCACCTATGCCTATGAAAACCTCATTCACTGAAAAATAACAAGGCCTCTGTGTTTACCCGAGTGTGTGTGCAAGTAGAAAGAGGATAGTGGCTAAAGGAAGTGAGGTAGGAGGGCAAAATAGGTTTTGCGCCACCGCAGCATATGTCCAGGAGCAAATGGATAAAAACGGACAAGAGGAAAAACAATTAAAAATGAATCGATGCTCTTGCAAACGTGTCGATGCATCGGATCATCAACTGTTGAATCAATGCATCGATACAAAGTGATTATTATTTATTCTAGAATAACTGCATTTTAAAATTCCAGATGACATGACACAAGAATTTGTTCCAGACTGTGGATATGCAAAGCTGGGAATGCAACAAAGAAAGAAATATGGTTACCAAGTTGCAGCCTGGATAACCTTTCTGCCTGCTTAGATCATTCATAAACTTCATAGAAAAACTTTTTTGAAAAAAGGTAAAGGGATCTGCATACTTTTACCACATCCAGTTAGGTGTGAAATGTCTCTTTGGTTTAAAGTTTTATGTCTGCACCAGTTTAACATCTCTTTCTGATATAAATACAGTAATGAAGTGGTTTGATGTACTGCTCTGTGCCATTGCTAATAGTATGTATCCTCCCTGTATTTTTAATATGTTTAAGATATCAGACACTTCAAACTTTGATCCAATGCTCACTGGAGGCCAGCTGCATCCACGCGCAGATCTTGTAGACGCTCCCGGCGTTGAAGAAGAAGAAGAGGCTGAAGCAGACGATGCTTCCCACGATCAGCAGCATGGAGATCCCCACGAAGAACATGGCAGTTTTGAAGGCTCCAGAAGGGATGGAGCCAAAGTCCAGCGCGCTCCCTTTGCAGGTGAGCTCCGAGGTTAGCGCGTTCCCGATGCAGTAATGAAAAAGGCCGAAGTAACCGGCCTGCGGCGTGTTCACGCTGTCCCCGATCCAATAGGGCTGGATGAACACCACCACCGTAATGACTGCGAAGGTGACGGTGAACACCTGCCACATGACGCCCATGGCCCGGGCGTTGCGCACGTAGTTGGTGTGGTAGATCTTAGCCGCTTCCTGAGCAGGGAGCATCCTGGGAGGAGACTGCTACCTGTTCTTCCAAACGGTGCGTTTAGGTCTTTCTTCTGATGACTCTTCCTCCTAATGTGGATTCAGACGCCTCTCATGTTGACCTAACGGGATTCAACACCACGGACAGCTCCCGGTGCTGAAAGCCCCATCTGCCCCGCTGATGAGTCCCACTTAAACCACAGCAGGGGCAATTGGTATGCCTCCAGAGGATATAGTCTCTGTTAGTGGTTTATTTCTTCCCTTGGGAGTCTGTGGTCTTTACCTGATGAATGATTAATGGTTAAAAGATCCGCTGAAGAGGGGGAGACACAGCCTTAGAAAGCCTGGTCAGTGTTTTACAGACAGCAGCTGCTATACATTTAAACATTATTGATTAACTCTATTTGGAAGGTTAGCTAATCTAAATTTTACGGAAGAGGATTAGGGCCACTGGGAAAAAAAAAAAAAAAGTTAACTGATTTTTTTTTTTTTTTTCAGTATAGTATGGGAAAAAAGTCAGAATTCAGACTTTATTCTCAGAATTCTGACTTTTTTCTCAGAATTCTGACTTTTTTTCTCAGAATTCTGACAATAAAAAAAGTCAGAATTCTGAGATTAAAGCCAGAATTCTGAGAATAAAGTCAGAATTCTGAGAATAAAGTCAGAATTCTGAGATTAAAGTCAGAATTCTGAGAATAAAGTCAGAATTCTGAGATTAAAGTCAGAATTCTGAGAAAAAAGTCAGAATTCTGACTTTTTTCCCATGTTAAACTGAAACAAAATTTAAAAATCTGTTTACTTTTTTTTTTTTTTTTCAGTGGCCCTAATCCTCTTCCGTAAAATTTTATAGCAAATATAAGTTTGTTACCTTTTTTTGTAAAGGATCAGTTCTCCTTTGGCTTTATTATTTTATTTTTTGCTGTCTCGCATTTCCTTGTGTATTTTTCAGGGATGGGTGTAGCCTGTGATAGTGATTTGACTAGTTACTATCCAAACCCTGGCAGCTCCAAACAATTCAAATAACTGAAAACCTTTAGAAATATGAATAAAAAAAGAAAAAGAAACAAGTCCATAAACTGTTTTCACACAGTGATTAATCTCTTCATCGTTATTGTACATATTTAAAGCGTAATTTGAATAAATAGACTAACAAAATTGTGTCACTCAATAAAAAAAACATGAAGATAATAGTTTAATTATTTTTAGCTTTTTACAGAGATTTCAAATTATTCGTGTTGTACCGCAGTCAGCCACTAGATGGAGCTAAAACACACCACATCATTTACTCAAGTATTTCGTTTCACTCCTTTTCAGCCGCTCTTTACACCAACCATATCTACATAGTAGCACCGGTTTTAATAGTGTGTTAGGGCATGTTAGGCACTTGAGGAAAAATATTAATGATGAAACTCTCAGGTTTTAGTTTTTACCTTGAAAAATGCTTCAGAGCAGAGGTTTCTAAACTTTTCCTCAAACAGCATTGTCTGTATAATGGGACACATCTCCATTGTAAACTAACTGACATGTAAAAAGAAAATGTAAGAAAAAAAAAGCTATTAACCCATTTTAGTAAACAGAAAAGGACATAATAAATCAAACCACCCAAGACTTTGTTTAGTGGGAGGGCTGGGCTTTTAAGTACAATAAAAATGTCCTTTTCAGCTAGTAATGTGCTCTGCACTTTATTTTGAGTGTCTTTAAAGTAAAGAAAAACAGACTCCCCGAGGTATTTTGTTTTAAAAGGGAGAAGGCATTTCAGTGACTGGTCAGGCAAGGTGGATTAATACCACTTTATAAGATAGTTAGGGTTCAGTTTTAAATCCCCAGTTTTTTTTTTATATCAATATGACATCATTTTGCCTGTTACATTTAATAATAATTTTGATAGATGGTTTATTTCATTTAATAATCAAAAAAAACCCAAACACTTCTCTCATTTCTCTGGTGCTATCTTAGCGCCCCCTGGCGGCCCCCATTTTGAAAACCACTGCTTCAGTGTTAATAGCAATCATTTTGAATCAGAATGCTATTTTTATATTACTGCTGAAATAATTCAAAGGCAGACATGTCTAATGATGCAACAAATTAATTCAGTTGCCTGGTCAACAGTATTGCTGGAGAGTTTTAATGCTTTATGACATGATTTCAAGCTTTGAGCTTAATCTGCAAATCAATTTTTTTTTCAATATAGAGTATTTTTCCACTTTAGTTTCAAATCTTTGTCTTAAGCGTTTGCTTTCATGGTGCTGCACAAAGAGAACAAAACAAAGTATAGACTAAAAGGCGTCTTTTCATACTCCTAATCCGAGCAGATTTGTTGCTTCATTAGATTCCTAATCCTCTCGCTGTCCAGAATGAAGCTGTATGTTCACCTTTAGTTTGCTACAGTTATGTTTCTTTAAAGGTTCATACAAAAGACTGATTTATGATAATATGACAGTTTCTCTTTCAGTATGGGAGCGTGGACACGCCAACATGGCACTGCACTACAGCTTTATTAAGTTATACAGGCCCTGGTGTGAGACAGAGGCTGGTTATAATCAAGTTATATGAAGAAGCAATCCAATTTTCCAATACAGAATAGAGTGCGATTTAATGTGTCTATAACATATTAGTGGAGAGAGAGGATTCCATGCGTTTCTTTGTGTATATTTTTATTTTGTTGCTCAAAAGGCTGAATAGATCATATAACATGATACTTTGAGGTCGTTTAATTTAATATCTGAACAGTAAGGAGCTGCAATTATAAGAGAAACAGAATTCTGAGCAAAAATCCTCAGAGACTGATCATTTACTGCAGAGGAATGAAAGTGTGCAGATACATCTCTCTGTAGTTTTTATCAGGTGGAAGTTCTACAGTTTGATTAGCTGGTTTATTCTTAGAGAATCTAGTAAAAAGGCTTGTCTTCCAATTTGCTGAATTGTTAAAAGTGAATTTCTTATTGCCTCCAGGAAACTAATAATAACCATATCCAGCCTTTAAATCTAGGTGGATAATCATATCTCTGTAGGTCTGCATATGAGCCATATGATAGTCCATAAAAGAAGTTATTTTGTTTCGCTACTAATGTTGAAGCTATTTGTTTAGTAATTTTTTCTGATCAAAGAACAGCTGGATTTATACTGTGATAAAAGTACACATAAGTGGGCTTAATGAATGTTTACAGAAGGGAACCAGTGTCATGATGGGTTCTCAAAGAGGGACCCAAGTATGCAGAACACCACTGACGGACACAGGGATAAAAGTTCAACAAGTTTATTTTAGTACAAGCACACAGAATGTACTGGTTCTGGCTCGGGCCTGGACACTGGTTCACCGGAGTCTGCGTGAGAGACAGTTCAGTTAGCGTTGCAAGGTGGAGCTTGATTTCTTGAAGATAACTGATTGTACCTTGAGGGTTCTTGAGATTAGCTTTGGGAGAGTCACTGTTGGATCTGGAGAGGAGTTCATCAGCAGAGTCCGGTTGCTGCTTCAGCGTCTCACGTCTTATAATGAACAGACCTTGGCTTAGGGTTTTCCAGCTCTTAGTCCTGAGCTGCATGGAAGTTCTCTGTGATTCTTCAGGTTTGGCTCAGAGGGTCGGCTCGGCAGGTTAGCTCTTCCTGAGCTTCACAGAGGAGACACTGGTTTCCAACTGGATCAACACTGCGGCGTTGAGGCAAGGTCTGAACACAGCTTATATAGTGGATCCTCTGATGATCTTGATGGGCTGCAGCTGTGCAGGAGGCTCCCTCAGAAGGATCCACGGCGGACTCTGCTGGAGAAAGGTGGAACTTCTCCAGCTCCCAACAACCAGCTTGGCTTGATTTTCTTTAGGGGTACTAGAAGAAAAGAGGCTTAGGGACTTTGATTTTTATCGGTGTTCTTCATATCTAAACTAGGGAAATACTGATCCACATGTTTTAACTTCTGATAATTGAATTTATTTACAGATCCCGATTTTGTTATTGTCATTACTGTTGATTTTTTAAAATGTTGTCATAAAGTCCTCTCTACAAGCAAATGTATGTAATGTTCACATGTAGACTTCTAAAATTGATCTAAAAGTGATTAAAACCTTATCAAAATAAGCATATTCACCCTTGATTAAAGGTCAATTTGATGATTTGTCAATGGAAAAAGGATTTCTGCATTTATTACAACTCAAAAATTGAAACCTAAGTAAGTTGATGTTTCTTAAAATAATTATATTTTCCCTTGATTAAATCAGCTAAGAAAACTTAATGAAAAAATATGTTTTTTGTTTAGGATAATAAAAAAACAACAACTCTGTTATCTTATTTCAATTGCTTAATAACTAAGTTATTCCAAAAGGCAACTTGAGATTAGTAAATTGTGTTAACAAGACAAATTTTATCCTGATAAAAAAATATATGTATATGTAGAGCACATGAAGAAAGAAAATAATCACTTTGATATTTCAACAATTAGTTGTATTTATTATATATTTATTTGCATTATGTAGGGCTCTTTTTCCTACTGACAAAAAGTTCAGTGCAGTTTAAAAAAGGCGATGAGGTGGTTACTGGTTTGTGGATGAATGATTGAATACTAGAGAAGAGGAAGCTTTTTATTGGGGCTGCAGTGACCAACCTCTGTGACCCACCTTTGCGCCTCCATCCAGCCTTCTTTGGCTCTATAGGAGGAGTCAGAGAGGGGGTCGAAATGCTAGGGGGTCATTATCTGCCCTGAGGGAAAGAACAAAACAATTGTAGGCCTACTTTGTGGTGGACTCATTTCTGATCAGTCAAAACCGATGAACACCCCTCTTATGATTAGTGATCTGCTCAGAGATGCATAAGTGATGGGCAGCCAGAATCCTCCACATATCCTGCTATTAATTTACCGCTTCTCCCCTGCTCTAAAGAGTCAGTGGGAGTTTATCAGTTTCTAATTATAAGACTCTGCTACGCTGTGTTTGCTTTTTTGTTCACAATAAAAACCAAAATGAAAACAGTTAGTCCGTATTATTTCTGGAATTGTGCTGCTTAGTTCTGGTCTGTTTCGGTCTCTTCCTCTCCTGTCTTGCAAACAGCTGTTCCAGTCCTCATGCAGCTGCTTAATCTTTTTTGACACAGTGGCACAAATTCAGTGCCTCTCAAAAGTATTCACACCCCCAATTTCACCTTTTGTTTTTCAGGCCTTGTTTTATTGTCCTTCTGCCACACTGATAAACCCTGGCAGTGTTTTTTAAGCGTTTTT